AGTTTTGTATGAAAAGCGCTTTATAAATAAAGTTTGATTTGATTTGATTTGAATATAATATAAAGTACTATAATGATTTAATGTTGAAAATCACATTGTATTGTCTAAAGAAAGATCACCATCATAGTATTGGAATCAGTATTGAGTATAAAGTCTATTAGTATTGAAATCAAGTTTGAAATTTTAGTTTTATGACAAACAGCATAAAATTGCATGGAAGAGACCTCTAACAGGCCACAGAACAGGTTCTTTTTCAAATATGAAAAGCATGTGACACCACCAAATAACTCAATAATAAGCAGTTGTCAGATCCACCACCAGAAATGTTACATAGTGCCCCTTTCAATGTAATGGCCTAAATCACAGTAGTAAAATATTGTAATCCACCTTGTAAATGTTCTGGTTCAGTCCAACATGCTCTTATTCATTGACTCAATATTCTAAGCTAGCTGCTAAATGCATTTTATTTTAGTGACTAACCCGTTAAAGCTGTTTTCCATTGTGCTGAGTAGAGGCATCTAACTGAAAATGCCTGGCACATATTATGCCATCATTCTTGGTAAGTATTTCCATGACATTTTGTTTAAAGGGTTAGTATGTAACTTTTCTAGTGATGGATCTGTTTGTTTGTCTTCATAAAGATGTTATTGCTTTGTGAAGAACATTCCACAGTGTCATTTAACTTATTTTTAACCTACATTTATTCAACTATAACTTAAAAACCCTGTGGGCTGAGTGGGCTTGCCTCTCCACAGACTTGACCTGTAACTTAGCCTGGTGGAGTCACCGTCTTGTCTCCATTTGCTACATAATTCCAGATATCTTACTTCATATATTTGATGCCCACTGTGTGTAAAAATGTAGAAAATAAAAATAAAGAAAAAAAACATTGAATGAGATGGTGTGTCTAAACTTTTGAAATGTCATACAGTGGAACAAAAAGTTACATAGTGCACCTTTAAGTATGAAATTTTTCTGTAAATGACTTGGTTAATTACTGTCCAGCGAAATTGTTTTAACCAAAGATTTGCGAGCTCTAAACAACACTGGTCACTCTCTTCATATTGCACTAGCCCCAGTGCCAGGTAAGCAGACTTCATGACTCTCCTCTAATATCTGTTCTCTGTGCTTGTTTGTCTTAAGCACCACAATGACTACCTTTGCTTCGAACACATGAAAAGTTCCCATTTACAGTAGAAAATAAATGGAGCCATAATGTAGGTCACCCAAACAAAGTCTCAGGTTGAATTGCAAGCAGCTGCCCTGGCCACTTCCTGCCTGGCATTGGAAAGCAGTGCTGAGCCTAGATGGTGGTTCCAGCCAAGCTCAAGTTCAGCACTAAAATGGCTGACAAGAAAAAAAAAGCAATGAGAAAAAAAGTGGCACACCAACAGAGAATCCCACTATTTGATGTGATAGAGTAACCATATACCTCCAATTATTTACAGCACAGGTAGAGTAGCTGAAAATTTTACTCAATTAAGAGTAACATTCAAAATAATATTATTCAAGTAAAAGTGAGAGTGAGAGTAACTTAAAGGCGATCAGGTATAGGCATACTCACATCACTGGTGCTAGGCTACTACAGTGAAACTAGAAAGTGAGACAAAGCCTTCACACTTACTCCCATACTGCCTTAAGTGCATCACAACATTTCAATCAGGACACGAAAATGAAAATCATATCTGAGAAAAGCTAAATCATATCTGAAGGAATGGTGCAAGAAATACAAATGTTCAAATCATTTCGTATTGTCAGCATAAATCTTTTGTCACTTGTAGACTTATTTACAGTGGGAAGAGTAAATACAACTTTTACTTGACTAAGAGTTGTATTACTCAAGTAGAATTAAAAATATGCTTCTCGAAAAGTACTCTGAAAAGTACAATTTCTTTAAAAAGTTACTCAAATAAATGTAAATCAACAGTGTCTCTAGAAATGATTAAAATATGTTTTTCTTTTTTTTCTGAGGCATAGTTCAACTGTGTTTTCTATGTTGATGTTTTCCTTGAGTGACGGATGGCTCCGAATTGTTACGGCACCTAAGAGAGCTCCAAGTAGACAAATGTGAAGACCAGCTGACAGAGGGGGCCACTAGAGAAGGAGAGGAGGAACAGATGTGGTGCAGAGAAAATAAAAAACAGTTGATATGGGTTGTAGGAGGATTGTGAGAGACAAAAACAAAGACAGAAATTACTAGAAACAGTAGACAATGCTATTAAAACACCACGTACACTGTTTAGTAGCAAAATAAAAAATGGATTTAGTGTTTAGTTCCACTTTAACCTTTGTACAAACAGTCTCTTTGTAAAGTCAGCTGAAGCTTTAAGCTGAAGTCTACCCCTCTTTATTAAACCACAATTGATGATCTGGTTTTCTTTGCCTTTGATTTGTTTAGCTGACCATTACCATGACAGCAAATCTCCCATACCCCTTACTTTTCCCAGAATTTTTTCTCAAAAGTTTTACCAAAATCTGTGTCAGTGACCCCAAATAAAGGTTGTAAGAATAACCCAACCACATCTTAGTCACGTAAATGAACTGGAAATTTGTCTGAAACTTCAACTACTTTTGCTTTTATGTTTTGGGGTGGTTTGGTTCTAGTGGTGGAAAGTAATGAGGTATAAAAGTAAAAGTTCAATTCAAGTACAGTTTTTTTTTAGGTATCTGTTCTTTAGTAAAGTACATTTTACAGTGGATACTTCTTTCATTTTAGATCTAGACGGCAGCACATTCTTCTTTATGGTTTCAGACCTGCTGAAATGGCTGAGACTTATTTTCTAGCACATTTAATTTGAGTTTCTGTCCCGGCTTTGAGCAAACCAAAAAACAAATGCACAAAAACAGTCACAAAAGTTAAGAAATCTATTTTCTATGTACTAAATTCTTTACTAAAATCATTACATTTCATAACATCACATTTTTAATTGTTCTAACAATCTCTTACTGGTTTTTGTATGTAAGTTTGACAAAAGGGATCTTCAAAAAGATATAAGCACACCATATTTTTAGTTGCAATACAGCTGGGAAAGTATTTACTTTTTTTTTTTCTGAATACCTTTGACTGACTTTGGAGAATGTAGGAAGTTAAAGAGCAAAGGGAGAATGCAAAAACAGATCAGATACTTGTGGTTTGGAGGCGGAGCGGACTGAAAAAACCCCCCAAAAAAAACGATTTTGCAGAGAGAGAGGAAATACAGAACTTTGCAGATGTCCATAATTTTGCCCTATAGCCCCTCTAGCTCCTGATCACGTTTCTTCTACAGTGTGCAAGTTTTCTTCACACGTTTTTCCATATATTTTTACAGGCGAGCAGGGTGCAATGCTTTTTTAATGTACACAGCCAGTCAAGAGTTTGGACACACCACCTCATTCAATGTTTTTTTTCTTAATGTTTACTGCGTTCTACATTTTAGATATGGAAAACATTGCACGGGCTGCCGAACGGAGTGACACACAGTGGAATAGCAACTTTGGGAATATAGTAGATGTGGGGAGGAATTTTTAATAGATTTTTGTATTTTTTAGTTATTCTATTGTTGATTGATATAAGCATCAATGTACAAATTCATATTGGCTTCTAATTAAATATATTTGAAATAGATGCAGAAAATACAAGAAGCAAGATATATAGAATTAATGCAGCAAAAAGTAAAATAACTACATTCTAATATAAGGTTGAGTGATTTTGAGTTTATTATTTGTTTTCTACATTACCAGTCAAAAATTGGACACACCCTCTCCTTTTTCTTTATTTTTACTACTTTCTTTCTTTTGTATATACAGAAAAGACATCAAATATATGAAGCAAGATATATGGAATTACGTATGGTATTTTTTTTTTTCCTAAATATTTTTCGACAAATAAAGGGTGGCTGCTTAGAGGATTTGAAAAAGCTGTTTAACTTGTTTTTCTTTGCTACACAATTCCATATATATTACTTCATATATTTGATATAGTCTGTGTGTATGCAAAATGTAGAAATTAGTCAAGATAAGGGAAGAAAATGGTGTCCAAACTTTTTGACTGGTACATTCCATATCTGTGCATTCATTATTCGGTTTTGATGCCTTTAGTTTGAATCTACAATGTTAATGATCAGGAAAATAATGAAAAAACAAAACAAAACAAACAAACAAAACAAAAAAAACATAAATAAAAAAGTGTGTCCAAACTTTTGACTGATAGTGTACATCTATAGGAACATGCAGCAAGCCTATATACACACACCAGCCCTCTGCACGTTTTTGAATCCAGATGGTGATTTAGGAGCAGCTCCTCCAGAAAAATGTGTGTTTCATCATTTTTTCCACCCAGTTCCTCGACACGTGATGCTGGCACCAAACATCCAGCTATGTAACTGTAGAAATCTAACCAGAGTCTGTACAAACTCTATGGTTTAGAAAGAATTAGTAGGTCAATAAAATCTAACACTAGACAGAAACACTTTAAAGTCCTATATTACACAAAATGGATTAATGTGAGCAGTAAGACATGTTATAATGTTGTTACCTCATCAAAAACATACCTCACATATATTTGAGGAACCCTTTATTATTAAACTGTCTACATCTCCAAAGCTCATAATGCTCTATTCCACCTTGTGATATCATGTAGTGGTAGGTTTCAAGTTATCAGCTACTGTTTATCTTTTGTTCAGCAGAGATAGTTAATTCCAGGATTGAAATTATCCAAATGGTTTGAGTGAAGGTATATGGAGTTTAAAACTGTGCAGCACTTCTTGGATTACGACATGACATCACAAGATGGAACAGAGCGTTTTCTGTTTGAGGAGAACTCAGTCTAAATATGAAGGGTTTGTGTGTTAAACATGTGTGGATGAAACTAAACACAACTCCAGTTATTTGTTTGATGAGGAAACAACATTTTAAGAGATAAGAAAATAGCATTGGGGTAGCATTTCTTACATTCTGAGAAATTGCTAAAAAATGTACAAAAAAAAAAAAAAAAAGTTAAAAATACACAAAGAACCTCTGTGTTTGTAGAAAAAAATCATTTCACTTTATTAGGTGAAATACAGAAGTGAAAATAGATTTCCATTGCATTTTGTTAATCATCATTATAAATATCATTACCATTATCATTGTTAAAATCACTTTCAGCAGAGTTTGTGTAAAAACGAGAAAAATCACTCAGCACCATCTATGTTCAAAGTTCATAAATAGTATTGTATTGAATGCAGATGCCTTTTTCCACTGATTTGGTCAAATTATTGAAATGTAAACTGGGGTTAATTTCACCATTGTCACTTTATGCCTCTGTCCAGCAGGACTCCCAATGACAACGTACACAGACAAACTTAAAACAATAATAACAATAACCATACTTATAATAAGAAAGTATCCCAAAAGAATTGACAACATTAATAACATTGCACCATTGTTGGAAATCAGTACCGCTTTTTCACACATCGTAAAATTAACTTTTACAATCTAAAACATCAAGTTTCAGAAGATATTTTTCCGTCTGACTGCTTACACTGAAAAGAGTTTTTTTTTTGTGCATTCTGTTGCAATGTGCAGATATCAAACAGAATATAATATGTTTTTTCACAGACCAGTTTTATATTATTTGCATGTGGCTTTTGTGCTAATGTTACAGGTATACGAGCTAACAATTGAGACAAAACTGACCTTACATAGTGGTAGAAAATACAACCTTGTAACATTTATTTATTTTCAGGTCATAGTATCATGGCAGTGTGTGAGATTTCCAAATAATACGCTAAAAGGAAATACATTTTGTCTAATTGATCAGACAGCAGTTCAGCTGGAGTCGTCCAGTTAAACATTTAAAACCTGGTTCGTGACAGAGGTGATTGATGGAGTAACATCCAAACAGAACGTATAATATTTAACATACAAATACAAATAATTTCCTGATTCAGTTCCTTGGGCTTTTTGCACTTTTGTGGCATATACAAACCACCAAATCTTAAAGGTGTACTGTGTAACTTCTACGGTGGAGGGCCCGCTTCTTGCTTGTATCCATGAAGATGGAATGTTCCACAGTAGGGCATTAAACATATCTTCTTTGCGTTTGTTCTATTACATGTGCTCAAAAATATCTTAAAAACACGAATTCTTACCATGTGCGGGCTTGCTTCTGCCATCTTACCATTAACCTGTCTCCATTGTGGCTACCAAGTTTATTTATATACTGAGCAATAACTAAGGCATAACAAAGATATCTCCATAAAGACAGACAGGTAGCGGACCCTCCACCAGAAAAGTTACACAGTGCACCTTTAAAACATTCAACCCCAGTTCTTCAGTCTCTCATTTCCACTTGCGTTCCTGTTTTCAACTTCTCTTCTAGTCCATCCTTCTGCAGTCACTCGTTCATAAAAATTCACTATATTTCTCTACACTTTGTCCAGGAGAGATCTCTGGCAGTAGAGCAGGCGTCTTGGCGTGCCGTACTTTCTGAAAAACAACAGAGCTCCCAGGGTGATCACTACCAGCACCAAGAGGAAGAGAGGGACGACCACCGCCACTGGCCCTGCCCCCCATTGTGATTCGTCCACTTCTATAATGATCACTTCCTCTTCTCTTCCGCGTTTCGGCTCCTCGCTATCACAGCCCATCCAGTCACTCAGCACTGATTTGGGGTAGCCAGCCTCCACCTTCATGTACTGGTTGTTGAACTTCCAGTATTTATTGGCTTTGTAGAAATAGGTGTAAGCTAAAAAAAATAGGAATAGCTAAGTTAGTTGTAGGGTTTTTCAAAACAGGGCAGTAGACATCAGGGACAAAGGGGTCTGTTGTCCCTGGCACTAGGGTTTTAGGAGCCCAGAGTTGGACCCCCATCCTAATAATTTATATTAGAAAGGAGGCCCACGTGAGACCTCTTGCCCCGGGCCCCCAAATTTCTGTTGACAGGCCTAGTTAAAAGTATTGAAAATCAGATATTAATCGATACTAAACTAGTATTGAAACTAGATTCTCATTTAAGCTGGTATCGATGCAAAAAAAAAAAAAAAAAGCTTTAGAATAATCTTGAGCTGCATCTCCTTTATCGCCTTATTTGACACCAGTCTCGTGATTCGCTACTTATAATTACCATTTATATTTTTTCTCTTTGTTATTATACTATATTGTGATATGTAAGCTACTGTGTCCAAATAATTTCCCTTGTGGATCAATGAAGTTTGTCTATCAGAGCAAGTATAAGAGCATATAGACTAGTATAGACCCATGGACCACAATGGAACCTACCTGGACAACAGAGGGATTACACAGATATAACACCACGTGTTAATATAAAAAAGTACTATTATTTAATGCTGAAAATGTCATTCTACTGTCTAAAGAAATAATCGGTATTGAGAATCGAGTCTATTCCTTAGTATCAATATCGAAAAACGAAATTTGAGTATAGTGACAACACTGCTTAATTGCTGTGTCTGTTGTGTTATAATAATCACTAGGAGGGTCTAACTTACATCCATCTTCACTCATGATGGCTGCTTTGATGTTTTCTGGGGCTCCACTCCATGTGCTGATGGCCTTGGGGTAACCGTGGTCTACAGAGCGAGTCTTCTCATTGAAACGGTAATATCTGTAAATGCATAGGATTAGATTGTGAACTGTGGTGTCACAATATTCTAGACCCCTATAGTTTAAAGTGGGACTAAACACCTAAACTCTGTCCAAAACCACATTTCAAATAGAGTTGGTAAACTGGGCAGTACCTGGAGGACTAAAAGGGAGAGTGAGAGAGGAGAGGCAGGGTTTGAGTCGTATAAGGGACAGTGTGATTCGTCTAATAAGTATCCAGGCTTCAGTCTCCACCCCTGCAGTGAGGTACTTTTAATCAGAAACACCAGGCCGTAACCAGGACAGTCCAGTGTGATGTCACCAACTACTTTAAATTGCTATGATCACTGGAGTCAGGACACACCCATTTTTATACATTGCTGAGCATAATAGGTTCCTGCCCTCCATCTGGAATCAGGATAATCAAATTCTACGATGTAAGTGCACCCTATTCTATTACAGATCCATTAAAATTCATAATAACAATGGAGCAGACTTTGCCGTAAACATCATCACAACAAAGAGAGCAGTGAAGTTATCGACACCTCCCATGGAGCTGCACATCACATTAGTACCAAAATGACTAATCATAAATTAAGCAAGTAGAGAGCAGTGGCCGTGTGCCGGTGGCTCTGAAAACGGAAGTTGATCAGCAAAATGGTGTCTTGAAATTAAGCAATTAAAGATTGCTCAAATGTGCACAAATACTTTGGTTGAGTAAATGGTTAAAAGCTCTGAAAAGTTGCTTTAACTCTTCAATTTGCTTTGCTAGGTAATATTGAAAAGTAAAACTGACTTGTTTGCTCTGAAGAAGTAGGTCTGTCCTGTGGGGGTGTAGAATAGAGCAGCATCGATCTTGTCTTTGGGTAGACCTGTCCCCATGTCCCTCAGGTTTTTGGGAGACTCCTTATCCATAGCAGACTCACTGTAGACCCAGTATTTATCACCTGCAAATCACAACCAAGAAATATTAGAAAGACAGTAATCGTTTGCAGACACACACAGCAGCTGCGATGATGCAATGTCTCAAATCTGGTTTCGATCACACGGGGCCTACCCTTGAAGAAGACAAATTTTCCATCATCCCTCTCAAAGGCAGCGTTGATCCCTGACGGCAGCCCTTTCCAGAAGTGGCCAATGGGCATGGGGTATCCGGGCAGGACTTTGTTGTTGCGAACACGCCAAAACCATTTATCCTACAAAAGCAATTAACATTAGGGTTGCCAAAAGTATCAAAAATCAGATACTCATCAATACTAAAACTAGTATCGAAGTTAGATACTCATTTTAGCAAGTATCAATACTAAAAAAAAGTCACATTCACAGGACAGAAATTAACCTTTGAACAGCTTTAAGTTTAGATGAGCTGTCTCAGAACAAGAATAAGAGCACATAGACTAGTAAAAGCCCATGGGCCACTATGAAACCTATCTGGACGACTGTGAGATTACACACATGGTAATATAAAGGAAAGCTCTACAATTTAAGGTTGAAAATGACATTCTGTTGTCTAAATAAAGAATGTTTTTATGAGCATCGTGGTAATGAAATCTGTATTGAATATCGAGTCTATTCTGCAATATTAATTTTTTTTTTACATTTTTTGTATTATTTGTAGATGGATTTCAAAATGTGTCTCAATATATTATTTGGATGTTGGGATTTGTACCTTAAACACAAACTTCTCTCCTCTTAAGACAGCGATAGTGTCAAAATGTCCCTCACAAACGTCAGGCCCGTTGTCGGGTTTACTGGGATTGGTTGCCTTTGTGGGACGGGGTGGTGGAGGAGGAGCCCCTGATTTAGTACCTGTGGAAAAATAATAAAATATTGCCTTTTTAAAGGTGCACTATGTAACTTTTTGTTTGGGGGTCCGTTTCCTGTTTCTATGAACATGTCATTTCTCTACCTGGAATGTTCCACAGTAACATTAAACAGCCGTATTTTACATTTATTCAGGGTTTTTATAGCTCAAAAATACTAAGAAAAACAGACACTCTGACTGTGAGCTGGGTTGCCTCTCCACAGATCTGACCTTTAACTTGGTCTGGTCAGCATGAAGAAGAAGAAAGGTTTAATACAGTGCTGTGAAACATTCCAAACAAAGCAATAACATCTCCATGGAGAAAAGCATTTGACGGAGCCTTCACCAGAAAAGTTACACAATACACCTTTAATATTGTAAACATGAAACACCCACATTTATGGCTGGTTATCTTACCATAGATTGCTTGGATGCCTCTGCGGTCATCATCAGGAAGCTGGAAATTTTCAGTCTCAAACCACTGGTAAAAGGGCGCCATGATGGCAGAGGGGTTGTTGGAGTGTTCCAAACCGAGGGCATGACCCAGCTCATGGACAGCCACCAGGAAAACATCATTACCTTTACAGGAACAGAAAGGGTAAAATGTCAAATACAATGTTTAAAACTGTATATGAAATTGCATAGTGAGTGAATAAATAGTTGTAGAAACTGTGGTTACTTTTTTTTTTGCATTTCTACAGTTTATTATTATTATTTGGAGAGGTGGATAGAGTATGCTTAAAATTGTACTCAGAGTAAAGTTACTTCAAAGTAATATTACTCAAGTAGTAAAACGTACTGGTTCAAGAAATAACTAAAGTAAGAATAAAATGTATTTGGGAAACTGCTACTCAAGTAAGAGTAACTTAAAGAATAATTGTGTGGACTCAACATCTGATCTATAATTGTACGCAAATGCAATTTGAAGGGCAAAACATTAAAGAAAACATCATTTGAAACACGAAATCATACCTGAATGAGTGGTGCAAGAAACACAAATGTTCAAATCGTTTAATATTGTCAACATGAAGCTTTTGTTACTTGCTAATGTGTGCATCACCATGGTAACCACCCCCAGTGTGCAAAACATCAATTGCCCTACAATGACAATCAAGTGTACAAACAAACCTGGACCAGCCAAGATCCTATCAGAACAATGGTTGTTGCTTGTTTTGATATTAATTTTCCTTAATCAATAAACACTTAAATTCACCCTCACCTCCCTGATCAACATTCCCAGTGGTCCAGGGCTCTGCGAGGTCAAAGTGTGTGTCGCCGCCGATGCCATTGCCGGGGAAGTACGCGTGAGCCAGGAAGCCCCCCTCTCCGTCAAAGGGTGTGCTGTCACCATGGAAACCCTCAGAAAAGGACAGCATGATGTCGGCGAACTTGTCCACCTTGCCTCTGATCTGGCTAAAGGGGATCTCTCTGAAGGTGAGGGGAATGGCACTCTCCCAAACCCTGAAGGCTTTCCGTATGGCTTCGTATGTAGCTCGTTCACCGACTTTGGGAGTGTAGTTCTCTATGCTGTGGACAATTACATGTAACTGATGATTAAAGGGCCCCTATTACGCTATTTTATGATCTATGTTATAATGTTGTTTCTTCATCACAAACATAACTGGAGTTTTGTTTTGTTTTGTTCACACATGTTTAACACCAAGTCCTGCATGTTTAAACTATGTTCTTCTCTCAACCGGAAAACACGCTGTTCTACCTTGTGATGTCATGTGGTACTAGAGGAAGTGCTCCACTGTGTTTTTAAACTCCACACACCTTCACTAGAATAATTTGGAATCACCACTCTCAACCGAACTAAAGGAAATAGGTAGCATCACAATGTGGAACAGAGCATTTTGAGCTTTGGAGAGGTAGACAGACTAACAATAAAGGTTACTAAAATGTGTGAATGAAACAAAACACAATTTAAATGGCTTAAAACTCTCAAGAATCAAGTTAGTGTATCATAGGACCTTTAAAATAGGACTTAATATGGGGTCAACCAATAATATTTTTCAGTAATAGTAACTGCAAGTACTACAGTATACAGTATAGACAAAGTATATGTTTCCTGACCTGAAAGTGATTTCTGATTTGTCCCACTTCAGCCCCTGTACAGCATATCTCTTTCTCCTCAGGTTAGTTTTCAGTTCTGGGCCAAACTTGTCTGCTACACCACATCTAGGTCTGCTCATTGCTCTAAAGACAAAAAAAACTGTTTAAAACATGTCATTTCATGTAATCCAGAAACACCACTTCATATTTTTGTACTTACTGTATTGTATTTGCATCTATGCTTCCTGTCACTGTTAATCCATAAAACCTTTGCATAGCTGATATTGCTTCCTTCACAGACTTAGGGGACCGAATCGCCTGAGCTCTGATATCGCCTGGGGGCAGGTAGCCATACTGCTGGAGCCAAGCCTGAAAAAGAAAGGCATAGTTATATTACAGGACTATTTGCAAAGGTGGGTGGTACTCAGATACATTTACTTTGGTTTGGTTTCTTTCACATTAGTAGTTAAAAACACATTTGAAAAACACCATGAGACTTTTGAGTAAGAAACTGTACTTTTCAGAGTTTATATTATATTTTTATTTGAAGTAAGAGCACTCTTGAGTAAAAATTTGGGTGATTCTTTGCACTGTGAGTAAGTCTACAAGTAACAAAAGCTTTATCTCAAAAATACGAAATGATTTGAACAGTTGTGTTTCTTGCTCCGATCCTTCAGATCTGATTTAGTTTGTCTCATTTTGGCTACTCTTACTTGAGTACGATTTTTGGCTACTCCCCCCACCTATGTGTTTGTCTATTTCAAAACCAACATTACACTCACTCTAAGTAAAGATTATGATTTACATAGTTCTCCCACTCATTTCTAATTCAGTAAGATCCACTTTACCCACAGTGAAATAGGTTGTGCACGTCAAAACACTTAAAAGATCTATATTACGCTATTTTCTGATCTATGTTATAATGATGTTTCCTCATCAAAATCAAACCCGGAGTTATGTTTTGTTTCATTCACACATGTTTAACACACAAATCCTGCTCCATACACCTTCACTAGAATCATTTGAATCATAAAAGGTAGCTGTTAAATTGAAAACTACCATTACATGACATCACAAGGTGGAACAGAGCATTTTAATCTTTGGGAATAGACACATTAATAATAAAGGGTTGCTCAAATATGTGCGAATGAAACAAAACACAACTCCTGGTATGTTTTTGAGGAGGTAACAACATTCTAACATGGCTTAAAGCTCACAAGAGGCAATTCTGTGTAATATAGGACCTTTAAAATTGCTTAGTCAACATCAAATTACTTGTACTGTATGTACTTGTATGGACCTGTGTGTTTATCTGCCCTTAGGTCCTGTTTGGGCCTGCAACCTTGTTCAGACTTTCAGCACAGAATTCATGATTGCTGGGACAAAAGCTCTGAATGCCAGTAAGATTTCAACCAACAAAAATATTTCTATAACCCCTTCTGAAGCAGCCTTTACACAAACACATGCACACAAACAGCTTTAAAAAAACACTAACCGCTCATATGCCCCTATATTTCTGCTGAACTTGCAACGGAAAACTTTGTTGTGGGGTCGTAAGGCCAGGGGAGGAGTACAAAGCCAAATAAAACACATATGCTGCTAAGTAAGTACTGATGTCACACTGCACCAACTTGTCTAGACAAACGCAGCCAAAAACAACTGGCTAATGCTGAAAAAAGAAACAGTGTAGGCAACATTAAGGATTGTCAAAGCTTGAAATTTGGAGTCGCATTGGCTGTCTGTTCTTATAAACCAAAACCACCAGTTGAACTCTGTTTATCTTAACACACGAAAATCCTGCCTATTCTTTCCACTGTCAGCTGCTGGTGGTCCTGTTTAATGGTAAAAATAGAGCTGTAGGCCTTTAGCTGTTTAAAGGGCCCATATTATGCTATTTTCTGAGCTATGTTATAATAATAATTATATAAAATATATAGTTATATAAAAATCTATACACCACTAGAATCATTTGGATAATTTCAGGCGAGAGACTGCCTACCTCTACTGAACAAAAGATAAAAGCTAGCTGTTAAATGAAAACTATCGCTTCATGACATCACAAAGTGGGACAGAGCATTTTGAGGTTTGGAGATGTAGACAGACTAATAAACCAGAATTCTAACATGGCTTAAAGAGTCAATTTTGCATAATAAAGGATGGCAAATGTCGATGGTGTTTTAGTCAACCAGATTTTGTATTTGAATAATCATATGTGCAACAACAGCTGGAAGGAGAAGTTAGTGAGTGAGTTGCTGAAAATGTGGTATTTTTGGTTATTTACGTGCAAAAATGCAAATTAAAGTCATGATTCACACCTTCAATCTGCCTTTTTCCTGCATAAATTGAATTTTTTAAATTTACTCTCATGCAGTCATAGTCTTGTGAATGCAGTTTGGGTCAGATACATAGACATTTGCAATAGTTTTGAGAACTGTGGTGGATTAGCAAGACATGATGACCAAAAGTGTCTTTAGTCGACAATAGCCCTATTTAAAGCACACACCACATTGTATATATTATTATAAAGTTAACCTAAGACTAAAAAAACTTATGGGTTGCTTTTTGGCTTAATTGATGGCTTTACTTTACTTTATCATTGATCTTAATGTACAAATTTGTGTGTGAGTATAGACACACTAACAATAAGGAGTGGGTAGGGTATGATAATTACTATATATAGAACAATTACTTGATGTGGTGAGTATTTAAAGTGGGGACTTTTTCTTTCCTTCACTATGTAATAAACTGCTCCATAATGAGCTTTGAGCTATAGATGCAGGAATAAATAACTTCTATGACTCATTATAGATGAAAACTAAGTACTAAAGTGTTTCATTTATTTATGACACTTCATGTTTTTGTCAATATTGTACATTTAAAAGTCTTTTGGGAGAAATCCTGCATCACAATCCTGTGTCAGTGTCATAAATTAGTTTCAAAATCATAATATAACACCTATTTTTACTTCAGCAAAATATCGCACTTCCAAACTTGTTATGGTGACAGGTCTAGAGGTGGGTAGTGTTTTTGGGGAGGTTATTGCTATGACGATATAACAACTATATTATGGCAAACCATCAAAGAAAACCATCAAAAATATGTCTGTAACTTGTGGATGAGGCTCAAGACACAAAATGTGAAATGATCCTTGATCAAACTGCAGTGTTTTCATTATAGACAATTTACTTGTTACTCTAATTTACACCATGGTCAGTGAGAGTTCTGTCTAAAGGCTAAAACAGCTGTGCATTATTTATGTATAACCATGCAGGTAGTTCCAGCAACAGTTTATCACTGTTCTATATCACTACGCTGTGAGCAACATCATACCAATGGGTAAACAAATGAACTACTGTTAGGGGGGGGATTAGCTTCAACTAAAACAGAAATAACTAAAGCTTTGAAAGTTGTCAGTTTTAAAACTAGGAAGTTTGCATATGGGCTCTTCCGGCTCCTTCTGACCCTGGCTCCCACTGATTTACATTGGAATATTATCGTCCCTCTCTCTGTAACTCCTGCTGTGAGACTCATCATTTTGGTCTTAAAATATATAAAAGTCACACAATGGCTATAGATGAAGATAAGTCATACTAGTCCTATCACCAATGACATTTTGTGTCTTCAACCTCAACCACAATAATTCCAGATGAGCATTTCAGACATTCCATATAATGTCATAAACACTGCACTGTGTTTAAGACATTAATTTGATCAAAATACATCAATGTGCAAAGTGAGCAATGTGTGTGTGTGTATAATAAATTAACAAAAATTATATATTATACCTCAATGATAATAAAAAAACACCCTTTCTTTAGACAATAGAATGTGATTTTCAACATTAAATCATAGCACTTTCTTTTATATTACATGTCATCTTATATCTGTGTCTTGTATCTGTGCCGTTCAGGTAGGTTCCACAGTGATCCATGGGTGTATAATAGTCTATGTCCTGTTTGTTTATTTATTTATTTATTTCGGACAGTAATACATAGAACATAAATAAAAAAACAAACAAAAACTAAATAATAAAAAACAAAACAAAAACGTAAATACATAGATATAACACAAAAAGTAACTATTTCTATTCTATAATAACAGGCAAAATAAATGTTACACAGAATTTTCCTTGTGTCCGAAAAAGGAGTGGGAGGAAGTAAATACTTGTGAATGTGACTTTTTTTAAGAATCGATACCTGCACGTATGAGTGTCTAATATTGATACTAGTTTGAGTATCGAATAGCATCTGACTTCGATACTTTTGACAACCCTATAGTACATCATAGAGATGCAACTTGATTCACAAAGCTATAGGGTAAACCAGGAATAATAAGGATCACATTTCGCCCCACTCCTCGACAACTTACCACTGTTCAGTTAATTGAATTTGCCTTCCATTTACTTCAAATCAACCCACCACTAACTTCTACATCCACTTATTTCTCTTCCTCATGTTCTGACTACGGCTAGTGTGCCCCGTGGCTCCAGTCTGCGTCTATAAAAACACACTAGCAGCTCCTCTTGGGACGCCAGTTATCCCGACCTGCACCCTCCTCCCTGGAACTCTGGGCAGCCCGAGTCAAAGCACCTTTTTATTGAAGCTTGTACATGGCTGGTATTGTTGGCCGTGGGGTGGTGGGAAGGTAGTTTGTGTGGTCAAAAGGCTGCAGACTGGTTTGGTAAACACACACCAGGCTCTGTGCAGTGAATGGAGTGACATATGGGTCTAACATTGAGGGTTAATTCTGGTGAAGCTGTGGGATGGACTTTTCGACCTCAATGTGACCCTTATAGTGAGTAGGATTGTCAAAAGTACTGAAAAAGCAGAAAAGTCACACAATTAACCTTTCCTCAATAACTTTAGAATGATCTGAAGCTGTAACAGAACAAGTATAAGAGCACATAGACTAATATAAGCCCATAGAACACTATAGAACATACCTGGACAATTGAGGGATTACACAAATATAAGGCCGCAGGGTAATATAAAGAATAGTACTATCTCATAAACACAAAACATTATATTTGATAACAATAATTCAAAGTTAAAATAATGCATTTTGAATACTTTGATTTCATTAAATGTTCCCATTAAATTGACAAGTGCGCACCTTATGTCTCCAGATTCACATATTAGAACCAATATCTGTTAAGTGTTCACTGTCACTTTATTCATACATTCAATAATACAGCATATGCAATAAATGAAAGTGACACTCAACAATACATAATGCATAAACTGTAGCCAAGACTACTATGCACTAATGCTCTGAATGGAAACTGGGAAAAGCAAAAAAAGGATAAAAGTTTTACGGTCACAATCACCATAAAGGCAACAATAGCTGCATTGTTTGTACTGAGTGTCTGTTGACAACATGCTCCATACAGAAAGGTGGTAAGTGATGTTTGGAGCCAAATCTACTAAGACTGGAATAATCAAAATGCTGAAACTGACCAACAGATAATTAAGACTATTACAAATACAGGGCCATGGGTGACACATTGTGTAAAGCCTGGTGGATTCACATTCACGTCACACTTCTGCAGCAAATGAGCTGTTTCCTGAAGTATAAAAAAGATGCAACCACAAGTTCCTCAGAAATAAAAATTCACAGCTGAAAACTTTATCTTTGAAATACCATATTTAGACATTGAAGACAGCAAGACACTTTGGTAATTTATGCTAGGCATGGAAATAGAACTCCAGCCAAAGGTGGTCAAAATTAAATTATATTTGATCATTCTAAATGTCTATTTTGGTCTTCAGAAACTCTACCCTATGAGAATCAAAGGCATAAACGGACAAAAAGCCAAACTCTAGGTCGAGTAGAAGACAATCTGACGTGGAGTTTGCTTTGGAGAAGGTAAAGGCATTAATGTGGTGAAGAAAAGTCAGGAAAGGGGCTGTGAGTTTGAGTGAATCTGAATTTAAGCGACGGAGTCAGTTGTTCCTATCCCTCTGTGCCAATGGAAAAAAACTAAGAACTCTGGTCATAAGCAGCTGAAACTCGCATTGCCTTCATTTCTTGGTGTCTGTTTGACCCATTTACCAAAGCAGCTAGTTTAAAGTAGGGTAAGTTACAGTTGTGAGATTTATTTTTACAAAAATGTGACTGATTACATTGTTTACACGGACATAAATAAATATTTTCACTTCTACAGATGATCACTAGTTTGCTGCATGTATAAGCATCCATTAATTTTGACTTTGAAAAGTCAAACATAAACATGAACAACATGACCAGATATCCATCTGATTACTGAAGTGAAAACACATGTGAGATTAGGATTGTGAAGTAGTGTGGATATTCCATGGAAAATGCAGAGCAACTGATGTCTGATGTTTTTGGATGATACATAGGCCAGCTTTTGATCAAACAAAACTTTAATCAGGTTATCAGCTCAAACATATCGGTCGATGAGTGAATGTGATGTGTGTTGGTGATCGCAGCTTCGCTTCCATCACTGAAGGATCAATAACATACTAACACAACACACAGCCATGGCATAACTTGTCAGTTTTTCTGTATTCACACAAAGCAAGGCCTTCTGCGGAGATAAGCACTCATACTCCTTTGAAATTTAGCAGCTCTTCATTAAACTTAATGTAAAATTTACTTTTCCATTTCTTCCACACGTGCCGAGCGTTGCCTGTCAGAGCTGAGTCTTTGAAGCTCCCTCACTGCAGCTGCAGTGGTGATAAAGAGAAACAGAGCCAGATGTGTTTTGAAGTGTGTCCGTCCCTCACAAACATCACCAGACGTGTGTCTCCATACAGCACGAGGAAATCTCCAGACAGATCCACTTAAACCTGAGTGTTTTCATTTCTGTCCACCTCTCACTTGCAAAGTGCAGCAAAGCATTTTATTTAATAACAGAAAGGTTAGACCAGGCAAAATAATATGAAGGAAAACATGGCGAGGTGCAGTGGATTAGCAAGAAGTGGTTTTCCTTTCAGATATTTTTTATTTATTGTCTGGTGGAGCTTCCTCATCACTCACTGTGGATTACATCTGTCAAATAGAGTCACTCAGATCTTAAGCAACACTGATACACCACAAAATTCCTCTATTCTGTTTCCAGATCCAAACTTCTGCTTCTCAGTTCTATTCTTTCATGAGAGTTTTGACTATTACAACACCAGAGAGAGAACACTTCAAATGACAAAGATACTATCTCGCAATGGTAAAAGACTTATAATTATATATAATTAATATAATTATCCAGTCATGAAGCAGTCATTTGCTTCAGAAAAAAAAAATAAAAAATTTTAAGGGTTGGTTACTGCCTGACCAACAAAGTAATGGCAAGGTTAGATTCACCAAAACTGTCAAATATTTACTTTTATTGATAAACTTCTAAATTATATATTATATATTACGTTATTGAAGAATTTCTTGCTCTAGTTTGATAAACTTTCTCTAGTCCTGCCCAAGTCCTTAGATCATAGGTTTAGTATCCGAGTCACAGGTGAAGTAATCCCTATCCTCTAATTTACAGCTTATCGTCTTTCTGTATCAGGACTGGCTGCTATGACACAATGACAACATCTCATCAACGCTAAAATCTCTGTACACAACTTTATTTTTTTTACATTTTATCTGATGTAAAAGTCCCACCATTGTTGCAGAAGAATAGGTTTGATTCACTGCTCCAACATGGCCACAGATGTTTACCCAGCCCTGATCAGGATGCTGTAAATGTTGGTGAGTTTTCACAGACGTTAATCAGAGTAGCTTCTTATAATAAACTGTCTGAGTTGTTTTGTGTCTCGTCTGAGTCACTTGCCAGCATCTTGTGGTCAGTGACTAAAGCCTTCCTCCAGTGCCATGCATCCTGTCCGCTACCACTATATAGGATTGTCACGGTAACAAATTTTGAAGCACAAAACATTACTACAATAAATGATAAAATTTAAAGGTGCACTGTGTAACTTTTCTGGTAGAGGGTCCATGTTATTGCTTTACCTCCAATATTAGTATGGCATTAAACTTCACAATCTCCATAGGAACCAGCAGGAGTCAGTATTTTGAGCAATAAAAACACACTTAACTGAATGAATCCATCTTATATAAGTTTAATACCATATTGTGGAACATTACAGGCAAAACAATAGCATCTCCATGGTGGCAGACAACCAAAAATTAAACAGTGCACCTTTAGACTACTTTATGCCACTGACACAAAGGAGGATAATCCTAGTAAAACATTTTTAAATAGACAGTATGATTAAAAAGCCTAAGCTGCAACAAATGAATAGTAAAATGAAATGATAATTAGCATTAGAAGATTTTTATTCAACTTTTATGGCTCTTATTTTAACCTATTACGTAAAAATTTCTAAAATCCCCCACTATAACAAAGAAAAAGTTAATATAAATGATAAACATTGAGGTCCAAAATATATGGTTCCAGCTTTCATATTTTGAACTATACTGATATTGTAATGATCGAACAGGCCTACCACCACAATACAGTTACTTTTACATTTTCATATTGGAAATAAAATTTTAAGAGTAATTTTGTATATAGCTCCCTTAACAAAACCTATAGACAAGTAGAGATAGCCCCTTATTAAACAGTGTTACTTTTCTAAACTAAAACAACAGTTTGTTAATTTGATCTTTGAGAAAACAGGAAGTGGATGATGCAGCTGTGCCCACTGGTCACGACACCACACTGACTTTTGGTCCAAAAATGTTTTCCTTTTTCCTTTTCCTGTCTTCTCATTACATTACACAGCTAGATCAATCACCTGGAAAGCATCAGTTCCAGTGATATTTATTCGTTCAATCCAGTCAATCATCTCCTGCTCTATCAGAATTAGTTAAAAAATTGTAAGAGCATTCTAGGATCGTACACCCTACACAGATGAGCTATTTGCTGTAGACTGCAAGAAAACTGAAGAGCTCAAATTACATGTTTTTATTATTCTGTGTTTATGTGTTCTCATCTGAGTGATACGTTACCTGGCCATCATTCTTGCGTGCCGGTACCACTATCTGATCTTATCTTCATGGTATGTATATATTTGGGACGAACAACCATTTCAAAAGCAATTTTATAATTGGGTCAGGTTTGATGGCGCCTTAGTGTGTGCACCCACTCATTTTGAGAGCTGCATGAGACGTGTTGACTCAAATAATATGCAGTTGTGTTGACTTAAGTGTTGTAGTGTCTGAAGCTGGTGGACTCCTCTCCCAATGCCTTATGTTATGTCCAGCTTGTTATGGACAGACTTCCTGGCCAAGCAGCAGTTTGTCTGTAAGTCTTAGACCAGATGAAAACCATTATACTCCCCCTCTTCTCAAACTTAGCCACCCCCTTTTCCCAGGACAAAGCAACTCAGCTGTGGTCTGCAAGGCTCCTGCAGGACTGGAGTCCCACACAAAATCAAAACAACTTCACACATTTACAACACCTTGATACGTTTCAGTAAGTTTTTACAGTGATGTACAGAAGATATTAACACATAGATACATTATTATCAACATTTCAACACATAGAATTTTAATTTGATAGCACTTACCTCAGCTTTAAGCACATTTGCAGACACTGATGTGAAGCAGCATAGACCACAGGCCAGGGTTATAAGACTGGGCAGCATTGTGCGACCTGCAGACTAGGCCCCAAAATGATATTTTTCTGTTGAGTACAAGTCCCACCACTGTCCTAGCAGCACGCGACGAGGATGGAAAAAATATCACTGCTTCTCCGTTGTGCTTTCAGTATCCGCATGAAAAATAAACTTTTCCAACTAAAAACGTTCTAGATAAACTTGTACTCACTATAATAATGGACTAACGCACACGAATTGCAGTGATAGACTCGTCTAAAGTTGGCTCATAACATAGTTTGGTAGTTGCTCCTTCGCTACGGCTGCCTGAAGCGTGAGGACGTGGTAAGAGAAAGAGAGAGAGAGTTGGATTTTCTTCAGGTCCTCCTCCAGATGTGATGACTTTTTGTGCCTGTGACGACAGCTGATATACCACTACCACGTTGGCTGCATTGCACACGTTTGGTCATGTTTGGTAAAGAGTGTGTTTGTGTTATATTTATAAGTTATTTGCGTCACGCGTAGTTTTCCAGAGAACTTTGAGGTCAAAAATGTAATTAGTTTTCAGCAACAATAGGCTAAATTGACAACAACAAATAAAAGGTAACAATCTACAGAGAGTAGACCAAATGTAAATATTTTTTAGATTTTATACAGTTTTAATGAGCTGAACAAGTTTATCAATTTATACTTGCTCAATGGTGACACCTTGTGGTGAAATTATAGTAAACAATTTTAATACCCTGATAAACAGAACCATTTTCACCATGTTTAGTGATGCGTGTATATAAATCATGGGCTTTAATATAGCACTATTATTTTTAATACTAAGATACTGAAGTTTATGAATGAAAAATGAACGTCACCATCCCAGCCTCCAGACGTCACGGGCGCAGTCCCCGGAAATGGCTCAGAACTTGTCAACACGAAGGGCCGACTGATACGGTGAGGCATTCCGCTGTGGTTTTTACTGTTTTTCGGTGTTGCTTTTGCTTATATCTTACATATTCTACAGTTAATGAATTTTGGGGTCTTTTGTGTAGACCTCTAACTATTTTTTGAATGGTGTCGCAAAACGAAATGTTCGATAAAACGGAGAGAAAAGTGCTGGTATTAGCGTTAGCTGTTAGCTCGACAGGAAGCTAAGCGAAAGAACTGTTTGTTACTAAAGAAGGCGAGCAGCTGCTCCCACTGTCTGCCTCAGCCAAAACTATAATCCAACAGCGTTTTACAACATCTTTCTGCGAAATTTGTTTATTGATCATGTTGAATAAACATTGGATTTTAGATTTCACACAAGAATGATAAAAGTGCGGGGGAATTATCATTAATTTGAGCGGTTTAACGTGGGGACAATGGTACGAAGTAAACACCCTCGTTGGTTTTCCTTTATCCGCTTACGGAATGACAACAATCGCATATTATTCAACAGCCTCATTGGTGGAATGTGGCTCATTATACTGTATAATGCTGTATATAACTGTACAAAGCTGTAAATATTCTTTTGCCTTTTAAAACTAATGGACTTATTGGTTGAACAGAAGTACTAAACTTATTAACACATTTCTGTCTTCTTCACTTAAAACCGTATCTTTCCTCCCACAGGTGATGTCTTCCTCCTAAAATGGGACTTATATGACATTTTTTGCTGCTCTGATTTTTTTTTTCTTTCAATATTTTGTGGAGGAGCATTTACAAAATGTCAGTTGCATGCAGCATCCTTGTTGTCCTAATCTTTTCCATTTTATGTAAGTAAAAATATTACAGGTACAACTACAATAATGTGCTGCTTATACTTACTCAAAGTTAAAGTAATACTGATTATTGAATATTCACAAATGTCATTCATACACTGACTGACTTGATCTGTGTTGTTTCCTCACAGCATGCTGCTGTTTTGAGTTTACCCTTTCTTCCGGTAAGAGGCTTATAGAAATGATAGTCAACGTTTTGTATTTACAAATTATGCTAATGTCTCTTTCACTTTCTGTTACAGCACGCTGTAGCCGCTACCTTCAGGTTACAGACAACCAAGTGGGAGAAATCACAAGTTCAGCGTACCATAGCTACTCTTATCGATATGGCTCCACCTATGACTGCTGGGTCATTAAGGGCTTAGAAAACCAGCCTATTGTTCTTAGGTACAGGATAATAAAGCACCTATAAGACAGACACCACAAAAATGTATTTTAATGTTGTCATAAATTAATGCATTTTTGTCCATTTGGATTTTTCTAGTTTTTCCCAGTTTTCTGTGCGGTGCAGGAAGGAATGGGTGTCTATAAAATCATCAGTTGGGGGTGAGCCAATGGTCCTCTGTGGAAAGATGCCCCAGCCCATGGAGTTTTCTGGGGGCAATATTACCATAATCCACCATTTTCTGCCCCATTTGTTTCCTGTGTCATCATTTCGCTTGAACTATGCCAGAGGTAATAATAATTGTTTTTGTGTTAATGTTTTGTGTTTTTTGCCATCTTCTCTAAAATGTTTCCCCTTCACAGATTCTGGTTTTTGCCCTGATACCTCCTTTCAATGCCTGGGGGGACGGTGCATTCCTCTCTCCTGGCTCTGTAATGGCCAAGTCGAGTGTCTGGACGAAGGAGTTGGTTTTGGCAGTGACGAACAAGACTGTGAACCTGAAGCTGACACCCCAGAACCCACCAGATACAGTTTCACACCAGCGGGACAGAACAACGCAGAGACTTACACAGAGAAGAATAGCGCAATGTCTCAAACTGCCATCGACACAGAGTCTGATCTCTGGGCTTTACTTAAAGAGCGCCGAGAAGAGGAGAGTGACATGGACAAACAGCTCAATGTAGTGACCCCTCCTCCCATTGACTGGCCGTGCGGGGGGTTGCTGCAGACGTTCTATGGCACTTTCTCTCCTCCGATCCTCCGCGGCCCTGCTCTCTTCTGTGTGTGGACAGTGGACCCTGAAGACTCCAGGCCTCTCAGACTGGACCTACAGCAGCTGTTACTGGGGCCTGGTGACAGACTTACAGTGTACAACAGAGAACAAGGCAAAGGGGATATACTCAAAATAGTGAGTTCTTAATTTGTTAAAGAAGCAGATACAGTCTTTCCCACAATCTTATTTTATACTAAGAGTATGGTGGCACAAGCAAGCCATATTTGAACCATTTTCTCTAAAGACAATTTATGCAGTAAAACAGGGAAAATAAGGAATGCAGTGATCCAGTTTTTTCAGTTCCAATACCAATATCAATACTGTGACTTTAAATATCTGCTGATACAGACTGAAAATGTCACTTTCTTAAAACACAGTTACGTTAGTAGACAAGAGTTCCAATTGTTATGCAACTGTTATTTATCGTTCCAGTGTCTACTGAACAGCAGATAAAAGTTAAAATATTATGAGTAGGGCTGGGCACGTTAACGCGTTAATTTAGCATTAACTAATTAAGTAATTATTGCCGTCAATTATGTTAATGCCTTTAACGCGGTTTGTATTATGTATTTATTTATTTTATTGTAAACGTCTGTTTCTCACTGGCTTTTATTTTGAAAAAGTCCACCGTGAGCGTTTCTTTAAGTTTGACGTCTTTTCTTTACACTTTTTTCACTTTTTTCTGACCACGTGAGATGCAACGTGTCCGAGCCTCTGCGAGCTGCAGGCCTGGCTACGGGGTTCGGCCACGGGCTCCGGGTCTTGCCGGACCAGCCGTGTGCTCTGAGCTGAGCTTGTTTCTTTAGTTCAGTGCTGCAGGAGGAGTCACTGATTTACCCAGATACCATTGGAAGAAAAAATTTTATTGGTCCATTTCCATTCGGTTATATTAACCCTTTGTTTCCCAAGAAATATCAATCCAAGTTTATAAGAGTGATCTAGAAATTATTACTAGTGTAGTGTTTATTACTCACTGAATACAAAATATTGAAAAAAATATATTAGTAGTACAAAAGTTCATTCAATATTTTTTCTTGAGCCTTGAGGAAATTTTTCAGTAATGGTGCTGATATTTGATAGTAGTGCCTGTATCTGTGACTCTCAAAGAAATGTCATTTATATCCCCCATTGATCAAAGTAGCACTGATTACAAATTAGTTACTTCAGTATTATGACAATACTGTAAGTTTAAAGGAGCATTTGCATCACCAGTTTGTGTTCAGCGTCTTTTTTGACTCTGGCAGCAAAATTAGACTATGGGGAGCCACCACAGTCTACTCTTTTAATGAGAAACACTGAAATGCTTATTTCTGTCTGTTGGTTGGTTAGTTATTGACCTCAAAAACAATTATTGTTCTTGTTGGTTTTCAGATCACAAGCAGCTCAAATTACAAATCGGTCCAAGTCGAGTCTCACACAGGTGTGCTTTCTTTGACGTACCAAACTATTCCGGGGTCAGAGGGGAGTGGTTTCAACGCCACTTTCCGAGTTGGAACCTACTGTCCGCCGTGGGAAGGCCGATGTGGAGGAGCTGCAGGTGGATGCTTCACTCAGGAACAGCGCTGTGATGGCAAATGGGACTGTCCGGAGACCGGCCGGGACGAGGAGGGCTGCCGGGGCTGTAGTCACAATCAGTTCGCCTGTGGGGTTGCAGGTCAGAGGTCAGTGGCGTCCAGCCATTTTACAGGCAGACCGGTGTGTTACCCCGTCACAGAGAGATGCAACTACCAGCTGTACTGCGCCGATGGAAGTGATGAGAAGGACTGCACTGTGTGTCAGCCTGGAACTTTTCATTGTGACAGTGACAGGTTAGTACACATCTTCATCCGTAGTAAGGATCAATCCAGCTTTTTTAGCTCTGATATAGATATTGCTAGTTATGGTTAAATATCTGCCAATACCTGATATTAACTGATCAGTGTAGGAACTGGGAACATAATTTTTTTCCTCCAAAAAACAACTTCCAATTGTGCTATTTATACTGAAGTAACTACTGAACAGCTTTGTATGAATAAAAGTTCAAACATTATGAGACGTTCTGGGCCGACATTAGCCTGTAAATAGTCTTATTACATCCAATTAAAAGGCCCAACCAGGATATCAGCTTAACCGATGTCCAGTACAATTTCCTGGATCTGCGGTGTTGCCAGTATCGGTATCAGTGCATCTAGATCTTTATTAGGGCTGTAGTCGACTAAAGAAATTCTTGGTCAACTAATGACATGTCCTGTTGATTGATTAGTCGACTAAAAAGGGATGTTGCAAAAAATATTATGTATCTGTGTATCTGACCCAAACTGCTCCCACATGAAAAAACAACCATTTATGCAGAAAAAAGTACTAGGAAACATGTATTTATAAAGACAGATTAAACTTGTGACTTGTGAGTTTAATCTGCCTTTTTATATGTAAATACCAAAAAATACCAATCACTAGCTCACTCACTCACTAACTTTTCCTTTAGGTTGTTGTCCTATATAAATACTTATAAATATATAAATATAAATATAAATATAATGATCAGTTGACTAATTACAAATTTTGGTCAATCGATTAATTGAATATATGACTAAAGGCCTACAGCTCTGATGGAGAATTTGTCACCCAAGAAATATTTTACATTAGTATTGTACTTTCTTTCCTATATTGTCCTTACAGTTGAATGCGATCACTATCTGAATAACTGAAACCTATACATTACTCTGTGGTTACAGGTGTGTGTTTGAGACATGGCGTTGCGATGGTCAGGTGGACTGTAAGGACGGCACTGATGAGATGAACTGCACTGTCATCCTTCCACGCAAAGTTATTACAGCTGCAACAGTGGGCAGCCTGGTGTGTGGGCTGCTGCTGGTAATCGCAATGGGCTGTACCTGCAAACTCTACTCCCTCAGAACTAGAGAGTACAGGTATGGAAGCTCTCCTGTGTCTTCTTCATGTGTATAGATCTATTAAAGGTTCTACATTGAGCAAAATAGACTCTTGGGAGCTTTGAACCAACTTATCTCATGTTGTTACCTCTTCAAAAATTACTTGGAGTTGTGTTTTGTTTATGTAATGTTATTCCATGTTATTAGTCTGTCTATATCTCTTTTAAGTTCTCTTCTAAGTTTAATGCTCTGTTTCACCTTATGATGTTATGGAGTGCTCAGTTTTCAAGTTAACAGCTACGTTTTACCTTTAGTTCAATAGAGATTGGCAATTCCAGGTCTGAAATTATCTGAATGATTCTAATTAAGGTTTATGGACTTTAAAAACACAGTGGAGCATTTCCTCTATTACCTCTTGACATAACATCATGGAACAGAGTGTTTTTAGTTTGAAAGAAGAGCTCAGCCTATATATGCAGAGTGTCTGTGTTAAACGTGTGAACAAAACAAAATACAACTCTGGGTACATTTTTGATAAGGAAACAACATAACATAGATCATAAAATTGCATAATATGGCTCCTTTGTAAAGGAGTTTTAACACTGTAATGTCTATCTGCAGCATGTTTGCACCTATCAGTCGACTGGAGGCAGAGCTGATTCAGCAGCAGGCCCCTCCCTCGTACGGCCAACTGATTGCCCAGGGTATAATTCCCCCAGTGGAGGACTTTCCAACTGAAAACCCTAACGAGGTCAGAAAGCAACAACAAAATAAACTGTGCTGAATTGAAATCCCATCAACTTAAACCTGTGATCATTTTGTCTTCCTCTGTAGACATCCTCTCTGTCTTTGAGAGGAATCCTCCAGCTCCTTCGTCAAGATGCAGCTAACTCCCCACACCGTAGACGCAGGCCCAGATTTGTGCGACGGGCTGTGCGGAGGATGAGGAGGTGGGGTCTGATTCCCAGAACTTCTTCCAGACCGTCTCAGACCTCCAGTTCCAGTGCCCCACAGGCAGAAGCAGTCTCCGCCCCCCAGGGAACCCTTCAGCCCATGGCCACCAGTTCCTCTTCAGCTGTAGAAGCAGTAAACCAGCCTGTGCCTCAGAAACTGGGCTTGGCTCAAGGGGAGCAGCAACAAGGAGCTCCTCCCCCACTGCCCCCACCATCCTCACCCCCTGTGTCCCCCCACCTCCTCCATATGCTCCCCCAGCCCCTCTTCCAGACACTCCCCACACTCCTCCAGTCACTGTCCCTCCCAGCAGCCCCTCTCTAGCCTCTATCTTCCACACACTGGGCCTGAGTATCTCTCTCTTCAGGGCCTCTCCCTCCAACAACTCCATGGCCCTGTCAGCATCGCCCTCATTCTCTTCGTCCTCCTCTGATGATGATGTTCTGCTCATCCCTCTATCAGAGGACACCTCCTCCACCGCCTCAGAGGACGATGTGCCCATGCTCACTTGATTATCTCGCTCACGTCCGTCTTCTTTAAGTAAAATGGTCTTTCCACAGTTGTTTGAACTGAAGCATAGGAGGGGTGAGCCTTACCCTTGCTGTGCAAGTCTGGTGCCTTTTGAATTTCTTTGAGTTGTAGAAAGTATTTTATCATTGAAAACAAACTCATGTGTTTTAGACAAAAAACATGGCTGACCTATGTTTTGAGAGTATGTTGGTGGTGAGTATTAATGTGCACTTAATGCTAGGCTGCACATTGAAGTAATATTTTGCACAGAAATTTCTTCCCTATCTAGATATTAAGGCAGACTACTGTCAATTTGAGTGATTTCCTTTTAGAAGTGTCCATTTTTTATGTTTGGTATGAGTGCAACCGAGTGAATGCATTTGGATTTAGTCTTATAAAGACAATGGAGCATTGTAGAGATAGTGCGCTCTGCATCGTCCTGATTCATAGCTCTCTGGCCATAAGGTTTTCTAATGAAAGTGCCTTTAGATTCATGTAGAATCATCTGAGAAGCCAAAACAAGATCACTTCAGGTCTTCACAGTGACCGTAAACATTTTAAAAACTGTGCCCCAATGTGTTTAAATGCCCAACGTTATACCGAATAGTTTGACGTAAAACTTTAGTGGGTGAAATTGTGCAGTACTCGCTCCCATTCAATCCAACAGTCTTAATAAAACATTAAATGTATAGTAAAAAATATATGTTATTGATTTTAGGGGGCTTTTTCTGAGGTGTAAAAGTGGTTTATCAGTTTCGAAGCTTCACTCTGCACAGTGCACACCAAAACAGGCACATGCTTGTACTCACACACCGCTGTATGCATTGATACACCACTGGGTACTGAAACTAATGCATGTCTCTACATAAAGTTGGCAATAATCTTTGAGACCCGGTTCTTGTGCATATCCCATCTTCCCACTTGAATGTATAAAACAGTCTCAAACTCATAAGACAATCTCTGGTGCCTGAGATAAGATGTGCTTTGCTGTGGTGTGAAGATGAAGAAGTTTGGTGTTCCCAGGGGCTCTAAATTAAACTCGACCTCAGCTAGGATCACTCTCTCACATTCTGACATAGCAGACTTGTGATGTGCCATTGTATCATTTTACTTTTAAGGTGTTTTTATTTTAGAAACATTTTTTATTGTTGCTTTGTTGAATGTATTAGGTGTAATGGAGGAGATTTAAATTTATAATATGATAATAATGAGAGAAAATAATTTGATTTATTTGGGTCATCTTCACTGTATATAAGTAAATATGTGGCTGAGATTAAACAATTTGCACTTTTAATGTTTGGGTATTGTGTTTTTAATAATTATGTTGTTTACTGAAGAGGTTTGACAGCTTACAGTGCTCAGGTGAGAACAGAAAGTCTTAAATGAATGGAGGCTTTTATAGTCATTGTTGCTTTCTTTCTTTGTATTCAAATGAGCTTTAGAAGAAACACACTGCACTGTTAGCAGCAAGAGCTTTACTCCAGCAGACGGCATGACCAAGACTACACCAAAAGACTGACAGGTGCCACAGGTACTTTCAAAGAACATTGATATTTTGCAGCTGATTTCATTGACATTCCCTGGACTTTTGATTCTAAAGGCTCTGTTAGACTTTGAAACTGAACTGGAACTACAACAGGTGAGCTGATTTGTGCTGTAATATACAGTAAATCTCTCATACAATTGCAGTCACAAGCTAGTTCAGTTGGTCACCTTTTTGTTTCTTTTTGTTACTTTTTTTTCTTGAGCTTTCAGACTACTTTCAGTCTTAAAACGTTTTTTATTTGTATTTGCTGATGTTTGCATTGTGTCATCATGGTATCCAAAGAAAATTCTGCCAATAGAGATACATGTAGAACACCCCCATCGTGATGTCCCTACAAAGAATCATTTGAAAGTAAGAGTTATTGATGTAACTTTGTGGGGATGGAAAGTCATCTGCACGATTCCATGGAAATAGAAAGTTAAAACCACTCTTAAAACCACTCAGAGTAAATATGCATGTTTCTCAGTGCAATATATAATATATATAAATTTGACAATTTTCTTGAAAAAAAGTTGGTGGTGTTCTAAAAACACAAACTTTTAAAATGTGCTCATACTATTTGTCTTTGTCATTGTCTGTTACAGGGGCAGAACAAATGATCAGATGTGCTCAGATATTATACAGTATGAGGATGGTTTGTTTTTTATGCTTCTGTCCATCACCCCTTTTTAAGAAACATCCTTTACATGTGTTAATTCACTGTTTACTCTGATAGCATTTCCTTACTTCACATGGAACATTTACAGTGTTTAAAAATAATAATATTTTACAACCCTGGTTACAGTTTAAGAGAAAGTAGCTATATAATGGCCCTACCTTATTCCCATAGACTTTTTTGGTGGTGCTTGTTTCTGTGGACTGAACTTCCTGTTTCTAGACCAAAATGTATTTTTGATGAGGTTCAGGCTCATGTCAGGCCACTCAAAGCTGCTCCTCTCCACACCGGGCAAGAGCAGTTTAAGGATCTACACAACCAAAAGTTATTCCAGCCACAGAGAAGTACTAGGGACATAGGCAGCCCACAGCCAATCAGGATTAAAACATGGTTCCCAGAGGAGAGCCATTTCCAATCAGAAGAGGAGAGAGGGAGACTGAAGGCAGCTGTGGAGGAGGCTGTCGGGACAGTGTCATCTCTGCTCTCAGGTGACCAGCTGTAAACGTTTTTGTTTTGCATAATTTCAAGTGAACAAATTAAGTATATCCTTTACTCATATTAGTGTTATTATGATACTAAAATTTCAAGCTTGATTTCGATATTAAGAATTCACTCAATACTTAATACAGATTATGATACCACAATTAAGATTTTTAAAAATGTCCTTTTTAGTAATATAGTAATATCAATCGTGTCTGATTTTCGATAATTTTTACAACCCTAATTCATATTCATTATATGTACTGATTGACATATTTGCACACTTAATGTTATGAACTTTCAGTAGTTAACAGAGTACCTGGCCCTTTACTCCTGAAGCGAGACATCAACAAATACTGCAAATTCATTTGGAGGAACGCCAGTTCTTTGAACTACAACAGGTGCCTTTTTTACCCATTCACCATCATGTAGATCACAGAGCGTCCATGTTAATTATATTGTTATGAACTCTATTATAGCTTGAATAAAGTGCATAATCTTTTGATATATACATTTTAAATCAAACATATTCATTTGGATGCAACATAGCATTGTATTAAAATGTTTACATAGAGATAAACATATAGTATCTCAAAATGCTTTATTAAATTGTCTTCCTCCTCAAGGTGTGGTCGAGCTAATAAGGCCTACAGAAATGAGACCTGCCTGGATGTGACAGTAAGTATTCAGTAAGTTAACTGAAAATGTACATAAAAGACTCATGTGTATTTGTTTATGTAGATCCCAGACGAGCACCTGAAGGGGTGTGTCATTTACCCAGAACTAAATTCATCTCTGAAGATCATGCTGAGGCCTGAAGGAACCGGATTCCCTGATACAGACTTCCTGCTGTACCTTCATGTGCGAGCCACTGACAAGTGCAGATCAGAGGTGAAACATTACTTTAATCCATCAGGAAAAAGCTAAAACTACAGAGTTTTACCCGATTTTCAACTTGATTAAAATGGTAAAAAGACAGAAACAAACCTCTCCCTATAAATACTTCTCTCAGTACATTAGTAATTATTGTTTCACAAGATTCTTTTTTTCTTTCCTTATGAATGCAATGTAGGGTTGTCCATAATGTTGAAAATCAAATACTAGAACTGATATCGAAACCACATACCCATTTGAGCAAATATCGATACTGCAAAAAAAAACAAAAAAAAAACCCAACAAATATAAGACCTCATTATGAAGACAGTACTATTATTCTTTTGGGGAAATTCTACTATAAAACACATTTTTTTAATCTTCATTGTGGTATCGTAATCTGTGTATAGAGTATTGAAGAAATCCCTTATTATCAAAATTGAGACGAATGTAATGCCATAAAAACCTTGGATTAGTAACATGTCCAGTTATTCAGTATCTCTATTCTTACTTTGTTTTTGTGTTTTTTAACTCAGCCAAATGTACAGGCGTATGCTGCTCATTGTCAAACTGGGAGTGATGGGCGTCCTTTGGCCGGAGTTGTGATTATTTGCAGAGAAAGGCTGGTTGGAGTTTTGTACAACCACCACACCACTGTTCTGGTACAATACCCAAAATACTATAATATTGTTGCTGATTTTACAACTGTTATCTTAAATGTCACTATTTCTTTTCATGTAGATCATAATCCATGAGCTGTTTCATGTTCTCGGCTTCTCAAAGACGCTCTTTGGTTCTTGGAGAGACTGTTCCACCTCCTTTCGTCTGGGTCTGTATTACACAAAATGGATTCTTGAGAGCTTTAAGTCATTGTTGCCTTTGTTGCCATTGTTGTTATAATGTTGTTGCCTCTCCACACTGGGATGTTGTTGAGATGCTGTCAAAAACATACACAGAGTTGTGTTTTGTTTAAGTAATCCTTTAATATTAGTCTTTCTACATCTCCGAAGTTTAAAAATGCTCAGTTTCACCCTGTGATGTCATGCAGTGGTAGTTTTCAAGCTAACAGCTACGGTTTATCTTTGTTCAGTAGAGCTGAAATTATTAAAATGGTTCTAGTAAATCCTTGAATCGTCACCTTATCGTGGTGGAGGGGTTTGAGTGCCCGAATGATCCCGGGAGCTATGTTGTCGGGGGCTTCATGCCCCTGGTAGGGTCACCCAAGGCAAACAGGTCCGGGGGGACGGGTCAGACGAAGAACGGTTCAGAAGCCCCTTATGATGAGTGCAACACAGAGGCCAGTTACGTCGCCCGGATTGGCGTCACCGGGGCCTCACCCTGGAGCCAGGCCTGGGGTGGGTGCTCGCCAGCGAGCGCCTGGTGGCCGAGCCTTCCCCCACGGGGCCCGGCCGGGCTCAGCCCGAAGGAGCGACGTGGGGCCGTCCTCACGTGGGCCCACCACCCGCAGGAGGATCCATATGGGGCCGGTGCAGAGAGATCTGGGCGGCAGTCGACGGCGGGGGCCTCGGCGACCGGATCTCCGGACATGGAGACTAGCTCTGGGGACATGGAATGTCACCTCGCTGGGGGGGAAGGAGCCTGAGCTTGTGCGGGAGGTTGAGCGTTACCGACTAGATATAGTCGGCCTCACCTCCACGCACAGTTTGGGCTCTGGAACCCAACTCCTTGAGAGGGGCTGGACTCTCCATTTCTCTGGCGTTGGCCGCGGGGAGCGGCGGCGGGCTGGTGTGGGCCTGCTCATTGCCCCACAGCTCAGCTCGGTGTTGGAGTTCACCCCGGTGAACGAGAGGGTCGCGTCCCTGCGCCTTCGGGTCGGGGACAGGTCTCTCACTGTGGTGTCGGCCTACGGGCCGAACAGCAGTGCTGAGTACCCGGCCTTCTTGGAGTCCTTGGGAGGGGTACTAGACAGTGCACCGACCGGGGACTCCGTTGTTCTCCTGGGGGACTTCAACGCCCACGTGGGCAACGACAGTGACACTTGGAGAGGGGTGATTGGGAGGAACGGCCTCCCCGATCTGAACCCGAGTGGTGTTTTGTTATTGGACTTCTGTGCTAGTCACAGTTTGTCCATAACGAACACCATGTTCGAGCACAAGGGTGTCCATAAGTGCACGTGGCACCAGGACACCCTAGGCCGGAGGTCGATGATCGACTTTGTAGTCGTGTCATCTGATCTCCGGCCGCGTGTCTTGGACACTCGGGTGAAGAGAGGGGCTGAGCTGTCAACTGATCACCACCTGGTTGTGAGTTGGGTTCGCTGGCGGAGGAGGAAGCCGGAAAGACCTGGCAGGCCCAAGCGTGTAGTGAGGGTCTGTTGGGAACGTCTGGCGGAGCCCTCTGTCAGAGGGACCTTTCAACTCGCACCTCCGGGAGGACTTCTCCCGGATTCCGGGGGAGGCTGGAGATATGGAGTCCGAGTGGGCTTCATTCTCGGCCTCTATTGTCAATGCGGCTGCTCGGAGCTGTGGGCGTAAGGTCTGTGGTGCCTGTCGCGGCGGCAACCCCCGAACCCGGTGGTGGACACCGGAAGTAAGGGATGCTGTCAAGCTGAAGAAGGAGTCCTATCGGGCCTTGCTGGCTCGGGGGACTCCTGAGGCAGCTGACGGGTACCGGCGGGCCAAGCGTGCTGCAGCCCGTGTGGTCGCGGAGGCAAAAACTCGGAGCTGGGAGGAGTTCGGGGAGGCCATGGAGAAGGACTATCGGACGGCCTCAAAGAGATTCTGGCAAACCGTCCGGCGCCTCAGGAGGGGGAAGCAGTTCTTCACCAACACTGTTTACAGTGCGGGGGGAGAGCTGCTGACCTCGACTGGGGACGTTGTCCGGCGGTGGAAGGAATACTTTGAGGATCTCCTCAATCCCACCGTCACGTCCTTCCGAGGAGGAGGCCGAGGCTGGGGACTCGGAGGCGGACTCATCCATCACCCTGGCCTGAAGTCACTGAGGTGGTTGGCAAGCTCCTTGGTGGCAAGGCTCCGGGGTTGGATGAGATCCGTCCTGAGTACCTTAAGTCTCTGGATGTTGTGGGGCTGTCTTGGCTGACACGCCTCTTCAACATCGCGTGGCGGTCGGGGACAGTACCTCTGGACTGGCAAACCGGGGTGGTGGTCCCTCTGTATAAGAAGGGGGACCGGAGGGTGTGTTCCAACTATAGGGGGATCACACTTCCTCAGCCTTCCCGGTAAGGTCTATGCCAGGGTACTGGAGAGGAGAATCCGGCCGATAGTCGAACCTCGGATTCCAGGAGGAGCAGTGTGGTTTTCGTCCTGGCCGTGGAACACTGGACCAGCTCTACACTCTCCATAGGGTGCTCGAGGGTTCATGGGAGTTTGCCCAACCAGTCCACATGTGTTTTGTGGATCTGGAGAAGGCATTCGACCGTGTCCCTCGTGGTGTCCTGTGGGGGGTGCTCTGGGAGTATGGGGTCCGGGGCCCTTTGCTAAGGGCTGTCCGGTCCCTGTATGACCGGAGCAGGAGCTGTGTTCGCATTGCCGGCAGTAAGTCAGACCTGTTCCCGGTGCATGTTGGACTCCGCCAGGGCTGCCCTTTGTCACCGGTTCTGTTCATTGTATTTATGGACAGAATTTCTAGGCGCAGTCAGGGGCCGGAGGGGGTCCGGTTTGGGGACCACAGGATTTCATCTCTGCTGTTTGCGGATGATGTTGTCCTGTTGGCTTCATCGAACCAGGACCTGCAATGTGCACTGGGGCGGTTTGCAGCCGAGTGTGAAGCGGCTGGGATGAAGATCAGCTCTTCTAAGTCCTGAGGCCATGGTTCTCGACCGGAAAAAGGTGGCTTGCCCTCTCCGGGTGGGTGGGGAGTCTTTGCCTCAAGTGGAGGAGTTCAAGTATCTCGGGGTCTTGTTCACGAGTGAGGGAAGGACGGAACGGGAGATTGACAGGCGGATCGGTGCAGCTTCGGCAGTGATGCGGTCGCTGTATCGGACCGTTGTGGTGAAGAGATTTACCGGTCAGTCTTCGTTCCTACTCTCACCTATGGTCATGAGCTCTGGGTAGTGACCGAAAGGACGAGATCGCGGATACAAGCGCTTGAAATGGGTTTCCTCCGTAGGGTGGCTGGGCGCTCCCTTAGAGATAGGGTGAGGAGCTCAGTCACATGGGAGGAGCTCGGAGTAGAGCCGCTGCTCCTCCACGTCGAGAGGAGCCAGTTGAGGTGGCTCGGGCATCTGTTCCGGATGCCTCCTGGGCGCCTCCCTCGGGAGGTGTTCTGGGCATGTCCCACCGGGAGGAGGCCCCGGGGAAGACCCAGGACACGCTGGAGGGACTATGTCTCTCGGCTGGCCTGGGAACGCCTCGGGGTCCCCCCGGAGGAGCTGGAGGACGTGTCTGGGGTGAAGGAAGTCTGGGAGTCCCTGCTTAGGCTGCTGCCCCCACGACCCGGCCCCGGATAAGCGGACGAAAATGGATGGATGGATGGTTCTAGTAAAAGTGTTTGGAGTTTAAAAAAAAACACAGTGGTGCACTCCCTGTATTATCATGTATTTTATTCTTAGCTGTTCTGCTGCAGGTTGTTCCCTTCGATCCAGAATGATTCGTCCAGATGCTTCGGGTCAGATGAGAATTTACAGCCCGTCTGTGACCTCAGCCCTTCAGAGGCATCTGAGGACTACTGATCCAGATATAGGAGGGCTTCTAGAAAATAAGGTACAATCACCAGCACTTCTATTGAACTTAGCCAAGGCTTATATCCAATCCCATTTTCAGTAATAATTTGTCAATATGACTTTCTAGATATTTACCTAATTTATTAATGAAAAACACACCACATAACACACAGCATTACCCTCTTTCCTAAACCAGTATTCACCTCTCTGATGCTCTAAATGCAATTTTATTGTTGTCTTTGTTTTCCTATAACAATTGCATACAGTAAAATCTTGAATCGCTTGAATCTTACCCATTTTCTTTAAATTGGGTTTATATAGACCGCATTGATTAAAAAAAAAAAAAGTTCAATGTTTTTTTAAACTATGATTAGATATATAAAAATAAAAATTTTACCAAAAAAAAGTGCTGGTAAGTCCTTAATGTAGCTCACTCCAATTTGGAACAGCTCTCACAGAAACGTGACAAATATTTCAATCTGCTGTTCAATCTGACGTCCAAGTGTCACAACAGTGGAACAAGCTGAAAAATCAATCATTTGTTACACAGCCACTTGAGAGAAAAGCACAGACATCTTCCCTGTCCACAGATGCACAAAAAGTGCTTACCTTCTGCACATTTTTCATGAACAAAATAGTCTGTATTTTCCCTACAATCAGCAGAAGTATACCTGTCTGTGTCATCATGTTTGTTTTGGTATTTTGCTTCCAAGCTTAGGCCTAACTGTTGGAGCCATGTGTCTTGTGTGTGCATCACCTGTAGAGGGCGCCGTGTGGTAGGCTACATTAGGGAGGACCCCTCCTGTGCTCCACAGGTGTTGCAATCTGGTGAAGCACACAGTTTGTTCACTGCCATGCTTGGCGTCTTTGTACGATTTTAGATTCTTTTTATAATAATGAATTTTGGCCAATTAAGAAGCAATAAAGACTATTTTTATCTTAAGACTGGATTTGATTACTCAGACGCCAGAGACAAGAGAGCGCGTCACTTACTTTCTCCTTACCTGCAACTCTCAGCGGTCTAGTAGGATTTGGCCGCAACACTAACTATGATCAGATCAGATCTGTGGCTTTTACTGTCTCTCAGGATGCTGGCCCTAGTGGGGTCTCTTCACACTGGGAGTCCCGGTTGATGCAGGGGTCTATCATGTCTGCTGTGCTCAATGAGCCCTCTGTTGTTCGGATCGACCCGGTGACCTTGTACGCACTGCAAGACACCGGCTGGTACACGGCTGACCTGGAGTGGGCACAGCCTCTGGTCTGGGGAGAAGGTCTGGAAATCCCACACTATATAGAGATGATTAAAAGACATACAACTTGATGCTTTTATTTATTTTATTAGGAGAAGGAAATCTGTTTGGCTCTCCTTCAACTTGTAAAAACAACTCTGCTTTCTTTTGCTCTGGCAGGTTGGTATTTTTATATTGCTAAATTGTTGCACAATCAAATAATTGTAATGAATTCTGTTTATTTCAGTGGTTTTGGGTGTCATTATCTTCACCTCCACAAGGGGCAGTGCCACTCTGATCCTTACCTGGATGGATGCCACATTTATAAACCAATCCTAAACGGAGTGAGTGGTGCTTGGTTGACTATGTATTAGTCGTTACTGTTTTGCATTGATGATTGCATTTGGTTCCAGAGTGAGTGTTTTCTGACTGAAAATGCCCAACAGGCTGCTCAAGATGAAATGTTTGGATCTGATAGCCGTTGTTTCTTTTCAACTCTCAGTAAACAGGTTTGTGTTCATATTGTATACATTTGTGTTTTTTTTAAGTCTTTAAAGTGGCACTGAACGCCTAAACACCCATAACCACATTTCAAATAGAGCTGCTAAACTGGGCAGTACCTGTGGACTAAAGGGGTAAATTAGAGAGTGTTGGGGTCTAGGGGTATGAGGAGTAGTGTGATTGGTCTAACAGTTCTCCACACTTTAAACTCCATCCCTTTGGCTGTAATCAGGGCTGTCTTTTGTGATATCGCCAACTACTGAACACTGCAGAGGCCACAGATGCAGCACAAACTTGGATTCAGGAGTTTTTGATCAGAAAGCTCCACATAAATTAACCAAACACACTAAAGTTGCCAGAAATAATGAGTAGGAACAGTAGATGATGCTTTTAAGTAGTGAAAAAAGCTGATTTAGTGTTTAGTTCCACATTAAATATTGTCCCTTGATTTATATGTGGTGTGCTCAGGATCACGTGATGAACACTTCAGTTGAGGGTCGGTGCTACAAACACCGATGTACTGGACTTAATACGTACCAGATACAGGTTCATGGTGCTGACTGGATGGACTGTCCAGCAGGAGGCGCTATTCGGGTAATAATAAGGCTAGGCTTTTGGTAGCATAAGTAACTTAAAGTTGAACTGTCTAACTTTTCATTTGGAGGTGCTTGTCTCCACGAAGAGTTACTGCTTTGACCAGAATGTTCCTCAGTATGGCATTAAGCTTATCTCATTGGAGACAAGAAAGTGATGTGGCATGACGGAGTTACATGTCAGATCTGTGGAGAGGCACAATAAGAATGCAACCTATAAAAATACCTACAATTCAATAAATGCAACCATAAATTGGAAAATTCCATGCAAAGCAATAACATGGGGATGAGGCAGTAGATCCCCAACTAGAAAAAGTTACATAGTGCACTTTTAAAATTTAAGCATCACAGGTAAACAGTTTTCTTTATCTTTTTAATTGCTGTTCCTCTTATTCTGTCAGATCAAAGGATATCAGGGCTTCGTTTGGTGCCCAGACAAGAGACTGTGTGTGCCTGAAGTTGCTCCTGCTCAGTTTTTGTCTCATAACACAAGGTACACCTAAACAATATGTAAGTGTATTCTTTTTTCAGCTTTGGTTCTAATCTTAGTGGCCATTTTTGCCTTGTAATCACAGCAAATCAAAGAGGGTAGTTTGGTCATTTTGGAGGACCTCTGCTGTAGTCGTTGCTTTGACCTTCTCCCTGGTTCTGGTTGTGACCATTTCCTGTCGCTGCTGCAAGGTCAGAGTTCACAGCCTCCAGCATGAACACAATCTGCACCAAACACTTCCATAAAGATGTTTATTATTATTATCAGATTGTTAATTTTGATTGCTGACACATTATGACATGGTAATTATACTCAATTAAAAATATCTTTAAATACTGTATGCAAGAAAATACATTGGTCTGTACACTACAACAGCTCAGTCTTGTCATATTCAAAAAAAACAACACAAAAATCTTTGTATTTGATAAAATGGGTCACCATAACAAAACCTTGTAATTATTATTTACGTACTGTCATTATTGTAAGTGTACAAATGATATGGAAAAGTTGTGTTTTAAGTACTGTAATGTTAAGTTGACTCTCATGACAGTAATGTGTGAAGTCAGAATTGAACAACCAAGTATGAAATAAATGATTAACTGAAATCAGATTTATCAGAAAATATAAAAATTTTATCAATCAGCATATAACATGGTAATTTTTCACTCTTCCACGTTGATGTTGGCATTGTTAGCTATTTTCCCATCCCACACAGGTATAGCTGTCTGTCGAGGGGACACTCCACTTTTACATATTTCAAAATAATTCTGACATTCTGGAAATAACTTTAAGCACACAAAACAGAACTTAGTTTTACATCTCTTACAAATAACAAATTTACATTTCATCCCACTGTGCTCCAGTAGTTTACCACAAAAGACACAGGCTCGAATACTGGGGCAGTCTTTGATCCCAAGTAGGCCTACATTCTTAAAAATGATAACAGGACAGTTTTTCAGAGTCTTCAGTTGCTCATTGCAGCAGTCTTCATTTTCACAGCGTTCTGAAGCTGGAATTGGACCTTTCCATTCCCTCAAACACTGCCAGCAGAATTTATAGGGTTTAATATTATTGGTGGTGCATTTTGGACACTTTACACACAGGTCATTGAGATTTTCCCTCACAACGAGACACTTGCAGCCAGGACACTAAAATAGAAAGGAGATCAATTTGAGAGTGGGGATAATTTAAAGGTTCTATTTTACACAAAATTTACTATTCTGATCTTTAAGCCATGTTATAATGCCTGTAATACCTCATCAAAAACATATCTTGAGTTGTGTTTTGTTTCATTCACACATATTTGAGTAACCCTATATTATAATTCTGTCTACTAGTACATCTCTAAAGCTCAAAATGCTCTGTTCCACCTTGTGATGTCATGCAGTGGTAGTTTACAGCTTCAGTTTACCTTTAGTTCAGTATAGATTGGCAATTCCAGGGCTGAAATGATCCAAATGATTCGATTGAAGGTGTATGGAGTTTAAAAACAGTGTAGAACGCCCTGTATTACCACATGGCATCACAAGGTGGAGCGTGTGAAATGTTTTCTCTTTTAGAGAAGAACTCAGCGTAAGACCAAAAAAAAAAAAAACACCAGCATGTGTTTCTAAGGAGGAAAATACATTATAATAGATCAGAAATTGCAATAAAATACGTACTATTACAGAAGCCCGGTGTTGTCATAAGTAAGGATACTCACCAATTTGACATTCAGATGGACGTTGGCTGCATTCTTAAAAAGCTTGCTGTCAAAGTCTTTCTCTTCCTCCAGTGTCAAAAGGGCCATTTTACAAACTTCTTCATACGTCCACTCCCCTTCACATTTACCACATTTAAATCTGGTCGAACCCTATGTTAAGAAGATTCAGTGAACAACATTGGCTTTTGTTATTTTTTAATTATTGTATGTATTAAAGACTCCATATTGCGCTGTTTTCTGATCTATGTTATAATGTTTCCTCATCAAAAAATGCACCCGGAGTTGTGTTTTGTTTTACTGACATGTTTAATATCATAAGATTTTTGAGCTTTTGGAGATATAGACAGACAAATAATAAAGGATTACTCAGACATGTGTGAATAAAACAAAACACAACTCCACGTATATTTTTGACGAACATTATAACATGGCTTAAAGCTCACAAGAGAAAATTTTGCATAATATAGGCTTAGGGTTAGACCTTTAAAACAAATCAAACCTCTTCCAACTGCCTCAGACACCAATCCGTGAGAGATGTGGGAGTTACAGTGTGACCACAGGACATCCGTGCTCTCAGAGATTTGTAACCAATGCAGAGAACTGTAACATAATAATAATAATAGTAAATAAATATCAAAGATACTACTGAGATACTAATGCTAATTGATTAGTGTACATTTTTATTGCTTCTATGTCACTTACAGTCCATGTCATCATCTCCATCAACAAAGGTCAGAGTATTATCATTGGGGTTATAGCATTTCTCAGGTAAATCTTCACTCCTCGAGCGAGTTTTCCAATGTGCATGGCCTATAAAACGTAAAAGATCATTTAATCCCACAAAATAATATGTCTATATCGTAACTATAAAAGCAGTGAATTGAACTGAATGTCTGAGAATTCTATTATGTGAATATGTGTGTTAACTTTAGTTATACGGATACTCTGCAATGACATCATTCTGTGTTGTGCATGTATGACTATGGAGGAATGTTCAGTATTCACCATGGTGACACAATGCAAACACTGTCAATAAAGTTTTAAGATAGTCTGAAAACGTAATAATTAATAAAAAATTTATGTAAATAGCTCATTTTCAAGAGACAGTGCTCTTACTGTTTTCTTTAGTCCTCCAGGTACTGCCCAAGTGAGCAGCTCAGAGACAGGAATAAAAAAAGTGTGATAGCATGCCCCAGTCTCCCATACATTTCTACTGCATTGCTTCTGTGTCACTTACGGTTAAAGTTGCCATTGCCGTTAACAAGTGTTTCAGGTAAATTTACTCTCCTCCAAAAGGAAGTTGTCCTATGAGCACGGCCTGTAATGCACAACATCCTTACTGTGGTGCCACTAAATTTTGAGTTATAAAGGCATCAACACTGATAAAGTGGAGACTTCTGTATCTAAACAAATATGCAGCATTAATGAAAAGAATTACATAAATACAGAATCACAAACTGACTGCCTTGACACATGTGGGACACATTTGAATGTGAATTTGAATTGAGAAAAGTGTGTTAACATTGGTTAGTTATTAGTTATATGGATACTTTGCAGTGACATCACTCTGTGTTCTGCATCTTTGTCTATGAAGGAATATTGAGTAGTTACCATGGCGACACAATGTACACACTGTCAAAAAAAATTCTAAGAAGTCTAAGACAAAATAGATTTAAACAACTCATTTTCAAGAGCCTGTGCTCAATACGAGTGTTCATGGTCCTGTTTAGATGTCTGATTTTCAGCAAAAAGGTGAGAATGACTAACTGAAAAACTGTTGGCTAATGCTAGCTAGCTTGTAACTGTGATTTTATGGGTGAGAGACTTGTTTAACAGCACAAATCAGACGCATAACAGCTCATGATTCGTCACACAGATTCAATGTACTGTGTCCTTTGTTTTCAGATGATTAAATTAGCAATTTTTTGTGTGAAAAACACTCCTGTTTACATATTTAAATTTACATACCAATCTAAAAACAATCTAAAAAAAAAACTAAACACTAAAATCTAAAATGTTCTACTACTTAACTGTGTATATTGTGTTTGAATAGCATTATCTGTTTCAAGTTATTTTGGCATGTTTAGTCCAAACTAGGTAAATTTGGAGCTTTCTGGACAAAAATGTGTAAAAATGGGTGAGCCGTAGTTGGTGACATCACACAGGACTATGTGGATACCTGTTAGAAACCCCCTCCCCCACCTTATCTAGTCCTCCAGCCACTGTCCATGTTAGCGACACAGAGGCAGGAATGAAAAAAGTGTGACAACATGCCTCAGTCTCCCATACAATTTTTACTGTGTTGCCTCTTTGTCACTTACGGTTCATGTCACCATCTCCATCAACAAATGTCTCAGCTGCACGCTCCCTACGAACAGGGCCTGAAAAATACACAATATCCTTAAATTAAACAAAAACAAATCTACAGCAGAGAATTTTATGTGGATGTCTATGGAGGAATGTTCAGCAGTTACCATGCACATATTAGCAAACACATAGCCAAAAAGTTTTATGATAGTCTGAAAACAAAATGGATTTAAACAGCACATTTTCAGGAGGCTGTGATCAATATGAGCATTCTTGGTCCTGCTTAGGTGTTTGATTTTAAGCAAAAAGGTGAGAGTAACTACCTGAAAAACTGCTCACCTGTAGTAGTTTTAGTCTTTCTGGTCAGATTGTGTTAAAATCAAGCTCAGATTAAAGTCTATACCAGAGCTTAAATAGTAGTGCCAGTAAGTTTCACAGCCCCAGGGAATGGTGATGATGTCCGTTGCATGGTATCAATAATTAATAATCATAATATCAAGTTATTTGTTTAGACTGATTGATGGTAAAATATTGGAATGACGTCTTACATGAAAGACGGTGCTAATCACGGTTAGGTTGATACAGATAAAGCATTGTGAGGAAGTACTAACTTAGGATAAGTATGTCATTGTCATGCTCACGTGTCAGTTTTGGTCCCATATGAGAGCAGGAATCTGAAACAAAACAACATTTCACAACTGAGAACAACATAGGAGCAGTACCTCGCCTCTGGTCCAGACAAAATGGATAAGAGAAGGGTCCAGTTGATAATTTGCCTGCCTGAGAATGACGAGAAACTAATAAACGTATGTGATAGAGAAGAGCAGTTGGAAAACTTAACTGTGCTTCATCTCAAAAAGAAAATCGCTCAACAGCTGGGAATAAGTAAGTTTTTTGTTTTAGCATCTTTTGAATAGCAATTGTGAAGCCTACATAAATATAATTGTATAATTGAAGCATATGGACTAATAAAGCTGAATTTTTTTGTAGAGGATGAAATTCGATTGGTCTTTAGAGGTGAAACTCTCAATGACACCCAAACTCTGAAGAGCTGTGGCATTCGGCATCTGTCTACCATCCATACACTTCTTATTCTACACGGTGGCAACTGACCAAGACCTATACTCTCTGTTTAAGATTAATAAAATAATTTTGAAGAATTTCAGTTGCTGCTGTCATTTTTTAAAAGGTTATATCTTATTATTATTGTGACCAAAGCTTTATAGTATTAGTTAGTATAATTGTTAAATAAATGTGCTTACCAAACGCTCCAGATAGTCAAAAAGGCAGAGTGAAACTGAACTCCTATTGTTTAACCAGATTTGCTCTGATTCAATTCTATCTAAAAATCTTCACAAGAAAAACAAGTCAGTCCACATTACATTAAGTACTTCCTTCTAACTGTAACTTGCAATATAACATACAAGATTCCCGTACTAGTCTCGTCTTATTTATTCATCTGAAGAAAGTGCGTCTAGAAGACGATAGCTAAAATCTTGTAAGTATGGGCTTAAAACAGTACACTGTTATTGTGTTTTGGAAATAATTAAGTTTTCTACTGCGTGTCCTTTGTTTTCAGATTCATAAATTAGCCCAAATTTATGTAAAGAGTAAAAAAAATGACTAAGTCTTCAAATGCAAAAAGGAGTACGGATAGTAAGTTTGTTATTAACCTGCATAATTCTGAGTGTTTTGTTTTTTTCTTTTTTTGTCAAAATTGATCAATGCTTTTCTGATTACAAGCTCCATATGGCCTCAGGAATCAGGGGATGACTTGTTACCTCAACAGTGTCCTACAGCTGCTTTTCCTGACCCCAAATTTTCACAACAGGTTTGTACTAATCAGGAGTGGAAAGTACCTAATTAACAAATAATTTTTAACTGTATTTGGGTAGATTTTTGAAGTAACTGTACTTTTTGGAATAGATTTTTAAACTTGTCCTTGGAATTCAGTATAATTCTAGCCTGGATTATTTCATTGTATGGGAATAAACTTGGTTATCGCAATGGAGACAAGTTAATGGTCAGATCTATGGAGAAGCATGACTGCACATAGTAAGAACTCATGTTTTTCAAGGTATTTTTGAGCTATAAAACACCTTTAATTGCCATACTGTGGAATATTCCATGCAAAAAATTTATATCACCAAAAACAACAACCACAACAATGTAGCGGACCCTCCACTTCAGAAATTAAACAATGCACCTTTAGTAACTAACTGAGTGAAAAGTGAAGCTCACATAACAGCATCGCCTGCTCTGATTGGCCGTTGCTCAGAGAATATGTGGATTGTGGTTTAAAACTACAATATCCTGTTTTACCTGTTCTGTGATCAGTTTTGTATAAGAGCTAATATTGTGTTAAAAAGAATTAGTAATTAGTACCCAGAGAAATTATAAAACATAAAATAAACAACTTATTAAAATGTTAATACATTAAAATAAAATAAAATAAAGTCCAATTACTTTTATTTGTAGGATACATCAATTTGTGGTGTTATTTTACCATGTATTATGCCTCAAAATTTTTAAACACAGAATTTTTCTCAGTTGAAATATTTAATTTTTTACTTTTTATAGAAATAATACAATTGGGCAGGAAGTAATTATGCTAACAGTGAGGCTGAAAGCGCAGAGCCTGTTCAGTACATTTTAACCAAGTAAACTGTACTTTTACTTGAGCGTACATCATTTCAGTACTCTTTCCACCTCTGGTATAAATCTTATTTTTCATCACAAACATATTAAAATCACATTTATACAAGTGTAGAGGGTCAGTGACAAAGTAATGCTGGTTTATATTTTCCTACTCAAGATTGTGCTCAGACATGAAAACAGACCGGGAATTAAAAAGGCTCTTTGAAAATCTGAAGGAGGGTCCATGTGGAACAGAGAAAATTACAGAGCACTTTGAGATTCATGATGGTAAGTTGTACAAAGTAATGGACAGACAGTTGTTTGTAAATTTTGTTCTCAAGACCTATAAAAGTGAGATTACAACTATTCATTTTGGAGTTAAAGTGGAACTAAAACACTAAAATCCACCTTTTCACTATTTATTTTACTACTTCACTGTTTATGTGGCATCTACTGTTCAAGTCATTTTTGACCACTATAGTGCAATAATCCTGGCTCTATTGCCCATTGCAATTTGCAGTAGTTGGTAACATCACACAGAACCATAGATACCTGTTAGACCAATCACACCGTTCTTTATGCCCCCCACTAAAGAAAAGAGAGAGGTGGGGAACTCTCTCTTTTCTTTATTCCTCCAGCTATAACCCAGTTTAGCAGCTCCATTTGAGATGTGGTTGTGGGCGAAGTTTAGCTGTCTAGTCACACTTTAATACAGCAGTAAAATTTTGCCATTTTTGGCTTCTCAGCTATTAGTAAGATACAGAAAAAGAGCAATATGTAGTTTATTTTCACCAAATACAGACTGCAGTCAGTTTATAAATATATTTTTGACAACTGAATCAAAATAAAAATACATTTCTGAAATGTATTTTGCAGTCCATAGACAGCGTGATGCTGCTGAATACTTGGAGTTCATCTTAAATCGACTCAGTCCACAGGCATCTGAGGTTTGTGCCCATCATGTAACTGTGAACACACATACAAGTAACACTTTTCTAAAACTGTTGCTAACTTCTGAAGATCTTTCGCGGAAATATGTCCTACTCAACAAAGTGCCCCAAAGGCCACATTATCAATGAAGAGACAAACCCTTTCTGGACTCTTCCTTTACCCTTGACCAAAGACCAAAACAATGAAGTCTACTGTGTGGTAAGTACAATACCTGTCTGTCAAGACTTTGCATGTCATCAACATACTCTGGGGATGTGATGCTAACTATAGGCACTGCCCTGTCTTACTCTTTAATCTGAGCTATTTTAATAATATTTGACCATAAATAACTGATTTAGATGGAATTACAATCGGTGAGCTGATTTTATGCTGTTAAACATGTCTCTCTCAAATTGCATTATGGTCTCAAGTCATCTAGCATTAGCCAACAATTTTACAGTTAGTCACTCTCACCTTTTTAGTTGACAAACAAAACAGGACCACAAACGCTTGTATTGACTGCAGGCTCATAATTATATGCTGTTTAAATCCATTTCATAGTTTATCTTATCTTAAACTGTTTTGGCAGTGTTTGCTAACATGTGAATTGTGAATGCCATAGACATACTTGCAGAATCCCCCAACATGTTGTCACTGCAGAGTAGGTACTAAGGAGGGTTTGTTTGTGTGATGTGATGTCATCTGCAATAATCATGTTTTTAGGAGAGTGGACTTGAAAGGTTATTCCAGTCTAAAATGTTGAAACCGTACTGCAATGACTGTGGTGAGAATACAGTGGCAGAATATGTAAGTATCAAATTAAATGCTGTACTTTTCAACTTAAAGTAGTACACAAAATCTACTTTTTTTTGCGGTATGTACTGTATATGGGTTTTAATAGCATCATCTACTGTTTCTAGTTTAGTCTTTTTTTCAGTTTTAGTGCAAATTAGGTACATTTGTAGCCTCCTTTACAAAAACATCTAAACCAAGTGTGTCCTGGCTCCAGTGTCCATATCACTTTCATGTACTATGTGACATCTGTTGTCGAAAATTATCTTTTTAAATAACAGACTTCCTTTGAAGCAACAAACATAAAAGTTTATTTAATATCTTTGTAAAGAGAGGCAGAGGACAAGTCTGTTCAATGCAGGGTTGTAACTCTGTCTGAAGTAGCGTCAGACTTCACAAAACATATATAGGAGTGTCTAACCAAGCATTATCAAAAGAAAGGAAACATCTGCACCTGTGCTGGGTCATGATGCCCCAAAACATACGCAAGGACAGTTGCTCCCTAATATGAGGAGAGCAGCTCTCATTAAAACAGGATATAAAACGCACAATGGAAACTGCACGTTGTAGCAAAAACTGTATTTTCCTATTACACATCACACAGACCTGCCCTGATTACACTCAGGTGTTTCTGATTTCCTGCATACCTATCTGCAGGGGCGGAGTTTGAAGGATAGATACCTGTTAGAGCAATTACACTTTTCCTTATACCTCCAGACCCTGCTCCTCCTCCTCTCTCACTCTCTGCTTCAGTCCTCCAGGTACTACCCAGTTTAGTAGCTCTATTTGAAATGTGGTTTTGGGAGGAGTTTAGATGTTTAGTCCCACTTTAATAAACCACACGATAGCTGTATTTTCCTATCCATTACATTTGAAAATAATTTCATCTTTTTTTATTTTAGAAATGTGGAGTGAAGGACCTTCCTCAGGTTTTGGTTCTCCTTCTGAAAAGATTTGTGCTTGATTACAGCACTGGGTCACACGTCAAATCCAACTGCCCAGTCGACATACCCACTTCATTGCACATAAAGGCAGGTCCACTTGAATTCCTGTAATCTAAAGTCGCTGTAACTGATGATAACTTATGATTTGTTATGATGTTGTTTTCTCATACCTGAAGGTGTGTTTTGTTTCATTCACACATGCTTAACACACAAACCCTGCAAATTTAGGCTGAGTTCTTTTCTCATACTGAAAACTCTCTGTTCCAACTTGTGATGTCATGTGGTGATAGAGGAAGTGCTCTACAACTCCATACACCTTCTCTAAAATAATTTGGATAATTTCAGCTCTAGAATTGCCAGTCTTTGCTGAACAAAAAATAAAACTTAGCTGTTAATTTGAAAATGTCTGCTTCATGACAACCCAAAGCATTTTGAGTTTTGGAGATAGACTAATAATAAAGGGTTACTCAAAAGTGTATCAGTGAAACAAAACACAACTCTGGCTATGTTTCTGATGACGTGACAATATTCTAACACTAAAAGCTAAAAGCCAATTTTGCTTAATATAAGACCTTTAATGCTGTCTGTTCAGGGAATAAAGTACGACCTCTATGGCATAGTGCACCACTGGGGTAGTCTTAGAAGTGGTCACTACACAGCAACTATCCGGTCCAGTGAAACATGGTACGAGTTCAATGATCATTTGGTCCAAGAAGTAAGTGTACACCTAAAAGCCTCTCCACATGAGCATTGTGTGCAATTTCAAAATTGACTATTTTCTTATTTCCTAGGCTGAGGAGCAACCATCTGAACACCACAGAGCAAAACCATCTGATAGTGCATATCTACTTGCATATAAAGGTAGAGCTTTTATTCAAGTATGTGATAGCATATGGTATTATTGTGGTAAAATATATAATAGCCTTTTTGTTTGTTCTTTTCCAAGTTTCAGCAACAGCAACAGCAATAGAGATTCTACCAGGTAAATTATAATAAACACAGGCACTATCTAGTAGGGTTGTTAATAGTAGACTAGAAAATCTGATACTAAACAATACTAAAACAAGTATCGAAACTAGATACTAATTTGAACAGGTATCAATTCTAAAAAAAAACCCATCACATTCACAGAACAGAAATGAATCTTTCCTGAATAGCTTTAGAATGATCTGTATTAGAAGCTGAAAATCTTTGAAATTTGCCTTATTTATATATGTGTTTTTCTTTTTCAGACCCAATGCCCCCACCACGCCCAACTTTTAACCGAAGAAATGTATTTCTGATTGTCCTTGGTGCATTCATTTTGTTGATAATATTAGTACTAAGTTTAAGCCTGGGTTTAACACAGAAATAAAGGGAATGGACAACTGGTTAAGTCTATAACAGGCGATATTCTTACATTTTCTTTTTTCTACCGGACGTTTTATGTTTACTTTGCTCTGCTGTTTGATGTGCTTTGTATAATATAATCTAACAAATACATGTTGTTTTACCCAGAGAAAATATTTTGCCAGTTTTTGTAGTCTGTCAATTTTATACATCTATCATCTAAATGAAATCACTTACATAAAATTCATAGTTCATGCAGGTGTTGAAGGGAACATGGAATGAGATACAAAAAACATAACAGTCCGAACTATCTTCAATACCAACAATGACAACAATGATTTTGAATGTTGTATTAACAATATCCTTTGTGAGCACAACAATATACAGTATTGTACGTCTATTGTTGTGCTACAGTTGTGGTATCACATGATGTGAAGCCAGTCAAAGAGCATTCGTGTGTCTTAAAAAACACACAGGTAGCTAAAGCTAAAATTCCACATGAATCTTGGATGTGTCTGCAGATTCTGTTCAGTTTATTTATTTAGACATTTCACAAGACATTTCAATATGCTTGCATATTTTACACATTTTTATGTATAATGGCACAAAATACCATGATACAATGAACAACAGTGGCAGTGCAAGAGTAGAACAAATAGACCACCCTGAAGTTAAATGTTGCCGTTATAAAGCCTATTTAAGTTGAATGTTTATAATAGTATTTGTTAATGGCACAGAGAGGCCACTCAGATCCTACGCCACACTGGGATGGAGGTTTGTCTGGGGGCCACTCCAGCGCTGCAGGGTATAAAGTAGGAGCTGGTCTTCAAACACTCAGGAGTGAGCTTCAGACACACAAAGCAAAACTCCTTCTGGCAGCGAGGGCAGATGACGTTCTTGCAGCCTGTTTTGTCATGCTCTACTCTCTGTCCACAGGTGGGGCAGGCCCGGATAGAGGGGACTGCATCGGCCCCACGCACCTGGGGCAGGTTAGTGAGTATGCAGGTCCGGAGCAGCTCCAGCTCAAAGTTCTTGCAGCCTGGGTTTTGACAGTGATCGGAGCGAGGGGCGGGGCCTCTCCATGTCTTCAGGCACTGCCAACATAGGTGGTATGGCTTGCTCTGGCCAGTCGAACACACACTGCACTCCACACACAGGTTAGTCATGTCCTTCCTCTCAATGTTCGTTTTACATTTAGGGCACTGCAGCAGACAAAACCATATAAACCAAGACTGCAATTGCATACTTTTCTGGTATATGTGTATATATTATGTTATTGCAAATACATATGTTAAAGACACGTACCCTCTGAATATCACTGTAGTCCGCTGCAGCCAAGCGTGCGATGTTCTCCTCAAAATACTGCATCTCCTGTATAGTCAAATCTCCCAGTTTGCGCACTTCTCGATACGACAAGGGACTGTTACAGAGCCTTCCTCCAACAAGGGCAGGGCATTTGAATTTGTATTTACCCTTTGAAACAAAAGACAAAAATGTATGTAAACATTGTATATATATATATATATATATATATATATATATATATATATATATATATATATATATATATATATATATATATATATATATATATATATATATATATATGATATATGATCATTGTTAGGCTCGTTAGTTTGTGGCTGGCATAATATTAGGCTACCAGTAGGTGTCACTCTGGAGCTTTTATAAACAGCATCATGATCTACAGGTGTCTAATCATAGACCTACAATGTGTCTGATGCACTGCTAATGGCTGCTACATTTGTATTGGTAAAAATGTATTAAAATGTATTAGTTTACTTCATCTAGTTGGGCGCGACAGGCAGCAGTGAGAGACTCAGGAGAAACAAGGTGCCCACAGGAGAGACGTGCTTTTAAGACTCCATCGTCCGATGCTAATAATAATACAACCACAACTTTAGTACAATAGCATAATGTGTAGTATTTATAAAAGTGATGAGACTTACAATAAGGATCCAAGTCATCCTTTCCGTCCGCCAACAGGAGCGTCCTGTCCAACGGATCAAAGCTCTTTTCTTGGTCACTTTCCTGAAAGCTCATTTTATCTACTCTTTGCAACAACAGATGGAAAATATGGCAGAATAAGGAGAAGAAGAAATGTGTTTCGTGTGAAGACTAACCCCACATCTTATCAGTAAGCACATCACGTGATACAGACTATCAGGGACTTCCCTTATGACTTACAGTAAAACACCTGACTCCACAAATCATTTTACAAAGACCTACATGCTGCGAACTGTTTTAGGAAAGTAAATTATCATTACTTCAGTAATACAGAAGAATCTTGCCTCCAGAAATGTTAAGTTAATTTATTTGCTGATTATAGGCTTAAACATAAAACCTTTGATAATTTCTTATACTTACCTTATCTTTCCTGAAACAGCTGCGCGCATTTCCTTATAGGTCAATAGCAAAAGTAAAAGAAAGTGCAAGACAGGATGTTTTTCACCCTCAACTAGAGCAATAAGCCAGCAGCAACATTCTTAAAGTCCCAGTATGTATCTTTTGACAAAAGACCAAAATAAAACTTTTCTTTTTCATTATGGATGTTTTATTGTACTGAAAAACAGAAAAAAAAAATGCATCCACAAATCTAGCTCTTATTTGGCTTTTTTCCATGGAAATCTTGTTCCTTTTTATAATCTTCCACAGTATGGCATTAAACCGGTCTATCTCCATGGAGAATGTGCAGTAGGTTTTAACTTTCTATTTCCACAGTTATGCAGTTGACTTTCCACTCCCAGAACTTTAAACACTGAAATACAAAATATAATTAACACAAAAATATAAATGCCACTATTTATTTGTCTCTAGTAGCCTAAATGCTTTATTGTCTGCTGTGATTTGTTTATAGTTTTGCCATCCCTTTTTTCATAGACCTTTGCCTCTTAAAAAAGAAAGTAAGGGAGCGAGTAAATGCATCGGAATACAGTTTATGCATTTTAGTTTGTTCAAGTTTCTTAGTAAGAGGTAAGAGATAAAAAACATTTTATTCATATAACATTTTATTCATGCACATCACATAAATTAAAATAATAATTCTTAGTTTTATTTTTATCTGTGCCCTTCTTCAAAGTTGTTATATATATTTATGTAGTTCAGAATTAACTCTTAAATTACACAAATACACAAAAATATATATTTCATTTTCTTGTTCAAGAGCTATATAAAATACTATTTCTGTTAAACCACAGTAGTTAAATCACAGTCATTCCTGAACCAATGTGTGATAAGTAAAGCATTTGCTAAAAATGTGTGTATGTAAGTAAGTTTTACTTACTTACATACACACATACACATACACACATATATACATATACATACATGAATACATCAAACATAAACTGTAATTTACACATCTTTAAACTGAACATTACAGCTGTCAGGTGTATTTCACAGATAATTATTGTTCTTTGTGCATTTTTGGGTTTTCGGCACCAATGCCAACTTATTTGTGTGTTTTGTCCTACAACTATTCTCTTTTGTTGTCATTTAGTTTTTATAGAATTTTGTCAATTTTACAAGAAATAAACACAAGTAAAGAAACCCTGTATGACACTTCGACATTGTACTTTTGCACTGATTTCTCTGTGTTCATTCCAATAAGTGTAATGCATCTTTAAAGGTCTTATATTACACAAAATTTACTCTTGTGAGCTTTAAGCCATGTTACGACCTCAAAAACATACCTGTGTTTTGTTTAATTCACACATGATTGAGTAAATCTTTATTATTAGTCTGTCTACATTTACAAAGCTCAAAATGCTCTGTGCCACCTTGTGATGTCATGTAGTGGTAGTTTTCAAGGTTACAACTACCTTTTACCTTTCGTTCAGGAGAGACTGAAAATTCCAGGGCTGAAATTATCCAAATTATTCTAGTGAAGGTGTTTGGACTTTATGTATGAAAGACAGAAACAAAACCTGTAAAATAACATTACAACACAGATCAGAAAATACTACTACTCTACTTCTTCTCTTATATTTTTCTGTGTTTGTTCTTAAACTTAGTAGGTAAAATATATATTGTTACCTAGTCCCCTGTAGGGTTGACCATTCATCCTGTGTCTGTGTGTGTGTCTGTCCACCTGAGACAATTCCGCCATTTATGCACCAGTTGTCAGCAAATTTGGTATGTGGGTCAAGCCCCCATGCCCGATGCCGCAAAAAAAAAAAAAGTTTGGTGACAATTCGAGGTCATTTGAGGTCACACGGGTCAATTGAAAGGTCACTCCATTATAAAGGATAGGCAATTTCGGCAATTTCTGAACCATCTGCGGGCTAAAATATTCACCCAGTCATCACACAAGTTGGCACACACATAACGCCTCATGGGGGACCAGGTTGCTATCTCTGATTGCGCTTGTTGTTTGTTGTTTTCTGCATTTCTGTCAGGCTAACATTCTTGCATTCAGTAGTTTTGTCATTTTGTAAGCTTTTCTTTGCAAGTGTAATCCTGTATACTTCTGTATCTTCTTCTATGGTCACAACACAGCTCTCAACCGGCACTTTGCGCAACATGACTTGCCACTTTAGCTTGTCTGTCATTTCTTTATTTTCAAGTTTTTGGACATTAGATGAATCATCTCCTAATCTTTCCTGTTTAAATCTTTCGCTGTATTCCCCACCACGACTGCATTCTGTTTCTGTACCTGATACAGATTGTGACGGTGGATTTGCAATTATACGTATTATAGAAGCGCCGTCTATTTGACACTCTGTTTTTTGTGGACCCTCAAAACTCAGCTCTGATTTTTCAGTAATTTCCAGTTTTTCAAAACAAATATTTTGATCATTTTTCTCTCCCTCTACTTCTGCCTGATCTTTCTGCTCTGTTAAAAAAGATGGTCTGAGATTGTTTTGGTTCACAGATGGACTATAACCAGGATCATTCTTTTTATATGAAGTATTTTGCAAAGGTTCACTACCACAAATAAACTCACTGTCCTTAGAGAATTCCTCAGCACGGACTCTATGGGAAATTCCATCACCTGTACGACCTAAATCTGAATCTGAACCTTTTTCTTCCCTCTCATGGGCATTTTTACAACTACTTTCCCCCAATGACCACGATTTGTTCATTTCAGTTTCGTCTAACTTCTTATAGGCTGTACTCTCTGGTTGCCACGTCGTTGAAAGTGTATTAAATTCACTAGATTTGGTGTCATCTGTGCTATAATCAATCTTATGCACATTTTCATCTATTGCATTGTTTATTTCACCAGGACTACCTTCAGCACCTAAGCCTTGCATTTTATCATAAACATTTTGACTGGTCCACCCAATTGTTCTATCCGTATTCCTGCACATTTGTAAAAAAGTTTCTGATCGGCCACTTCCCTGCTCCTGTTTTTCTGTTGTCATAGTAACGTCATCACAACCATTTTCACTAGTTTCAGAACATCCCTGGCTTTCTATCGGACCACTTTTTTGTATCTGAGTAATTTCAGTCTGCATTACTTCAACTGTCTGTACATTTCGGTCACTAAGCTCCAATGGGAAACCACGAATAAACTCAACCTCACCAACACCTTTACTATCTGCATTCAGTGTAGTTTCCGTTCCTAAATGATCCTGATTTGGGTACAGTTGACTTAACGGTCCTGTATTTTCAGATGCTTCTAGTGTTTCTGTAACTGATTGATTTTGTACCAAAGTAATTTCAATCTGCATTTGGACTGTGTGTTCATTTTGGTCACTAAACCCCAATGAGAAACCAGGAGTAAACTTAAATCTATCCTCAGCTCCACCACCTTCACCATCCTCTACATTCACTATAGTTTCTGTTCCTAAATTATCCTGCTTTGGGTATATTTGAGTTAACTGTCCAGTGTTTTCAGATTCTTCTGTTGTTTCTGTTCTCACTTCATTATTATTACCCACTGCTGTTTTTGTATTAACATCAATATATGACCCTGATGACAGACCCTCACATCTTCCCGATCCTTTACAACCATTTTCTCTAGTTTCGTTTCCTTGTTGGTGTTCATTTTGCTCAAAGTGTGGTTTTAGAGAAAATTCTTTCATTTGAACCTTTCCTGTTTCTGTCAGTGCAATTGCTAAAGTTTCCTGATTTGGGTACATTTGATCTGATGATTTGATTTGATTTGGCTGATCTGTTTTCTCTGATGCAAACGATTGCTTAAGTTCTGGTTGGGGTCCCTGTTTAACCTTTATATGTTCAGTGGACTCAACTGTACACTCACTATTTCCCCTTTCTCTGTTTAATCCTGGTTCATTAAAGTCACACATTTGCTGATTAGAAGAGCTGCGATCGTTGTCTATATCTTGACATTTCTGACCTTTCTGACCCAAATCTTCACCTACAATTGGCTCCTGTTTTGGTTTCTTATTCTTGTCTTCTTCTTTTTCATTGTCAATTGGTGCACGCCTCTTCCTCAGATCCTTGACTGATGTTCCTTCATCTTCCTGGTTGGTCTCAGTTGAACCTTGCTGTGTTTGGTTGATACCATTGGGGATATTGTCTTGCAGAGTTTCTAGGGTGGAGAGTTTAAAAATATACATGTTACAATGCATTTTTGGTTGAAATGTCTTTGTTTATTTCTCTCACCTTTTTGTTGTTTTCGGTAAAACAGTAAATAAGCTCTTCGGGATCTGTATGAATAAAATAATAATGGGTTAGTTGTTAGTGGTTGTTGAGAGATAGATACAAGATGACACTTCTAAATAAAACACATAGTTACTTAATAAAGAATAGTTTGGTGGTGCTTTCATGAACATCTCTAATGAGGTTGTTAAAATATTGAAAATCAGATACTAATTGATATTAAAATTTGTATCAAAACTAGACACTCATTTGAGCAGATAACGATACTAAAAAGTAAACTTTCACAGGACAGAAATGAACCTTTATTAAATAATTTTACAATGTTTTTTAAGCTGTATCAGAAGAAGTATAAGAGAGCATAGACTAGTATGCACCCCTGGACCATTAGGGAACCTCCCGGCGACTGAGGGATCACACAAATATAAGGCCACATGATCATATAAAAGTAAGTATAATTATATAATGTTGCAAATGACAACATCTATTGTCTAAAGAGTTTTTTGTTATGATCATGGTATCCCTTATGTCAGACTGTAAGCTGCCACTGTAAATTATGCGTGACGATTCATACCTTTCCAGTGTTGGTGAAACAAAGTGGGGCGCCTATATAAGGAACAAAAATGTTTTTAAACAAATCAATTTACGTAAATAATCTGTTTAAAGAATTACAATTTATTCTTTACATTTACACTTACCATAGAATCATTAAAAATATACCATTCATCATCATTCTGGGACCTGATAATGGAAACATAATGTCCACATCTCAGTTCTCCAGAATGTTCCACAACAGCATACAGGTTATAAAGGTGTTCCTGTAAAAATAACACAGATGGTATTGGCATTTTACTTTTGCATTACAACCAAAAGACTATTCTTATTTCTATTTTACCCCTGATATCTGCAGAGTTTGGGGCACATTGACAGGCTGGTTGTTTTTGACATAAGTCATGTATCTGTAGTCAAACTCAAAGCGCTTTAACAACAGCACCAAGACCTCTGGATGATCTTTCATCTCACAACCCTGTAACAAACACAGGCAAAAACACAAAACACAGAATTAGTCTTACTGCCATGGAGCTCAACAGTGACTGACCACCCCCCAGTTCCAGAAATAAATTTCTCATAAATCTTTATTATAGACTTTCTAAAAAAATGTATATGAAAATCTTGCTCAGGCATAACCAGCAATTTTCTAAGATCTATCATTTTATTTAAAGTCTGTTTCTGAAACATTATAAACCGCTAAGTTATTATAGCATATAGCAGAATCTTGTGCTTTAAAGATGTGCATCTTATGCAACTTTTCTAGTGAAGGGTCCGGTACCTGCTTGTCTCCATGGAAACGCTATTGCTTTTCCATGGTATGACATTAAACATATACATCTAGAATTTATTCATTACGAGTGTTTCTATTGCTCAAAAATGTAATAATTCCTTCTGTAATGCCACAGATCTGAATTGTAATGTAGCATAGTTCTGTAACATGCTCGTCTCTCTTGTGATAGAAAGGTTTGATCTGTGGAACATTCTAGACAAACTGTTGAGCTCCATTATCAGTGAACAGAATTCACAAACTAGGAACTTGCTTCAGTGTTATGGTGCAACATAAAACTATGAATAATACATATATAAGCAAAGATAGAGTTAAAATAAGGGCATGCAATTTAGTGAGTGAGCTGAAGATATGGTACTTTTTGGAATTTATATGTTAAAAAGCAGATTAAAGTCATCAAGCATAAAGCATCAAGCATAAGTATAATAGCAGGTGTAGTCCTGTGAGTACAGTTTGGGTCAGATAAATATACACAATAGTTTTGAGAGCCTTTGTCATCCCCTCTATTTAAGTAAACTAAATTGGCAGGACATGTCTTTAGTGAAGCAAAAATTTCTTCAGGTGGCTACAGTCCAAGTATATAGTAAAAATAAGGCAGATAAAAACAAAAAGTTGACTTTTACTGAAATATATACAAAATATACAGTATTGGCAGAACAACAGTGTAAAACTCACACATATGACCGTTACTCACCAGATCTGCATCACATTTTTTATCACATTTCTCACAGTACATCTGATCATCTCCACTGATCACAGAAGGACGGAAGAAGTCCTCAATGCCTTTCTCCTGGAAAAGCACCGGTTATTAAAAGGCCAATATTATTTTCTGATCGATCTTATAATGTTGTTTTCCTTATCAAAACTAATGAAATTTCATTTTGTTTCATTCACACATGTTTAACACACCTGAACACCTGAATTTTTAGATTTTTAGAGAGAGTTCTCAAACGGAAAGCTCTCTGTTCCACCTTGTGATATCATGTGGTAATACAGGAAGTGCTCCATTGTGAACTCCACACACTTCAGTAGAATTATTTGAACGATTTCAGCCCTGGAATTAACCATCTCTACTGAACAAATGATAAAAGGTAGCTGTTAGCTTCAAAACTACCACTATATAACATCACAAAGTGAAACAGAGCATTATGAGCTTTGGGGAAGTAAACAGCCTAATAATCCAGGGCTACTCAAACATCTGTGAATGAAACAAAACAACTAGTCTATGGGTATGTTTTGAAGAGGTAGTAGCATTATAACATGGCTTAAAGCTCACACTAGAATCTGTATTGTGCAATTAGGTGTCTGCCTGAATAACATTGGCTTTATAACTGGACTTACCACATTGTATTCATTGTTGTCATTCACCAGAGGAAGAGGGAGGCTCCAGAATCCTGCAGCAGTCTCAGTTTTATCTTTACACTCCCGACATATATTACTGTTTATCAATTTTCCATGGAAGATCTGTGAACAAAGAAAGGGGGGACAAATTTGTATTTTTTGATTATTATCGTTTACTAATAAAAAATAACTCAGTAAGTAAAATTAAAACCTCATACTATTAGTACCTGGGAAGCCTCTGGACTGGTCAGACGTAAAATCTTCTCAAAGTGCTCTGCTGCATCACGCTGCTCATGCACTAGTGAGAGATAAACCTTTACTATAATAGCCAACCTTTAATACATATTTGATTAAATTAATGTATTTATGTGGCTGTAATGTACAGATATTGTACCATTTCTGATCTTGAGTTTATTTGTAATTGTGTATGTATAAGCATCATCTTTTTCCAAGTTTTCAAAGAGTTCCTTCAGCTCTCTGTCAATGCGCTCGTTGCTCCTGATGGGATTAACATACATTATTACATCAATTATAAATGCACGTTGATTTCTGAAAAAAGTCTACAGCCCACTTTAAATTAGCTACAAACTTTTTGATGCTTTCTCTGAAGTCTTCTGTCATGAACAGCACCTGCAGGACACTGTTTAGGTAACACGTTGCTCCCTGGTTCATTAACCCATGGTATCTGACTGCAAACGTTCAGACATCGTTAAAGATGCACTCCATTTCGCCAGAGACGCGACATTTTGTTTAATAAAAATTATCTTACCTGGTTTTCTCAAAGCCATGACTATGTTCGTCCATGTTCTAGGAGCTGTACTACATAGTTTCTCTTTCATTTGACACATCTGCGTGTGGTGTGTTCAAGGTGCACCGGAAAAACAGGAGCGTTAAAACGTTTTATTAAAAAAAAAAAGTTCATATTCAAAATGGGGATAGTTAATATTAATGCTAACTTGTTTAATAATATAAACACAATGTGTAAGGATACACGTTTTATGTATTTATTTATTTTTATAAAACATACAACAGTAGATCATTTGTTTTACTGGAACGTTGGGTCTATAGTGTAATTACAGTCTAGACTCTAGATGATATTCATTCAACAAATGATGAAAGTGATGAAGTGCAAATTTAATTAACCTCAAGTGCAAACACAATATACACCACTTTTTTATGCACAGTAAGTATTGTGCAAATAAGAAAATAACTTGACAAAAGTCAAGTAGTAAACAATAACAAATATCGTATACATGTGATTAGTATCAAAAGGTAGAACTCAGTGAGCTCTAATTTTCAGTGAAGACCCAGAGAAAAAATACTGAAAGATGAAGGTAAGGTAAATAAATTATATTAAACTTGAGTCATCCAAAATCTAGACCTTGTACTTTAACAAAATTGTTATAGGGTTTTTTTATCCCCCATATCTGGGGTCAAAAGTTTTTAAAAGAATTGACGGGAAGTCTCAAGATGTGGTCATAACGAGTTCTTAATGAAGTGGCCATTTTCTAAGAATAAAACTTAACTTCTGAAAATATTGTTAGATTCACACAAATAAAGTCATAATGAGACAGAAAAAAATTAGTTTGTCATTGCTCTTCCACAGGTGCAAAGGTTGCAAGGGCCTTTTATCACTATTTGTAGTTTTAATTTCTTATTATATTTCTCTGTATTTCTTTTCCTAAATGTTATTTGAATAATTTGGTCCTCCTAATTTGGTCACTTTCATTTTCAAGCCTGTTTCTGTCTCAGTGAAATCTTGCCTTCTTTCTATTGGATTTCCGGGGTTACTCGTGTAGTGATGTAGCCCCGACTGCTGTTTCTTCATTTTTCAGTTCATTAGCTGGAACTTGCTCCTTCTCAGTTGTTTTGTTGATACCATCTGAGATATTGTCTTGCAGAGTTTCTGGGGTGGGGTGTTTAAAAATAAACATGTTACAAAACATTTTTTTTAAATGTCTTTGTTTCATGGATATTTCCTGACCTTTTTGTTTTTGGTAAAACAGTAGATAAGCTCTTCGGGACCTATATGGATAAAATAATAACGGGTTAGTTGTGAATTAGTGGTTCTTGTGAGATAGATAGATAGATAGACAGACAGACAGACAGACAGACAGATAGATAGACAGATAGATAGATAAATAGATGTGACACTTCTTAAAAAAACACATACAGTTACAAAATGTGAAACTATTGAATTTCTGCCATAGTCCAATAGTCCAACTGCAATAGTAGGGGAGTAGCAGGAAGCTTTTTTTCATCAAAGCCTCTAAGCTACCACTGTAAGTTATATTTGATGATTCATACCTTTCCAGTGTTGGTGAAACAGAATGTGGAGCCTACATAAGGAACAAAAATGTTTTTAAACAAACCAGTTTACATAAATAGCAGTTCAAATGACTGATTTAATTACATTAGATTAGATAGATAGATACAGATAGATAGATAGATAGATAGATAGATAGATAGATAGATAGATTAGATATCTAGACTTACCATAGAATCATTAAAAAATATACCATTCATCATCATTCTGTGTGATCTAATAATGGAAACATAATGTCCACGTCTCAGTTCTCCAGAATGTTCTACAATGGCATACAGGTTATAAAGGTGTTCCTGTCAAAATAACACAGACAGTAACTGCATTGCGCTTCTGCATTAAAAACAATTATTATTTCTACTTTACCCCCGACATCTGCAGAGTTTGGGGCACATTGACAGGCTGGTTGATTTTGACATAGACCATGGAACTGTAGTCAAACTCAAAGCGCTTTAACAACAGTACCAAGACCTCTGGATGATCTTTCACCTCACAACCCTGTAACAAACACAGGCAAAATACAATATCACATGTCAGAATAAGTCTTCTTGCCATTATTAGTGAACAAAATTCAACTTGCTTCAGTGTTATGGTGCAACATAAAACAAAGAAAATTACTGGTAAATATAGGCTATAATAAAATAAAAATAAGGGCATGTGTGCATCAAAAACAAGGTAAAATATACCTTTAACTGTGTATATACAAAATAAACAGTATGGGCAGAACAACAGCATAAAACTCACACATGTGACTGTTACTCACCAGAACAGCATCACATTTTTTATCACAGTTCTCACAGTACATCTGATCATCTCCAGTGATCACCGAAGGATGGAAGAAGTCCTCAATGCCCTTTTCCTAAAGAAGTACCAGTCATTAAAAAAACAACAACAACAGTACTAACATATCTAAAAGCAAGTTAAGTGTCTGTCTGAAAAAGATTAGCTTAGCTGGACTTACCACACTATATTCATTGTTATCATTCACCAGAGGAAGAGGGAGGCTCCAGAATCCTGCTGCAGTCTCAGTTTTAGCATTACATTCTTGACATGTATTTCTGTTTATCGACTATCCATGGAAGATCTGTGAATAAAGAAAAAAAGCAAATTATTAACAAAAAAATACAAAAACAAAAAAAAACAAAACAGCAAATCGATCTAGTTTTCACCTAATTTTGAAGACAACAATTAACTTGAGAGCATTGTAATTATGTAGTTCATTTTCTGCACCAAACCTTCAGTCCAGCACTGGCTTTTCCAGAGAAAGTCTGAAGCAAAACTCTCTAAAAATGAAACCCTCATACTATTAGTACTATTAGTACCTGGGAGGCTTCTGGACTGGTCAGACGTAAAATCTTCTCAAAGTGCTCTGCTGCATCACGCTGCTCATGCACTAGTGAGAGATAGACATTTATTACAATAGCCTAATATAGCCCTTTTTTATATTTTATTAAATTAATGTATTTATGTGGCTGTAATGTGCAGGTATTGTACCATTTCTGATCTTGAGTTTATTTGTAATGTTGTACGTAGACGCATCATATTTTTCCAAGTCTTCAAACAGTTCCTTCAGCTCTCTGTCAATGCGCTCGTTCCCTGCGTTGCTCCTGATGGGATTAACATACATTATTACATCAGTTTTCCTCAAGATTTCTGAAAAGTCTACAGCCCACTTTAAATTAGCTACAAACTTTTTGATGCTTTCTCTGAAGTCTTCTGTCATGAACAGCACCTGCAGGACACTGTTCAGGTAATCCGTAGCTCCCTGGTTCACTAACCCATGGTATCTGACTGCAAACGTTCAGACATACATTTCAGATATCCTCCACTTCACCACAGATGCGAACTTTTGTTTAATAATAATAACAATCTTACCTGGTTTACTCAAATCCATGACTATGTTTGTCCGACCATTCAGTAATAATTATGTCGTCCTGTGACAGTCACAGGACAACATACTTTCTATTTCATTTAAGACATTTGCGTGTGGTGCGCTCAAGGTGCACAGGAAAAACAGTACGAGATTTGGATAGGCTAAATAAGGGGTAGAACAACTGAGCACTTCATACTTTAAACATACGAGTTTGTGTCTGGAAAAATATATTGTATTTTGTAAAAACTACAATATAAAAATAAATCTACACATTACCAATCACAAACTACATTTTGAGCATTTGATCAAAGATTGTCTATTTATGCTGAAGAAAAATGGAAAATATTGGAGTTGCAAATACATTCTTACTGCTTTGGCAATATGTGATGTGTTCTTGAAAATTATACATTTATACATCACTCTGGATTTAGTTTACTGTAGGCTGTATATTTATACATTTTGTTAGCTACTCTCTGAGGCACCTCCCCTCATGTATGAAATCCTTTGTTGATAGATTTTAGGTGCTCACAAACTGTATTTTTTTCCCATTATGTTTGAATTTCTATACTGAAAGTGACAAGAGTTAGGGTCAAAGTCCTTTACCACGTGAGAACACACCTGTAGTATTGGGGGGAAAAAACTAACAAAAACAAGTTTCAGTGATCATGTGTGTTTGTAAAAATGAGAGTGTTACATGTTTTGAGAGAGAGCCTGAGAATTGAGGGAACTGATGAAATTGTTCCAGATGATTTGAACACCTGTGCCTCACTTCAGATACAGGTTTGAATCAAATGATCAAACTAAACCAAGATTTAAAAAATGTGCTAAATGTAATAACATAACCATGATGTATACATGTGTTATTTCTGTTTATTTATTTTAACCGTACATACAATAGTACATCATTTGTTTTACTATTACAGTCAGTCGTAGTGAAATTAGTTTAGAATAAATTCAAAACCATAAACTTTAAAACACATAACGGATAATCTAAAAGTGCAAATTTAATTAACCTTGCGTGCAAACACAATATACACAATTGTTCTTATTTTTTTAACAAACAAAAACACAAAAACAATACAACAGTATTCTAGTATAGTGTAGAATGAGAAAATAACTCACTCAAACCAGGAACATAATTATAAACTATTCCTTATATCTAATAGTAGTAATAGTGTGCCTGCCTAGTCATTTGGTGTGTTTTCTTCTTACATGATAAAAAACAAATATAACGACGCAAACCACGCCACCTCGGCAAACGACACCTCGGCAAACACTTCTTCTTCTTCCTGCTTTGGCGATAATTTGTTTCAAGCTCCTCTTCTGATTTTTTGGGGGGATTGCTCAATGATAAATGTTTCATCTGTTCAGCTAAATACTCACAGGTTATTTCTGCCTCAGGTTTTGCATTGTTGTGGCATAGTTTATTTCCATCTTTCATTTTACCCATATCATCAGCACATGTATCTTTTGGTCTTTGCGAATGACCTGACTGCATATTTTGTCTTGACTGACGTGTATGCAATCTTGCAAGCATTGCTGAGGGTTAATTTGCTCAGGCATCTTTTGCTGACGTGTATGCAATCTTGGCAAGCATTGCTGAGGGTTAATTTGCTCAGGCACTTCTTGTGACGGTCTCTCATTCTGTCCATCTCTTCTTGAGTTTTTCCTTAGTCCATCATTTCTCATTTTATCATTCTGGATTTCTTTCCTGAAGTTTTCCTGTGAATAATGCTGGTTGTGTGGTTCATGAAAACTACGTGTTGACTTTTGATCAGGTTCATTTCTGACTAAAGACCTTTCCCTTCTTCCTCTCGAATTCTCAGGATTAGGCCACATATTCTCAAGTGATCTCGTTTCACTTGGAGCACAACTTTTAGTGCGTCTAAGTCTGTAGTGTTTAGGATTATTTTTAAAACTTTTAACATCTTGCCTGTATTGTGCTGGTCCAATTTGTTGACCGACATTTTGTTTGTTCCATGTGTTGTTTGATTGGTTGTAGTCATCTGAGGAATTTTCCATTTGTTTTGACTGCTGCCTCTTGATCAGCTCACATTGCCTCTCATGTTTACTTGGAGCATAACTATTACTGCGATTAACTCTAGTGTGTCCGTCTCTATCCTTATACCCCATACCATCTTGTTGCCTATATTCTACTAATCCCCTGACATGTTGTGTCCCCCAGCCGGCTTTCTGTGGGCTGTACTCATTTTGTTGCCTAAATAGCTGCATGTCAGCCATTGCTTGCTCTTCCCCTTCATTATGTTTATCATGGATTTTGGCCATCTCATGGACATTGCTGAAGTCTCTATATGAGGCTTTTACATTTGGTCCTTTATGTTTTGATTGCCTCATTGAATCAGAGTTCTGATGGCCACTGTCTTGCTGACTGACATGTGTGTCCCATTCAGCTTTCTGTGGACTGCACTCCTCTAATAAATATTCTGGTTGCTGCATCTTAGCCATTGCCTGGTCTTCCCTTTCATTATGTTTATTCTGCATTCTGGGCTTCTCATTGACATCCCTGGGGTTTCTATATGAGCCGTTTACATTTGATTGTTTTCCAGGATCAAAATTTTGACCAGTTTCCTTGTGTTTATCTTCAAACACTTGAGACCTTTCACTGCGTTCTTCTGGACCTAAATCATGCTTTATATTTGTTTTGATTCTCTTTGGTTCATTTTCTTCATCATTTCTAGGTCTTTCCTCCTTTCTTTTTGATCTTGGGGTGACTGGTTGGTTGTGTGTGTAAAATTTAATATTGACAGCTTCTTCCTTTGAGGAGCTGTGATGATTTCCAGTCCCTTTGAGCAGTGTTGTTGTTGGTAAAGTGTCTGGTGTGTTACGTCTATCCACATTTGTGTCTGTGTAAAAAAAGTAGTAAAACATTTATGAATCTAAAGCAATGAAACATGTCCTAAAAGGAAACTGCAACTAGAAAATAGTTTGGGTTGTGCTTAGGAGAAAACATAATCACAGATCACACATTATATATGTAGGCTGTAAATATATAGTAGTATATATAGTGGCTAGATTTATACCTTACAGAGGGGGTATTAAGTGCTAACACATAACATATTTAGATCACCTTGTTACCTTTTATTGTCATCATCGATCCAGCAATTACTGTAATCACCAAAAACATAATAAGCTTCACTTTAATTTTTGATGATCCAAGTCCCTCTTTCCTTTGCTCTCCACAGACCTCCTTCAGAGCATTATCACATTATAATTGGCATGTGTTTTGCTAATGTAACTACTGCACATCTCATCAGGTTTGTGATGTTGTAGTGCATTGGTTGGTATCACGCTTATATTAATGGAAAATTGCCGCTCAGAAGGATGGGTGAGGTAGGCTTGTCTCAACTTTGGACAGGATCATATTGATAATGATGAAGAGAATTTGAAGAGGGCCCATGAGACGTATTCAAACATTCAAAAATGGCATATAAAACCTCTTCAGGCATGCTTTTGATGAGGGAACAATATTATAACATGGTAGAAAGCTCCAAAATGTCAATTTGGCATAATACCCCCTCTTAAGTGTCTACTATGTGTTCACTATGTAAATACTAGCATTTAACCACTACCAAAGGCGTTTGACTGCTAACGTGACTTTTTAGGTTCTTACATATTTTGCTTTACACATACCTTTCTGTTTCTGGTAAAACAGAAGATAAACACTTCTGGACCTTGGCAGAAGAAACAAGAGTGATTTTACATTTTAAAAAACATAAAGTTGCTGTAGCAATAAAAAGTAATGTAACGTACGTCTGTGTAGGATCCAACTGAAAATGGTCATAGCTTGACTGTTGAAAGAAAGATTTTGGAGATCAGTTTTGTTTTAATCAAAACAAAATCCTAAAGATTTAAACTTACCAATTCAACCTTTAAGTCATTAAAAATGTACCACCGGCTGTCATCTTGTGACTTGATTGTTGCAGTGTAATGTCCTTGTCGCAGATTTCCAAAATGCTCCACATAAGCATAGAGTTTGTATTGAGTATATATTTTATTCTAGAAAAAAAAACAAAACAAAAAATACTTACTTACAACAACATTTAAGTGCAATCCCAATGTTAATGGTCCTACACTGTGCAAAATCGACTTTTGTGAGGTTTAAGTTATGTTAGAATGTTGTTGCCTCCTCAAAAACATACCTGGAGTTTTGTTTTGTTTTATTCACACATGTTTGAGTAATCCTTTATTATTAAAACTCAAAATGCTCTGTTCCACCTTGTGAAGCAGTAGATTTCCAGTTAACTGCTTTTAACTTAAGTTTAGCAGAGATCAAAAATTTTAGGACTGAAATTATCCAAATGATTCTAGTGAAGGTATAGCACACAGTGGAGTACACAGTACTGTATTACCACATGACACCACATGGTGCAATGAGTGTTTCCTGAGAAAAAACTTATATGCAGGGTTCTAGGTATGTTTGTGATGAGTAAAAAACATTATAACAGAGATCAGAAAATAGTTTAATATAGGCCCTTTAAATGTACAGTATTTTAAATGCTCTACTTCACCTGTTTCATTTGCAGTGTGTCTGGCATCTTCACTGGGCAGCAGATTTTTACTTTTTCCCAAACATTACCAACACATGCCAGTTTGAATCGTTTTAACAGGAGCACTAAGACTTTTGGATAACGTGTCACCTCACAATCCTAAGAAAAATACAAGTCAAAAATATGCTGAAAACTAGTGTTGTCATGATACTAAAGGAATGGACTAGATACTCAATACTGATTCTGGTATCACAATAATACAAACCCTCAGGAGAATGTATTTTTCAACATTTTCACAAATTGTAGAACTTTCTTTTGTATTACCATGTGGTCTTATATCTGTATATTTCCTCAGTCGTCCAGGTAGGTTCCATAGTGGTGCATGGGCGTATACTAGTCTATGTGGTCTTGTACTTGCTCTGATACAACTCAAGATCAGTCTAAAACTATTCAGCAAAGGTTAAATTAAATGTCATGTGAATGTGACATTTTAAGTATCGATACTTGCTCAAATGGGTATCTGATTTTGATACTTGTTTTAATATCAATTAGTATCTGATTTTTTTATACTTTTGACAACCCTATTGAAAACCAAAGCTTTTTCATTTGCACTCACCAGAACAGCGTCACATTTTTTATCACACTTCTCACAGTACATCTGGTTATCTCCACTGATCTCTGAAGGACGGAAGAAGTCCTCAATGCCCTTCTCCTAGACACACAAAAACAGGCCACAAGTGTCTAAGAATAAAAAGTATCTTCTACACTATAAATTTATTGAAATTACAGCTCAATGTTAGTCCCATTAAAAGGCCTGTCATGGAGTTGAAATGTATTTAAATTTATTTTTGCAACAAAACCTCAGGAATATGTATCCAGAGGTGGGTGGTATTCAGTTACATTTACTTGAATAACTTTAAACAAAATAGTACTTTTCAGAATACTTTTCAAGCAGCATACATTAATCCTACCTGAGTAATATATTTATTGAAGTAACCTGATAAAAAGTTTTGGTAACTCTTCCCACTTTAAGTCTACAAATGATAAAATCTTATTAAATAATATTTATGTTTGTCTTTCTTATGCCACTTCTTTAGCTATAATGTACTTTTTTGTGTCTGTTCTTTGAAAGTACCAGGTTTCGTGCCTTTTGTGTGCAACAGAGTTGTACAATAATGGTGAATACATATTAGGGCTGAAAAGGGGGATGTGGCAAAACTCTCAAAACTATTTTGTATCTTTATGTATTTGACCCTACCACTACCACTATTAACAATGCATTATGCAGAAGAAATACTAGGAAAGAATGTGTTTATATACATATAGATATTTTTAACTAAAACACTATCGACTGATTAATCAACTAAATGACTAAAGCCCTACAGCCCTAATAAATACAGGGATTATTTACAGTTGAAAAAACAAAAACAAAAAAAAACCACAAAGCAAAGATTCTCACCACACTATATTCATTGTTATCGTTCACCAGAGGAAGAGGGAGGCTCCAGAATCCTGCTGCAGTCTCAGTTTTAGCATTACACTCCTGACATATATTTCTGTTTGTCAATTCTCCATGGAAGATCTGTGAACAAAGACAGAATATAATTATCTAATCAAAATACTTCATGACAATAAAACTAAATTCAGATATTCAGATACATATATAAGGCCATATAAAAGAAAGCACTTTTATTTGATTATTTAATCACACTCTATTGTCTAAAAATATATATTTTTTTTATTATCATCAGTATTGAATATCGAGTCTCCTAAGTATCGAAATTGAGTTTGAAATTTTAGTATCGTGACAACACTACCTGGGACGCCTCTGGACTGATATTGCGTAAGATCTTCTCATAGTGCTCTGCGGCATCACGGTGCTCAAAGACTAAAAAAAAAAACACAGTTTTTTCACAGTTAAAACAGTTGATACAACTGTTAAATTCACATTGTGTGCATGTTTTACCATTGTTGATCTTCAGCTTCTTTGTGAGACTGTGTGTGTCAGCTTGACGTTTTTCCAAAGTGCTGAACAAATCACTCAGTTCAGTTTCAACATTTCTCTTCTCTGTATCATTCTTGATATGGCTATGGCTGGATAAAATTGTAATAATATTGTTAGTGAAGTTTAAAGGGCATATTTTACTCTATATTCTGATCTATGTCATAATGTTATTACCTCATCAAAAATATTCTTGGAGTTGTGGTTTGCTTCATTCACACATGTTTAACAGACAGGATATTTAGGAGTTCTTCTCTCAAACAGAAAACACTCCATTCCACCTTGTGATATAATGTGGTAATCCAGGAAGTGCTCCACTGAGTTTTTAAACTCAATACACCTTCACTGGAATAATTTGGATAATTACACAGCTAGAATTGCCCATGTCTACTAAACAGTAAAATGTAGCTGTTAACGTGAAAACCATCACTTTATGGCATCAAAAGATTGAAAAGAGCGTTTTGAGGACTGGAGATGTAGACAGACATTTAATAATAAAGGCTTACTCATGTGTGAACAAACCAAAATACAACTGCAGGTATGTTTTTGATGAGGGAACAGCATTATAACTAAAAGCACTAAACTAATAACTCAAATTGTGCATAATACAGGACATTAAAACATCATTGCTCTAACATAAAATGAATAAGGTATAATCAATCTATGCATAGCGTAATATGTGATTTTTATGTGCGGTTTGCCACCTGCCATGGAGATAGACAATTTTAATGCAATCTTGTGGAAACATTATAGTCAAGGTATAACATCTCTGTGGAGACTAGTAACATGAAAAGTTACATAGAGCACATTTAAAATAAGTAAAATAGCTACAAACCTTGTGACTCTTTCTCTGAAGTTTTTGGTCATAAATAGCACCTGCAGGATGCTGTTCAAATAGCATGTAGCTCCTTGGTTCTCCAGCCCATGGTATTTAGCTACAGAGAAATTAGAAATTACCTAATGCACCTGACATGCTGTTTATGTGTATAAAAAGATAGGCTCTTACCTTGTCGTCCTCTCTGAACATAACTCATGTTTATTCTTTAACAACGCAACATTTGCAGAAACGCTTTACGTTTAACAATTTTCATTACAGCCGCCTTGTCACTTTGTCAGTGTAATAGTTGAACAACAATCACCGCTAGCCCGAGCTCACAGTTACTTTCTTTTTCAAACTGACGCGAAACTGATCGACGACGCGTTCAAGGTGCGTCGGAAAAAATATAACCCCAAGGCAGGTTTGATTTAACCTATTACCCAGATACAGTTTATGGTATTGCCTTGCTAGATAGATAAAATGAAATAAAATAAAAATAACTTTTGTATTTTTAACATTTAAAATTTCTGATATTACATTAAAGAGGGAATTATATATGCGTGTCCTCAAGGTGAAGCTGTTTTATCTGCATACCCTTATTATAGCATTATCCCCATAAAGGAGAATGAAGAGTCCTAAGGTACAACTATGTAACCTGCAGTAAAGCCTGTTACGTGCCAAACAAACAAATAGGCCAACATATTAGTGTTGCACAACCTGATGAATAAAAAATAAAAGTAATTGATCACCCCAACACACACACACACTTTTTTTTGCGATTGCGAATACATTTATAATACTAATATGTATAAATGTGTTCAGGAATTTGTTCAAAGTGCACATATTATGAACAACTCCAGGAGCATTAATTTCAGGGAAGACTGAAATCTGTGCTGATAAACTAATTGAAGTCTATATGCTTTTCAGAACAAGTGTGGAGTCTACTTATTTTATCTCAAATGATTTCTTGTAAATTCAAATTTCACTTTTCTTTTCCTGTAAATCATAGTTCAGTTGTAAAATTCCAGGGAGTGTCCTAACTCAATGAACTCGTGAACAGCCCGCAGACTCAAGTCTTTCCTCAAGTGAAACCAATAATAAGGGATAGAAGCAAGTCACAAAAACTTTCCAGTGTCCAGCTCTTTCCAGTGACAAAACCTTTAATGCATTCAAAACATAGATTGTAACCATAAAACAATGATTAGAAAGCCCTTAAAAATTAGAGACAGAATGTAAATAAAATAGCATTAATAATTGTAAGAACAGTGGTGCCACATTTACGCATTGCAATCTCAAATATTTCTCCTAGAGTTTCTGTAGCTGAACAATCAAAAAGTTCATATGTACTAATGTTGGCACGATACTAAAATGTCAAACTTCATTTCAATGCTAAGGAATAGACTCAATACTCAATACCAATTCCGACACCATGATGATGATAAAAATACTCTTTATTTAGACAATAAAATGCCATTTTCAACATTAAATTACAGTACTTTTTTGATATTACTATGTGGACTGTGTAATCCATTGTCCAGGTAATCCATGGGCATATGCTAGTCTTTGTGGTCTTCTTCTTCTTCTAAGTTTTTCTAGTTTTATTATCTGATGTTTGATACTTTTGACTACCCTTATACCACCTCATGTCACACTTTTAACAACAGCTTTCTGCATTGTCTGTGTTGTGTTACAAGTTAAACCAGTGTCATTCTTCCTGTTTTGCTATCACTCAAGACACTTTCATTTTGCTCTTGTTCTGCCTTCAGCTCATCAGTGTCCTGTCTTTTCTTTGGTTTTAACCTGATTGTTTCTGTATCACCTTCTTCGACCACACCCAATTTTTCAACTCCATCATACTTCCTACTGCCTTCTTTAGTTAGTTTATCTCGCCTTAGCTTTCTCTGCTCAGATCTTTCTTTGTTTTGTGGCACTGGCGGCCTCAAACCTTCTTGCTCCTCGTTCCTAATAAACCTTTTGGTGGCTTCTGTTCTCCTCTTGTCTTCTTCATTGTCTGGATAATGTACATGATATGGCTGGCAATTCTCCTCTGATCTTTCTGTTGTGACTTTTGCCTGTAAACTATCTCCATCTATTGTTTTTTCATGACTCTCACGATCTTTCAGCCGTAATGTGAATTTTAGTTTATAGTCCATCAAGTCAGCAGGCATCTCACATGGGCTTGATTCAAAGGAACTATCAATAAGATCACCTCCATGATCCATTAAACTCTCAAAATTTTTATCTGACCGCATTTCCTCTTCTCTCATCTCACAATTACAAACGATTAATGATTGGTTGCCTCTGTTATTGTCAACTTGTTGTAATAATGAATCCTTCCTGTCTGTTAATGTCATTTTGCTAAAGGAATCAGCCAACTGGTCCAAATCAGGCTGGCATATTTCTTCACTGTCCGAAATCTCACAGTGTAACTCATGTTCGTCTCGTCTCTCCTTATTTTGAGTGTTTTCCTGGATCCTCCATTTTTCTGGTTTTAAAATATTTGGTGTGAGCTCATGGTCCTCCTTCATTTCAGGTCTAACCATTGCACAACAAAAATTTTCTTCATTCCCTTTGTTCTGTTGGTTGTTATTAGTGTTTTGTTCCTCATCTTTGTCTTGTGGAGTTTCTGGCGTGGAATCCGGTTTGACATCTACGGGGAAGGAATCTGCAAATCAAAAAATGAATTAATAAAACAGATAGCTACATTAATTAAAATACTTTCCTGTCCATTCCCCAAACTGTGGTAAAGGGACTTAGGTTAGATTTAAGTTAACTTATTTTTAATGTTTTATTTATTTTTGATTGCACTGATTTAGTTCTGTCTTGGACTTAGTTAGTTAGTTAGACTTGTAATTGTTTTTTTAGGCTCCTATCATTTCAGTATTTGATCACTGGAAATCCCAAAGGGTAGTAACTGGTTTAAGTGCTTGTAGATCATGGCTCATACCTTTTTGTCTTTGATAAAATAGTAAATAGGCTTCCTGGGATCTGCACACACAAAATAACAAAGGTAGTTATGATGGTAATTTACTGTAAATTGATTGTTGATTCACTGGTGAAATTTGAGGTATAGGGAAAAATTTGTAATGGAGAATGAGTGAATGAGTAGAGTATCCCTATAAGATCAGCATTTCATCCACAGGAATCTTCAATTCTGAAAAACAAACTTTTTGACAAGACCTAGGACATAAAATTGTACCAAACACACATTCCGTTTTTCTTTTACTTTCTGTTAACACATCAGAAGCACCATTTTCCCCCAAACACAGTAATACCAAACAACAGCCACTTTGTGTTAGTGGTTAGGCTGGCAAATGTTGATTTTTATCAATATATTTTTTCACAATCAAGTTATGGTTCGGGTCAGGACCAAAGTTAGGTTTTGGAACCCATACATTTGGGGTTTTTGCTTAGGTTTGCTAACCAGATTTTTTAGTTTTTGACAAAACTGAGTTGTCACTTTGTAAGGTGAAGAAAATTATAAATGAGGGTGTTAGTTAATTGTATTTAACTGATCACAAAAATACTGCCAATGTTGGTTAACTTTAATATTTGCTGTAATAAGTAAATCTGTTGATTATGAAATGAACTCACTCTCAGAGAAAAATACAGCACCAAAGGCTGTATAAATGTAAAGCACACAGCAGTTTGCTTTATGCCCTGCCCCTGTACGAAATGCTGAGAATTTAGGGAGCCCCTATGTAGAATATTTGAACATATACCTCATTGTAGGATGCTCCTGGAAAATATTAGGAATCTGTGGACAGATGTAAAAAATATTATGATTAAGTATTTTCATCAAACAGCAAAGCTTTGAACTTACCACTGAGAGGTCGTCAAAAATGTACCATTCCCTTTTATCATTGGACTTGATTCTTGCAATGTAATGTCCAAATCTGAGTTCTCCATAGTGCTCCACACAGGCATAGAGCTCATAGGGCTAAAAAACACAAGTCAGTACCTGAACCCTGTCCCTGTATGTATATGTATGTATGTATGTATGTATGTATGTATGTATGTATGTATGTATGTATGTATCCATCCAATAGACACAGAGATACTCTACCAGTGGCATGTGAAGAGTGTGGGGCACCTCCACCACACAGGTGTTTTTGACATATCTCATCTGTCTGTCGTACTCAAAGCGCTTCATCAGCAGAACCAAGACCTCAGGATGATGCTCCAGTTCACAGTGCTAGAGAAAATGTCATGATTCAAAATAATGAAAACAATGCACTGGATTTATACAGCACCCATCACGACACCCAAAGAGCTTTACAGTGCATTATGCATTAACTCCACATTCACTCAGGCTGCCAGATAATATTACACATATTATGGTTACTCACTAAAGAAACATCACGTGTTTCATCACAGTTCACGCAGTACATCTGCACCTCCCTCTGGATGAAGTCTTGAAGACTTCTGTGCTGAAAAGTATAAGACCTTATTTATCTTTTTGTGAAAACCTTCATACAACATTTATTCATTTCAGTTGGAACTCGTCCATAGACTGTGTAAAAAAGTGGACTAAGAAAGTGAGACGTCACCCTTGGCTTTTGGCTCCACTCAAATGAAGCTTGTGTTAGCAGTTACAGGAGGGAATTTGGAGCCAGGCTCTGTATTATACATAGGGTTTTTTTGACGGACAAAATAGTGAAAAAAACACCAGGATCATGTAGAGCGGGTTAATCTGAACATTTTAAGACCAAAATGACAAGGCTCACAGCAGTAGTTACAGAGAGAGGAGTGAGAATATTCTAGTGTAAATCAATGGGAGCCAGAGTCAGTAGGAGCAGGAAGAGCCACAAGGTATTAGAACATGACGGCTAGCACGTTAGCTATGTCCATTTATATACAGTCTATGATCTAGTCAGACCCATACCACAGAGCAGTCTGAGTCCAATAGAGAAAGAGGGACATGCCAGAATCCTGTTGTGCTTTTGGTCTCTTCTTTACAGTAGTGACATTTAACTCTGTTGGTCAGTTCTCCGTGGAAAATCTATGGACACATTAATCTTAATAAAGATTCAAAGAGTTAAACGTGCTGTTGTAGTGTGAACCTGGGACGCCTCTGGACTGGTCAGACGTAGGATCTTCTCATAATGCTCTGCAGCATCACGCTGCTCAAACACTGCATTAAAACACATGAATGTATTGTATCAATTATATACATACATGTACTTCATACAAGATGTATACTGTGTTTTTGTGTAATAAGAACCATTGTTTATCTTCAGCTTCTTAGTGATGTTGTATGTGTAAGTCCAATGTTCTTCTAATTCACTAAACAGGTCACTCAGCTCACGGTCAATGTGCTCTGTCCCAGGATTGTTCATGACATGTCTATGTAAAAATAACACACCTTTAAAAAAAAAATAAAAATACATATGTGTAAAGTAAATAAAAATCTGTCTTTCCACATACTTTCTGACAGTCTCTCTGAAGTCTTCAGTCATAAACAGTACCTGCAAAATGCTGTTCAGGTAACATGTAGCTCCTATGTTCAGTAGGCCATTGTATTTAGTAGCTAAAGAATTGTAGTAAAATGTGTTAATAATCAAACTTTAACATGATTTTACTAGGTTTTATTGGAATGTTCTGTTTCTATGAAATGTTTGCACTACAGGATTGTTTGGTGTGAAGTAGTTATCTTTATTATACAATTGTTGCTGTTTTATCTTGGGGTGTGTTAGAAATACCCGAGCGCTGACGACACTGCCAGTAAAGAACAAGGAACTTGGATGAGAAAATCTTTTTGGCTTTAATTGTTTAAAGCTAATATAAGTGTACTTGTACTGCTGCACTGTATTGCTACACTAAAGTGTTATTTTGCACAAGCAGGGGTTGTTTGGCTTGTTCTTTAAAGTTTAACATCCTTTTCAGTTGCATATTTAATATTCTCATGTTTGTTGATGACATAACTCAGAAATGTCTTTCTACATTTGACTCCCAGAGCCCTGACAGAGTATCCATAGTATACATTTTTACGTTTTGTTTAATAAAGCAGAATTAATTAAACACATGGCGCTCACCTTTCTGTTTTTGATAAAACAGTAGATACGCAGTCTGGGACCTATGTGCCACAGGAAGTCAGACTGAAGTCATTTTAAGACTGAACAGAATTTGGAGATGTATTTGGGACTTACCTTTCTGTTAGACATGACTGGAAATACTGATTCCTAGACTGTTGAAGAAGGTGATTTAAATGTCATAAATATGTGTATATAAATATATTCAATACATTTTAAATATATCTTAAATAAAATATTTGAACTTACCACTGTGACATGTAAGTCCTCAAACATATACCATCTTCCATCATGGCCCTTGATTGTAGCTAAATAACGACCAGATCCTGGCTCTCCAAAGTGCTCAACTAAAGCATGTAGCTCATAGATCTGATTCTAAAAGAGACAGAAAATACCAGTTAGGATCATGTGACAACAGTATGTACAGTCTCGTACAAAAACAATATTATTTAATTTACCTGAATGTTTACCACCAAGGGCACATCCACAAAACTTTGTAAATATTTCCCAAGAGTGAGGTCAAACTCAAAGCGCTTTATCAGAAGCACTAAGACCTCTGGAGGATGCAACATTTTACACTCCTAAGTAAAAGAGTAAATGTTCATGTTTTATTGTCTTGTTTTCTTCAAGACCATCACTGTAACTCACCAGAACAGCATCACATTTTTCATCACAGGTTTCACAGTACATCTGATTATCTCCACTGATCTCTGAAGGACGGAAAAAATCCAAAATGCCCCTTTCCTGTAAAATCATTCATAGGTTTCAGTTTCCCGTTACACTAATACACACTGTCCCTATCAAATAAAGAAAAAAAGATTAAATTAACATTGTAAGGGCTTTACCCCAATCAAGAAATGTATTTTGTTTTAAATTGTTAAGTGCTACGGCAACAGCCCTCTTTTTTCAGCATACTGAGACCCATTGATAAGTTGAATGTACTTAGCTTTAAATTGTGGAGATACTACAGAATACATTATTAATTTAGCTGTGGTCACTCTTCCTTGCAGCTTGACAACTAGGCCTGTCACAATAACTACTAAATAATATGAATTTATCATATGTCATATCATACTCATCAATATGTTTTTTATTGTCATCGTGGCATCGGACTCTTTATTGAGTACTGAGTAGTGACACTAGTTCTCACCACACTGTAGTCATCACCATTGCCGAGAGGAAGAGGAAGGTGCCAGAATCCTGTCTCAGTCTCGATTTGAGCATGACACTTCCGGCAAGTATTCTTATTAATCAATTTTCCACGGAAGATCTAAGGAGACAATTACATGAGCTAAAATACCAATCACTGGTGTTGATGAAGTCTGTACCTGGGATGCCTCTGGACTTGTCAGACGTAAAATCTTCTCATACAGCTCAGCTGCATCATGCTGCACATTCACTAAGGGATAGAAATATTACAACAGCTTAATGGGTAAATTAGTATTAAAGAGCCCTTATTATGCTATTTTCTGATCTATGTTATAATGTTGTTTCCTCATCAGAAACATACCTGGACTTGTTTTTTGTTTCCTTCACAAATCTTTAACACATAAACCTTGCATATTTAGGTTCTTGAACTCCAAACACCTCTAGAATCATTTAGATAATTTTTGCCCTGGAATTGCCAATCTCTATTGAATAAAAGATAGAGTTAGCTGTCCATTGGAAAACTCGCACTACATGACATCACAAGTTGGAACAGAGCATTTTGAGCTTTGGAGATGTAGACAGACTAATAATAAAGGAGTACTCAAACATGTGTGAATGAAACAAAACACAACTCCTGCTATGTTTTTCATGAGGTAGAGATGCACCAATCTGATACTGCCGATAACGAAACATATGACAGTCTCACTACGCAAAGTTGTTCTGTAGTTACTTGAGATATAAACAACAACCACATGACACATTTGGATCTGTTTTGTCTTATATTTTTGTTCAAGAAAATGTGCTGTTTTCATTCTCCGCACTTGTATTATCTGATATTGTGTATCGACACACAGGCTACTTAAAGCAACAATATTTAAATTGGTATCTGAACTGAAAAGGATGGATTTGTGGATTTGTATGCATCCATAATTTTAAAGGTCCATTGTGTACCTTTTTGGTTGTGGGTCCGTCACCTGCTTATTTCGATGGATATGTCATTGCTCTGCCTGGAATGTGTGACAGTATGACATTTAAACATTTATTAAAATACAAGTGGTTTTATAGCTTAGAATAACTGGCATTCTGAGTATGAGATCTACAGATCTGACCCGTAACTTGGCCTGGTTTGGTTTTGATGATGTCATATTGTGAAACATTCCAGACAAAATAATAACATTACGTGAATACCAGCATTTGGCGGACCGTCCACCAGAAAAGTTAAACAATGTACCTTTAAGTTACTTGGAGTACTTTACCATTGTTGATCCTCAGCTTGTTTGTGATGTTAACAGGACAAGCAGCTTTTCCTTCTAACTCAAGAAACAGATCACTCAGCTCTTTGTCAATGTACCCTGTCTCTGGATTATTTCTGGTGTGGCTATGAAAACAACATAAAAGATTTAATGAGTAAAACTATAGACTAAAATTATGTTGTTTAACACGTTCGAGAGTGTAACAAACCTTGTGACTCTTTCTTTGAAGTCTTCAGTCATGTGAAGCACCTGCAGGACACTGTTCAGGTAGCATGTAGCTCCTTGGTTCTGTAAGCCATGGTATTTATCTGCAAAAATGTTATAATTTACACTGAATTGTACTTTTCCTGTACTTAAATAAAAGAAAAAATATGCATGAAAAATATTATTCAGAGTACTAATTAATCAAAAAGAGTAAAACTAGTTTCACTCGTTTTAAATCACAATTCTCATATTCTCTGAGCTCTGGCCAATCAGAGCAGGCAATGCAGTTATGTGAGTTTGAGACAAATGTGAAATGGTACAGCCTACAATTCCGACTTGTCCAGTACACAATAACGTCTGTGATTTAAATGTAACTACCCAGTTACAGTAACGTATTTGTAATTAGTTACTTTTCCTTTTCACCCCTGCTAATTAATTGATCTTACCTCCAGGCACACTGACTTCTGACGGTTGATCCTTATTACCTCCAAAAAAACTGCTGAATATCTTCCACATATTAGAAGCATAGACGGTATAATGAAAATATTTACTGTCTATGGCTAGAACACATAAGCCTCACGAATTGTGTCTGTATCAGATAAGTTTCTTTTTCTCATGCTGCGAGGAGGAGGAGGAAGAAAGAAACAAACAAGTCGCGTTCAGGCTGCACAGGAATTACAAGCACCAATCAATACGCAACTGCAGCCTGTAGAGTTGTGACATGGAGGCTGTTGATGATATCTGTATTTCACCATGTATTTCACACGTGAACAGACGCAATAACACGTCTTAATGTCATATTATTTAGGCTGTATATGATTTTAATAGGGTATAATGTAAGCTCACATTTCTTATCATATTCAAATCACAATAGTCATCTAAATGGTCCTAAACCTACAAGAAATTTCACTATTACGTATGCTTACTCGGGCATTAGGCCAGTTGTTATTATTATTATTATTATTATTATTATTATTATTATTATTATTATGCTATTGCTTTGTCTGGAATGTTTCACAGTATGGCATTAAACGTCTCTATCTTCATGGAGACCAAACCAGACCAAGTTAGAGGTCAGATCTGTGGAGAGGCAACCCAACTCACAGTAAGAATGCATGTTTGCTAGGTATTTTTGAGTTATACAGGTAACTGTAATTTAATGAATTATGGTTGTTAAGGTTGTTAGGTTGTAAGAGCTGTTTAATGTCATACTGTGGAACATTCCAGGCACAGCAATGGCATATCCATAGAAAAAAGCAGGTGACAAACCCCCAACCAAAAGTTACATAGCGCATATTCAAGAATCAAAACAGTCAAGATTGAGTAGGTAACATAATTTTATTAACGTTGAACAAAACACTTCATGTAACTCAACGCAGTTACATTATGAACATAACAATAACGTAAACAATCAAAATGGATGTCAAAGTGCGTAGGTCAGGAGCAGGGCAGCAGCGGGAGCAGAGTCCAGTTTAAAGGGCCAGTCCTCCGTCCACTTGCAGGACCAGCTGGATCACAGACATGTGCTGGATGCCGTAGTCCGTCAAAAGTTTGGTCTCTACGTCCAGCCGCTCGTCTGCGAAGATCAAACTTATCCGATCCGGTTCTATAACAAGGCCACAAAGACATTATAAATAAATGGGTCAAACTGATCTGGCTCAGTAAGTTTCGTTTTCATAGACAGTAGTGGGAAGAGTTCGATACTGCAAATTTGTAGTAGTCTAATTATAGATTCAGTCCTGGCTCAGTCCTGGTTCAGTCCAGGTTCAGTTCAGTCCTGGTTTAGTTCTGTTTTCTCATCAAAACAACATGTAGGCCTACTTTTACTTATAACTATGTGAAAGTACAGTTATATGGCTTATTTTTTTTCTAAATTACAAGTACAAGCCCAGGTTTAAAAATCTACTCAAAAAGTACCCTAGAATTATAGGCCCTATACCAAAATCTAGGCTACTTAATTACAGTAACGCGAGTAGACTATTTGTAATAAGTTTCACCCCCGTGCATAGACTATTGACATTACCAGTGTTTGAAGGGAGTTTGGCTGATATCTTGTTTTTGAGCTGCTCCACCGTCATGCTCCTCATTTGTTCGTCGGTATTGCACAGGTCCACGGTCATTCTTTCTCCTTTGAACCCGGTCACCACCACTTGGTACAGTCGGCCCATCCTGATAGTAGCTCAGTGCTTTGGTTCGGCTCCGTCAAAACTTTCGTCAACCTGTTCGCTCCCGTGCGTCTTTGTCTCTGTCGCGTGTGCCAAGTGCAGCTGTTTAACCTGCGGAATTACCCCAGCGCCACAGAACCATTTTCGCTTTCACATTAGTCAATTTTTTATTCTATTTTTCTTCAAGTACCCTACGTTATAGCCTACATTTGACTTATTGGAACGATAAATAAAAAGTACAATATAGGAAATCAAGTTATACTGTACTTTAGTCTATTTTAAAAACATATTTTGTTTATCATTTTTATTGTTCTCATTGGTTTCGGAAACGTATAGGTTAGTCTTTAGTTATTTGAAACTCACACTGTCAGAGGATTGTAGGATTTTAATTGTTATCTTTATTATTTTTACCTGATTTACATAGTAACCTGCTTTGGGATTGTTTGCTCCGCGTTATCCACGTGATTTCTGCTAAAGGCAAAAGTGAAACTTAGTTTCACCATTAAACAACATAATAACAGCACTGGCTTGATTCGTAAAGAGAGCAGTCAAAGAAAAAAAACAACAAAATGGGAGACCGTGGTCAAGAGGAGAAACGATATGACCCCAAAGATACGACTCTGAAGTTTGTCAACAGACCGGATGACCTGGACCCTCTGCGTAAGTGCTTCAGATGTGATCCATTATTCTTGTGGGATTTGTAAGCTATTCAACTGCAGTTAAAGTGTCCCTTGGGGCAGTATGAGATGACTTAGAGAGGTTACAAGCACGTATTTACATGTTCATAGGTTACTCTACTGTGACAATGACCGCAAGTTTAAATTCTGCACTTTTCTCTTTTGAAGTTAATTTTGTCATCATTATTTATGATTTTTATATGTATTATTGAGACATTAATACCTTTCTTATTCGGTAAAATACATTGAATTTCTTTGTGTATTATACTAATTGTGCTATAAATACACTTGCCTTGACTCGCCTGTAATTGATGTGGTATGTGCGTATTGTATTCTCTTCAGCTCCAGACGATGAAGACCAGTGCCTAAGGGCTGAGATGTCGTGTGGCCACGCAGTCACCCCACAGTCCCTGACCGCGTGGTGCCGCAGTCTCCTGGACCAGGCAAGTTTTTTTTGTTTTTTTGTTTTTTTTTAAACAAAATGCATACCTGTCCCCTACTTACCCCTACAAACTAATCCTCAACACATTTTAACTTTGCAGGGCCAGTTTAAGTTTAAGTGCCCCGCTCTGAAGGAGGGCACTCTTCAGAGATGCAACCAAGAGTGGCCCTATCAGGAGGTGCGCAGACTGGCTGTGCTCACACCTGAGGAGATGCAGTACTTTGAGGAGAATTTGGCCCGTTTGGCTGCTTCAACATATTTTGAGTACAAGACTGTGAGTACTGACAATGATTATACATTGTTATTAATATCAATTTAATATAACTTTCTCTGTTTCAGTGTCCTGGGTGTAAAACATATGTGGAGAGGAAGGACTTGACCAACCTTAACGTGGAGTGTACAGTTTGTCAAGCAGAGAACAAGAGCAGTCAGTTCTGCTGGCAGTGCCTCAAACCTTGGAAAGGCCGTGCCCCTCGCTCTGACCGCTGTGAAAACGACGGCTGCACCAACCTTGAGCTGACGCTGCTCATGAATTGTAAGATGACCAACCTCTGCGAGGTCGAGGGGGCACAAGAGGTCCCCTCCATCCGGGCCTGTCCCACCTGTGGGCAGAAAGTGGAGCACAACAAAACGGGCTGCAAGAACGTCATCTGCCCTCGCTGTCAGAAGGAGTTCTGCTTCGTGTGTCTGAAGCTCACTCCTGAGTGTCTGAAGACCAGCTCTTACTACCTTCCCTGCAGCGCTGGAGTGGCCCCCAGGCAAACCTCCATCCCAGTGTGGAACAGGACCTGAGTCTGCACAGAAGCCTTCAATACCATCATTAGCTACTGTACTAAATATACTGTTCATTCAGTTATTTTACTACTTTGCACCTGCTACTTTGCATCACTTTCTGAAATCTAACACAAACTCTCCCTTTTTGTTTTAGTGTACTGTATAGTGAAGTTTATGGTTAACTCTTTCTGCTGGTGTTGGAAAGCTTAAATATCCAAATAAAGTTTGACCTGAAATTACCAATTTTGTGTTTGTTTACAATACATTTGAAAAAAAAAAATAATAATAATTTATTGTAAAAGGTACGCTTTTAAGCACAATGAACATACAGTTTGACAACACTGGTTAGAACACTAAACTTAAATGTAACTATTGAATGAACCTAATTTAGAATGTTAAGCTGCTTAAAAATATTACAAGCACCAGTCACATTTTACCGTTGTGTTGACACAATACTAACATTTCAGATGTTCTTTTTCTTTAAACAACGGAATGTGATCTTCAACATTAAATCATAGTACTTCCTTTAACATTACCATGTGGTCTTACATCTGTGTAATCCCTCAATTGTCCAAGTAGGTTCCATTGTGGTCTATGGCTCTATAATAGTCTATGTGTTCTTATACTTGTTCTGACTCTTTCTGACTTCTTTAGTATCAGTACTTGCTCAATATAGTTTTCCTGCTAGTTTTAGTATTGATTAGTACCTTTTTACAGTTTTTTTTTTTTTTTTTTTTGGCTTGTTACTTTGAGAGTTGCAGTCTGAACATTTTGAGAACCCCAGGCATAAAAAAAAAAACACACACACAAAAAAACCCCACAAAAATAAATTAACAAAAACAAAAAGGTAACTGTTGTTAAACCTGAGTACAGTATATTTGAGAGTATCTGCATCCTTTCTATTATTTCCATGATATTGTACTTTTCATTGATGCACTTCGTTTAACATTTCCTTTTGGGAGCTCTGATCTTTTGCTGGTTTTGGGAGAATTTTTGGGGGATAGCAAATAAGTCATTTGACTGTCCAGTGCACTCCCTTTTTTCATATTTGTAGTGCAGCAGATGTCTTTCTGTGGGTGTCTGTCCTGAAGACTTGAGGCTTTCTCGTTTCTTTGTAGCCTTGAATTCACAGGACTTTTTAATGGGAGGTGTCTATCTGTGTCCATGGCAGTTTCAGTGGTACAGGTCTTGTTATATGGTAATATGTTGTCATCTTCTTGAATATAAGTCTCTCTGTTACAGCTTTTCTCCATCATTTCATTTGTCATAGGAACCTGGGTCTCCACTGCCTCAGTATCTGAAGTTTCACAGTTTTTTTCAGGATTTCTGCTCTCTGAAAATTTAAACACAGCTATAAATACACCAGCAATAAAAAATAAAACAAAACATATATACATATATATAATAAAATGGATAGAATAAATACAATATAATAAAAGTAAAAATTGTTATTACAAAAATGTACTTTAATATTTCAAAAACTGCACTCACTTTTTTTTTTCTAATTTATTTATTAGCAGTGATGTATTATTACCATTCAAACTGTGTATTGGGAAATCACCTGCTAGAACCGTGCTGCCCTGTGTTTCCTGATGGGACACTGTCCAGTGCTGGTACTAAATATTTTGGACTATAAATGTGTAACCAAGTACAGAATTATGACTGAGTAGAGCTTAACAGCCCAGCACCATTTCAAAGTCCGCTCTGGTTCTGGAAGTAAAGTTCTCCCAGACTTCTTTAATATCAACATGGAGGCTAACCAGATATGCGGTGTCTAATGTCTATAACATTTTAAATCTAAAACGCACATTTAAAACACATGATTCAGCGCAATGTTGAAATAACTTAGCGGTTTATAAGTTTCAGAAACAGATTTGATATAAAACACATTACCACATAGATAATTAACCCTGAGCTAAGAAACTTTTAATATTAATTTATTTCCTGAAAGTTTTTGTAAAAAATTAAAGGAAAAATCCTGTTCGAAATATACAAAAAATGCTACACATAGCACAATATTTAAGTAGGAAGAGGCTCAGTCTACACCCTTTTGGGATAACTTTAGAACAACACTACTAAGATTCAGTTATGTACTTACTTTTCATGTACATGAGAAGATAAGATGAACGCGATCTATGACACAAGAGAGGTCATTACTGTTTATAAATGCAACATATTGGAAAATACACTAAACACTAAAATGATACATTACAATTACAATACACAATATACTTTAACCAACAATACAGTTTTTTAACAGACATGAGACAGACATAAAGCCATTTACCTCAAATATGGTTTTCCTGAGATGTAGTTTCTCCTCTGTTGATTAAAAATGTTAATACAATAAAGTATTATTAGAAAAAAATAGAAGTTCAAATCCTTACCAGTTTGACTTTTCCATCATTGAAACCATACCACTCTTTGGTTTGAAAAGAGTAAATAAATGCAATGTAATGGCCTCCAGTTAGATTCCCATAGTGTTTGACCATTGCATAGAGTTCATAGCTACAATCCTAAAATAAGACATATTTATGAATAACCTTTTAATGTGTAGGTTTTCAAATTCAAATTACCTTTATCTCTAACATGAGGGGCACCTCAGCTTCACAGTTTACTTTGACATTACACTTAAGCTCCGAATCGTAGTGAAATCTCTTCAATAAAAGAGTCAATACCTCCGGGGGCTGCGTCATCTTACACATCTAACAACAAATTGTTTTAAATATTCTTCACAGGAAATGATCTTTGTGAATCAAAACACACAAATACTTACAATTATTGCATCTTGATTTTTATCACAATGGGCACAGTACATTTGGTTTTCCCCACTGACTTCTTCTTTGCTAAAGAAATCCTCAAAACCGTTGTCCTCCAAAAAACAAGATCCATTCATTTTCACATAAATGTATTCATTAATAATTATAATTATGAAGTTCATGTGAAGTACCACTCTGTAGATTTGACGTGGGTCTTTTATTGACAATGGGAGGATCCAGAAAAAGCCTGGTGCATTATTTCTGGTTTTACACTTGCAGCATGTGGTCATGTGACTCAGCTCTCCTTTGAAAATCTGAAAATATATGAGGCTCATATATTAATTCTTACTGTTAAACATCAATCAAATTAGATTTGTGATACAATATCACATTTTATATCATCTTTACGTTGAGGTTTCATAGACACCTTGGGCATTATTACAGTTTCTCTGCTCCACTGCATAGTTACTGAGTTATCTTTATTAAGAAAAGAATAATTATACCTTAGATGCTTGTGGACAAGTTAGACGCAAAATCTTTTCAAAATATTCAGCAGCATCTCGTTGCTCATAAACTGCAATAAATGAATACGTGTAAAGCTCATGGGACAAGTTAAGCATTCTTGTGACAATCTATGTCACATCTGTAGTTACCATCTGCAATGCCTAATATCTGAGCGATTTTGTGTGTTCTGGCCATGTTTGTCTCCAAAGAGGTGAACAAGTCCTTCAGATGAAAGTCAAGAGTCGTTGGTTTCTCACAGCACCTAGGACACAAGAGACATAGTGATGAATTCCATTTATTAAGATACACCTAATTTCTTTTTCCATTGAAATAGATTTAATGTTTTTAAATATTTATTTCATAATTTTCTCCAAATTATATTGTATTAAAATTCCTGCCTATATATTGCACTTCTCTTTGTAAGAAAAATATAATAAATAAATAAAATAATTTTCATCCACAATCCTGTTTCACAAAAAAAAAAAAAAAAAAAAAACACACAAAAAAAACTAGAAGAGAGCAGTGCATTTTGGTGCATTTTTGTTTATTTGAAAGGAGCAGACACACACTGTAAAACACAGCAGTCCAGAAGAGGCTTGACGCTGGACACTTTTGCCAGAAAATTGTATGTATTTTTTTTTAGTTTGGATCATATTAGATCATATACAGTCTTTGGTTAGACCCAAAACCTCAAATCAGACTATGCTGGAGCTTTAGGGGCTACAGTTGTTTCACTAAATAAGTGCAAATATCAGCCAGTCTATCAGTCTGGCCTATCTCTATTTACCAACCTTTTAATTCTGTCTCTGAATTCTTCTGTCATGAAAAGCACCTGAAGAACACTGTTTAAATAGCAGGTAAGGCCTGGACTGACAAGCCCATGGAAATCTGAACACAAACACAACATTTTATCACATATTTTTTGTCTAATTATGAAAGTACAGTATAAGTATTCTCTTACCTCCAATAGGAAGTTTCTCCAATTTCCTCTTAAATGTGTCTAAAATGACATGATTCATACTGATGCTTTGTTGACATTTTCAAACAACCAAAACTGGTCTGTTGTGTTTGAGCTGTTTAAAAGGTAACATGAAGACACAGATGAAAACACTGGGGTTAGATGGGCCCACTTCACTGTTTATAGGCCTAGATTAGTGTGATAAGTGTGGAGAAACGGAGAAGTATAGAACTGTTAGATTATAATAGTGTAATAGCCTAGTATAAGGCCTACATCAACATCTATCCCCTTAACTACCATGGTAATCCAAGCAATGTAGGAAATAAGGCTCAGATTTTATAATAAATCCGTGCTCAGTTAGTGTAGGGGTCAGGGGAGCATGCGCACATTGAGGCCTGTGTGACTTGGGGGGGGTGTCATGACAACTAGTAAAGTCACGTCAACATCTGTAGCTCAAAAAGTAAAAACTAAATCTGTAAAAACATTAGATGAGTCCAACCCCACTCCTTCAAAACACACACAACAACAAAGTCGCTGAACTGGAACAATGATAAGGTAATTTCCACAATCAAACAAGGCTCACTTACCATGCCAAGCACAAACAATTCCCGCCGTCGCTGCTTAAAAGTGAGTGTGAGGATAGTTTCACTTTCGACAGAGCGCAAAAAGGACAGTGCCGCCAAGTGCCCAAAGGAGGAAGTAGAAACAGTGGGCGTGACTTCAGCCCATAACAACAACGCTCATTCAGCAAGAGTTTTACAGAAGTGAGTAGACGGACTCAGTGCAAGTGCGCAAAAGCTTTTAAGGTAAGGCTTCTGATTTTGTTACACAGTTGTTTTCATGTTCAAACTTTATATTAGGAGTATTTTCAAAATTTTGTCACATACAAAAAACAAACAAACAAATAAAGCAGACCACACATTTACAGCAGAAAAATATCGGCTAAAGTAATCGTCGTCCCAATATTAACAAATAAATAAAAAACTGTGTGTAAATTTTTAGCTGAAAAATTACTAAAAGAAAATCATTTTTCCATTTTGGTTGTGTTTGCACTGAAAAACTAAGGCGAGGCAAGTGTATTTATTTAGCACAATTCGTACTTTCGTACTCAAAGTAATTCAAAGTGCTTTACTGTACAGAATAAAAATACATTAAAATCACAATACAAATCACAATAAATAAATAAATAATCATCATAAAATTAAAAAGAGAGAAAGGCATTCATGAGAGACAAGAAAATTAAGAAACCAAGAAAAACGCATGTCCTGTGAGCGGTCTTGCATTTCCACAAACCTGACCCTTAATATAGCCTGTAGAAGGACCACCTTCTTGTGTCCATGCAAATGTTGTTGCTTTGCCTATCGTCTTCACAGTTTAGTATAAAACGTACAGGTCTGGATGCCCGAATGCTCTGCAAGGCCCGAATAGCCCACATCCAATTATTTTTTTAGCCTCTAGAAACTCCATGGACACTGCCAGTCTTGAAGTCTGATCTTGTTTTGGGTGTTTATTTATTATTAAGTTGGTTTATTTTAATGTTAATGTTTTAAATGTTGATATTGAACAGGCTGTGGTTTCAGATAGATTATGGCAGTTATAAACAGTTATTACACTAATTGTTTTATGGGTGGAGGAGTGGAAGTCCCCCGAGTGCCGTTTACCGAGTTGTTTTTCAGTCTTTTTTATGCTTTCACTTGACTTGACTCTTCATTTGCCTGTAGGGCTTCACATAAACATGGAAGATTCACCAGAGAAGAGCTATGACCCCTTTGATAGCACTTTGGTGTTTGTCGACAGGAAGGATGACCTGGATCCATTCTGTAAGTTTGTCTTTGTTAAAAATACTTCAGATTTCCCCATTTTCAAATGAACAAACTATTACAATGATTTAAACATGCTTTAATTTATTTGTTCAGCCTCAGAAGATGGAAATGGACAACTTAGGGCGCAGATGTCCTGTGGTCATGCTGTTACTCCTGATTCTCTCACACAGTGGAGTTGCCACCAACTGGACCAGGTAACTCAGCAGCAATTCAGTGGCTGTTTCTCAAATGGATGGCATCTTGTCTTGATCATATATTACCCTCATATATACCCCTCCCAGAATGTGTGACCCCCATTTTATTTGTATTATTTTATTTGTTGATAAATTATTTAACTTATTATCATTAAAATAACAATTTTAATTAAACTTAAGCTACTCTAAAGGCAACACAGATCCACATGCTCTTATTTTCACTTGTGAACATTTGGTGCATTGGATGCGTGTATGTGTGTGTACGTGTGTGAGCGTATGTGTGTGTGTGCGTGTTTGGTTGTGTGTGGAGCTGCTGCTCGCTGCGTCTAAAGCCTGTTACATTTGCCTGTTCACTGGCCTGAATTGGAAGGACTTGACTTTGGAGGAATTGACTGAGGAGGCAAAGCAAGGCCACAGATCCAACTCCAACTTTCAAACATGCAACATATTTGTCGTGGGGCAGTACAGAGAAATATGCTCCACTGTTTATTTTATTTTAAAGGTGCACTGTGTAACTTTTCTGGTGGAGGGTCTGTCATCTGCTTCTGTCCATGGAAATATTTTGTGGATTGTTTCACAGTATGGCATTGCACTTATTTATCTCCACAGAGACAGTAGGTAACACTAAAGAGCCGGATCTGTGGAGTGGCAAGTCCACTCAGAATAAGAATGCAATGTTTTAAGGTCATTAAAGAAACATTGAGAAAATTCAAGATGGATACTTTTAATGCCATACTGGAACATTCCAGACAAAAATCCATTGAGACAAGCAGGTGGTGGACTGTCCACCAGCAAAGTTACACAGTGCACCTTTAATATAATTTATGACAACATACAAACTGTAAACATCCTAATCTGAATATTTGTTTTCCAGGGTAATTATAAATTCAAATGCCCTGCAATAGTGGAGGGCACAAGACGATGCAATAAGCCCTGGTCTTATCAGGAGGTGCGCCGTTTGGCTGATTTGTCTGTAGAGGAGATGCAGTACTTTGAGGAGAACATCGCTCGTCTGGCTGCTGCGGAGCACAGCGAGATTCAGCCTGTACGTACCCAAACAGATTTTAGTTCTGACTGTGTTTATTGTAAGCTTATTGTAAGGTTTTTAATATATATTCTTTTCCTTTTGTTCCCTTAGTGTCCTCGATGTAAAAGTAATGTTGAGAGGAAAGATCTCACTAACCTGTGTGTGGTGTGCCCTGTGTGCACTGCTGATCAGGGGAAGAGCTATCAGTTCTGTTGGCAGTGCCAGAAGCCTTGGAAAGGAGCAGCTCGGCGCTCTGATCACTGTGACAACGATGGCTGCTCCAACAAGAACCTGGAGCTTCTGCAAACCTGTAAAACCATCGACCTGCCTGAAGTGCAGGGGGCCACAAACTGCCCTTCTGTCCGAGCCTGTCCTGAATGTGGCATTATATTAGAGCATAGTAGAAAATACTGTAAAAACCTCATTTGTCCTCGTTGTCATGCAGAGTTCTGTTTTGTGTGTTTAAAACTTAAAGAGACATGTAATAAGACCAGTACACCATATAACCTGTGTCAAGGTGGAGTGGCCCCAAGACAGACTTCAATCCCAGTGTGGATCGAATCTAGACAGGAGAGTGAAAGTGTGGAGGAAGTTGATGACATATCGCTTGCAGAGCCAGAAGAACTATACCTACCTGGACCCAAAAAGCGACGGAGATGGCCGAGACTGAAAATCCCTAAAGCTCTTGTCAAATTAATAAAATGACTGAAATTGCCATCATCACATTTAATATTTGTAAAACCAGATCTGTAGAATAATGCAAACTTTGATTTCTTTGTTTTTGTAATTGATAATACAAGATCACATAGTCTGTGTACAATATGTAGCACCATCTTCTATCCAGTGTTTGAACCTCAGATGTATTTTATTGTAATGTTAGCGCGTGTTGTAATACAAATGCACCTTCACTTTGACCTGTTGCACAACTCCTCTGCACAATAAAGACAACTTACCTCTATGTTGACATAGTGACTGTAGTTCAACCGTAACATGCTATGCTAATGCAAGCAGTGAAAGAAATTTGTTAAATTAAAATATATGAAGTTAATTTCACTTTCGATAGCGTGAAAAAAACACCATATGCAGCCTCTTGCCCAAAAAGGAGGTCGGAACAGGTAGTGGGTGTGGCTTTAGCCTATAACAATATTTAAGACGCGTTTTACAGGAAGAAAAGGGAGACAGACTGCAACACTTCAGCACACGGTGCCAGTGGGCTAAAGCGTTTAAGGTAAGACTTCTGATTTAGTTACAGTAGCCTACATAGTTGCCTATGTTTCATTTTCAAACTTTATTTTTGGAGTATTGTCAAACTTTTGTTTTGACAAACATACAAATAAATAAAAAGGAAAACCTTAAACAGTACAGAGAGCCCAGATAGAGCAGATACAGAAAAAAATATAGGCTAAAACAGACTTACTGTCGTCGTCCCAATATTAACAGAGACAAAACACTTCATCATTTTAACAGAAAATAAACTAATAAAAAAGATGTGTCCTGTGACTGGTCTTGCATCTCCACAAACCCGACTCTTAATCAACATGTCTAATGCCTGAATGCTCTTTAATATTAGTGTTTTAAATGTTGAACAGGTTGTGTTTTCAAATAGGACAGAGTACGAGCGTTGTTGTTTTATGGGTAGAGTGTGGAAGTCCCCTGAGTGCAGTTTACTTATGGTTTTACTTGACTTGACTCTCGACTCTTCATTTGCCTGTAGGGCTTCACATAAACATGGAGGATTCACCAGAGAAGAGCTATGACCCCTTTGATAGCACTTTGGTGTTTATCGACAGGAAGGATGACCTGGATCCATTCTGTAAGTTTTTCTTTATATAAAATCGGTCCCCATCATCAAATGAACAAACTATTACAATGATTTAAACATGCTTTAATTTATTTGTTCAGCCTCAGAAGATGGAAATGGACAACTCAGGGCGCAGATGTCCTGTGGTCATGCTGTTACTCCTGATTCTCTCACACAGTTGTGTCGCCACCAACTGGACCAGGTAACTTAGCAGCTAATTCAGTGATGCAACCCCAGCTTTCAAATATATTTTGTCATCTAGTGGACAAGCGTGTGCAGAATATTTATGACTGCTCTAACTTTGTTTTTTGAGAAATTGAGAATTTGCAAGATGAATATGTTTAATGCCATACCGGGACAATCCAAACAAAACAATAACCTCTCCACTGAGACATGCAGGTGGCGGACCGTCCACCAGCAAAGTTACACAGTGCACCTTTAATATAATTTATGACAACATACAAACTGTAAACATCCTAATCTGAATATTTGTTTTCCAGGGTAATTATAAATTCAAATGCCCTGCAATAGTGGAGGGCACAAGACGATGCAATAAGCCCTGGTCTTATCAGGAGGTGCGCCGTTTGGCTGATTTGTCTGTAGAGGAGATGCAGTACTTTGAGGAGAACATCGCTCGTCTGGCTGCTGCGGAGCACAGCGAGATTCAGCCTGTACGTACCCAAACAGAGTTTAGTTCATACTGTGTTCTTGGTATTGTAAGTTTATTGTAATGTTTTTAATATATTTTTTTTCCTTTTGTTCCCTTAGTGTCCTCGATGTAAAAGTAATGTTGAGAGGAAAGATCTCACTAACCTGTGTGTGGTGTGCCCTGTGTGCACTGCTGATCAGGGGAAGAGCTATCAGTTCTGTTGGCAGTGCCAGAAGCCTTGGAAAGGAGCAGCTCCGCGCTCTGATCACTGTGACAACGATGGCTGCTCCAACAAGAACCTGGAGCTTCTGCAAACCTGTAAAACCATCGACCTGCCTAAAGTGCAGGGGGTCATAAACTGCCCCTCTGTCCGAGCCTGTCCTAAGTGTGGTGCAATGGTAGAGCATAGTAGAAAATACTGTAAGAACCTCATTTGTCCTCGTTGTCAAGCCGAGTTCTGTTTTGTGTGTTTAAAACTTAAAAAGATTTGCAATAAGACCAGTACACCATATAACCTGTGTCAAGGTGGAGTGGCCCCAAGACAGACTTCAATCCCAGTGTGGAACAAATCTAGACACGGAAGGGAAAGGGAAAGTGTACGGGAATATGAGGACTTTATTGTGGAACATCTCAGAATATTTGAACAACAAAGACAGCAAATTAGATTATTAGATGGAATCCACTAAAGCCCTTTTCAGCTTGATATAGGCCAATTGATTGATATTTCCGTCAAGACACTTAGTATTATAAAACCAGTTCAGCAGAATGATGTAACTTTGAATTATTTGTTTTTTGAATTGATAATTCAAGATGTAGCCTAATCTTTTTTCAGTGATTGAACTGAGATGTCTTTCATTATCTTGTTAGCTGGTGTTGCAATACAAATGCTATCTTCACTTTGACCAGTTCAATAAATGTATAGATATTTTCCTGACTCTTTCTCTTCTACTTAATAAAGATAACTTGCCTCTATGTTGTCATGCTAACTAGTTCAGCCGTACCATGCTTCGGTAATGCAAGCAGTGTTAGAAATAAGACCACCCTGGCTCAGATTTTGTAATAGATCCATGCTCAGTCTTGGTAGGGGTCAGGGGAGCATATACGCATGCGCACATTTAGGCTTATGTTATTTTGGGGGTGTAATGACAACTTGTTAGTAAAAGTTAGTCAAAATTAAATCCGTAAAACATTAGAGGAATCCAACACACTCCTTAAAATAAAAGGTAATTTCCAAAACCAAACATGGCTCACTTACCATGCCAAGTGCAAATAGTTCCCCCCACCGCTGCTGAATAGCGTGATGACAGTTTCACTTTCGACAGAGTGAAAAAAGGACACTGTGCCGCCAAGTGCCCAAATGAGGTGGCAGGAGCAGGTACTGGGCGTGGCTTTTGCCTATAACAACAACATTAAAGAAGAGATTACAGGAAGAGAGGAGACAGACTGCAACAGTTCTACTACACGGTGCAAGTGCACAAAGGCTTTTAAGGTAAGGCTTCTGACTTTTTTTTTTCTCAAACTTTATTTCAGGAGTATTTTAAAACTTTTGTCACATACAAAACAAACAAAGCAGACTCCAAACAGTACAGAGCATCCAGATAGAGCAGATACAGAAATATATAGGCTAAAGTAGGCTTATAGTTGTCATCACAATATTAACAAAAAAAAAAAAAAAACTGTGTGTAGATAAACTAAGAAAAGCATAAGTCCTGTGAGCGGACTTGTATCTCCACAAACCCGACCCTTAATTTGGCCTGTAGAAGGGTCACCTGATTGTTTCCATGGAAATGTTGTTTCTTTGGCTATAGTATTCCACAGTATGGGGAAAAAAAAACAAAACTTATCTATCTCCATGAACGGATGTTCCCAAGTATGGTTTCTATTTCCATGAAATCATGCAGGCGACGGGCCACCTTCAGGACAACAGGTGGCAATTACTCAACAGGTCTGAATAGAACACATCCAATTCTTTTGTAGCCTATGAAACTCCATGGACACTGCCAGTCTTTGAAGTCTGACCTTGTTTGGGGAGGTTAATTTATTATTAAGTTGGTTTATTTAAATGTTAATCTTTTAAATGTTGATACTGAACAGGTTCCAGATAGAAAAAAATAGTTATTACACTAATTGCTTTATGGGTGGGGGAGTGGAAGTTCCCTGAGTGCCGAGTTGTTTTTGTCAGTCATTCTTATGGTTTCACTTTGCTCTTCATTTGCCTGTAGGGCTTCACATAAACATGGACGATTCACCAGAGAAGAGCTATGACCCCTTTGATAGCACTTTGGTGTTTGTCGACAGGAAGGATGACCTGGATCCATTCTGTAAGTTTGTCTTTGTTAAACATACTTCAAAGGTCCCCATTTTCAAATGAACAAACTATTACAATGATTTAAACATGCTTTAATTTATTTGTTCAGCCTCAGAAGATGGAAATGGACAACTTAGGGCGCAGATGTCCTGTGGTCATGCTGTTACTCCTGATTCTCTCACACAGTTGTGTCGCCACCAACTAGACCAGGTAACTCAGCAGCGATTCAGTGATGCAACTCGAACTTTCAAATATACTCTGCCATCTAGTGGACAAATGTGTGCAGAACTATTATGACTGCTCTAACTGTTTTTGTTTTGTTTTTGTTATTATAAAGTTACACAGGGCACCTTTAATATAATTTATGCCAACATAGAAACTGTAAACATCTGAATATTTGTTTTCCAGGGTAATTATAAATTCAAATGCCCTGCAATAGTGCAGGGCACAAGACGATGCAATAAGCCCTGGTCTTATCAGGAGGTGCGCCGTTTGGCTGATTTGTCTGTAGAGGAGATGCAGTACTTTGAGGAGAACATCGCTCGTCTGGCTGCTGCGGAGCACAGCGAGATTCAGCCTGTACGTACCCAAACAGATTTTAGTTCAGACTATGTTTATTATAAGCTTTTTAATATATAAATATATCTTTTCCTTTCCTTTAGTGTCCTCGATGTAAAAGTAATGTTGAGAGGAAAGATCTCACTAACCTGTGTGTGGTGTGCCCTGTGTGCACTGCTGATCAGGGGAAGAGCTATCAGTTCTGTTGGCAGTGCCAGAAGCTGTGGAAAGGAGCAGCTCCGTGCTCTGATCGCTGTGACAACGATGGCTGCTCCAACAAGAACCTGGAGCTTCTGCAAACCTGTAAAACCATCGACCTGCCTGAAGTGCGGGGGGCCATAAACTGCCCCTCTATCCGAGCCTGTCCTAAGTGTGGTGCAATGGTAGAGCATAGTAGAAAAAAATGTAAAAACCTCAGATGTCCTCGTTGTCACGTCGAATTCTGTTTTGTGTGTTTAAAACTTACAAGGAAATGTGGTAAGACCAGTACACCATTCATCCTGTGTCAAAGTGGAGTGGCCCCAAGACAGACTTCAATCCCAGTGTGGAAGAAACCTAGACATGGAAGAGAAAGGGAAAGTGTGAGGGGAGTTGATGACTTATTTGTTCAACAACTCAGAATGATAGAAGTACTACGTCAACATCAAGGAAGGCAAATGAGACTATTGAGAAATGACAATGAGGTGGAATACTTTTCAGATTGATATAGACCTACTGATTGATATTTCCATCAGGACACTTCCTATTATAAAACAGTTATGCAGAACAATGTAAACTTAATTTTATTTTTTTATTGATAATTCAAGATGTATCTTCTAGTAACTGAACTAAGATGTATTTTATTGTCTTGTTAGTGAGTGTTGTAATACTAATGCTCCCTACACTTTGACTGGTTGTATAAATGTGTATCTATTTTCCTGTCTTGTTCTCGTCAACAAAATAAAGATAACTTGCCTCTTAGAATATATCTGATTGTAATTTTGCTACTGGACCGAAATAACAGAGAATAAAACTGGTTTCAATTCATTTTCTTAAAACAGTATTTACATCATAATACTTTGATAATATTTTTTAAGTTATTGTGGTAGTGTATCTTTTGTTTTTTAGTTTAGTTTTAACCAGTTTTAACCAAATGCGTTGACATTTCTGTTTAAACACTGTATTAACTTTACAGGGTTAAAGGTTAAATCTCATATTAATATTGTCATTGTGTATGTTGTAAAATTGTTTGGGGCTTGTCTTGTGAAATGACAGTTCTAACACCAACTCTTCTGACTCTTCTCATTCCAGATCTAAACTGTTTACTTAACTTTTAAACTAGTCTTTACAGGTCCAAAGGCTGCTGTTTACTGTGAGGTAGGTTTTTCTAATAACTTTTACTTGGTTTGGTGATATTTACTTGTGGATATTTATCATAATTTTACATCAGTTTTGTGTTTCTGAACAAAAGTTGAAAAGAAAAGCACAAAAATAAAGGACGTAGTGGTTCTAAAAAGGAATACGTCTGTTATGAAAACTTTCAAATGCAAGGATAACTGATTTTGTAATTTTAGACATGCCCCTTTTTCACAGTCTAAGTAAAAGTTATGAAATTGGCTCTATATCCGCTGTCCAAGTTCAACCAGGAAAGAAAATTAGAAATCTTCATAAATATAATTGCTAACATGCCATATGCACTTTAATATATTGACTGTACCAACTTAAATCTGTCTTTTATCTTGTAGCTTTAAAAAATTATATTTATAAGTTTGATTTAGTCAGTCATTACCAAAATGCCTCCTGCTGCTAGAAAAGTACATCTGTAAACTATTCTGTAAATATTGTAATGTTGAATAAAATGTGTAATGTGTGTAGAATTTAGAAAGAAGAAAAAACGTAAAAAATTCAAAAGTATAGCACAGCTGTCAGATTTCCCCACATTTCATAATTTTGTTTGAGAACCATGTTTTTTTTTCTTAAGTCTACACACATTACACATTTTATTCAACATTACATGCCCAAGTGTCAAAAAGTTATAGCCCGAAAATTAAATGAAAATTAAAGCCCCAAAACCAGCCGCCACTGCTCTTAACCAATACCACCTGACCTTTAATCCAAATTAAATAAATAGTCCCATGTTTGTCGTACAGCGTGCTCCAAAAACACGCATATTAAAAGTCGCGCACAATTTTGTCTCTCTTCGCGTTCCGTAACAGCAAGGGGCGGTCTCAATATCAACATGGCGGCCTTCAGGAGCGGGGTGACTCCGGGCTGCATAATTAGATGTTTTCTGCGACAAAGTGGGAAATCAAAGAAAGGCATCAGTTCATTATCAGATGTCGTACACACTGTAAGTTTGCTTATATGTCATATGTATTAGACTTTGTCTGCTTCTTTTAAATGAGCACTTTACTCGGACTGTCAGTGCTGCGCCGACTGCGCAGTGGTGCGCGTGTATGTGCGTGACTTTGAGAGACAGTAGCGCACCTTTTGCGGTATTAAAAACGAGCAACTTTGTTAACATTTACAAGGTCGTGTAGTTTACTATATTCAATTGAAAGTGTGGTTTTATGACCAGATGTAGCGTTTTCCCCTATTCATTTTATTTCTCAGAATGTCTCATTTGACATAAAATGTGCAGGCCTAAGCTTTATTACTACTATATTATATTATTTAGTTTTGATGTGATCTTCTTGCAGCGGTAAACTCGACTTCTGCTCCACCTCTCTGGTCAAAGTGTGCCTTTCCTCCCCGATCTCATCACCTTGACGGGAGTACTGATCCATCACACACAAAACTGCAGCTATTACTAATAACGTGGTGCAGATCCGGTTGACTTCAGTAACATACGTCCCTTTTCCAATTAAATAAACAATGCCAGTCTGGTTTCAGACCCCTTGACAGTTCAAAGTCAGATTTATTAAAAAATTCAAAAGACCTCTTACTGGCAGCTGGCAAAGGACTCCTATGCATCCTCATCCTACTGGACAAGATCTCTGCCTTTGACATTCACGTCTCACATCCTCATGTATTGGGATAGCTCACAGCCTCACATCCCACTGCACTGGTTCATATTCATCCCAACCCTCTCCTGTTTCTTCAAATGATTGATTGATTTTTAATAGTATGATTATGAATTGTCCATATGTTTGTACAGTGTCCTTGAGTGCCTGAAGGATTCCTTTAAATAAAATGCATTCTCATCACTTATTAATATTGTTGGCTACACATTTTTTCTTGCAGTACAGTGGCTGAGTGGCTAACACTCACGCTTCACAGCAAGATTCGATCCCCGGGTCACCTGGGCCTTTCTTATGGAGTTTGCATGTTCCCCCTGTGTCTAGGTAAAAATCGTCCAGCTAAGATAGTCCTGACCAAGCATAGCAACAAGATCATGTGTGCACTACGCACTGCCCACTGCTCCTGAGGTCGATGTCCCAGTGGCAGTGAAGGATTGGTGAAATGCTGAGGGCAAATTTACAATAAAATACCTTTCTTTCTCTCTGTTCTTTAGCATTTGCTTCTGAAGTCTCATCTTCACACAGCTCTTGAGTGCCGGAGTCCTATAACAAAAACACTACTTGGTCGAAGACACAATGGGAAGTTTCTGTGGGTTGGCTCTGTGGCTGTACGACACAATGGGACACAGGTAAACTCAGTGGGAACATACATCAAAAGGCAAGTGTACATCTTAACATATTCATTATTGATATTCCCAGATTCCTGTCGACACAGTGGATTCTGCTCCAGTGCCTGAAGCAGCAGACACTCCTCCAGTTATTCAGACCCCTGTAACTGAACAGGTATAGGTAACATTATGTGACACTCAATAACACACAATTGCAGTATTTATTGATAAAGGTACCTCTAATACAAACAAATTATTCTAAAACATCTTTACATTTTTAAAAGCAGTCAAGCTAACTAGCAAGCGTTAGCAACAGTTTTTTAGTTAGTCACTCATCTTTTTTGTTGAAAGTGAAACACGTAAACAGAGCCATTAATGCTTATATTGATCACAGGCTCCTAAAAATGTGTTGTTTAAATCCATTTTGTATTATTTCTTGGGATTTCAAACAATCTAATCTTTTTTTTGGTAGTTATTGCTAATGTGTACATTGTGTCACCATGGTAACAAATGAACATTCCTCCATAGAAATATATAGAAATACACTCCCAGCTTGATGTCACAGCAAATTATCAACTGAATACTAGGGATGTAACAATATCCAAGTCTCTTTATTCAATATATTTACACGATATGCGTCTCACTCTACAATATTTTTTGCAATATTTGTATTTTTGTATAATTGTGTATTTTTTTTCTTTGCAAAATGCATTGACAAGCCTCTAGTATTGTAATAATACAAATAATTAAGATTTAAAAGTGCTTAATAATAGTTATTTCTTCATGTAGTCTGCACTGAAACTGCAAGGGATCAGGTCTATGCAGTTCGGTGTCAAATAAGGCGTAATTATATAAATGTATACGTATGTATAAGTAACAAGCTATATAGAAATATCACGATAAATATCACAATATTTCGGTCATTGTTACATCCCTATTCAAGATCTTTGCGGGAGAGAGATCTGATTCAAATTCTCATACCTTTCAGATTACAGTTGAGGCCGTTTCTGTGGCACCTACTGAAGTGCATATCCCAGCTTCTCAGACAGTGTTTACATCGGCCCCGGACCATGTTGCTACTGTCCTCACACAGCCAATCACAGAACAGGTGGTTGACGTTGCCCCCACAGCTGTCGACGTCCTCCAGGCGGCCACCACTGAACCCAGTCTGGCAGAGCTTGGGTTGTGTGCTCACACTCCAGTGGGGGTTGTCCAAAATCTACTGGAGTTCATGCATGTGGATCTCGGTTTACCATGGTGGGGAGCCATTGTTGTAGGTAAATAGTCAAAATGTATTTAAAGTGCTATTTTCTCATCTGTGTTATAATGTTGTTTCCTTGTTCAAAAACAGACCTGGAGTTGTGTTTTGTTTCATTCTTGCATATTTAATACACGAACCCTGCTTCTTCACTCAAATGGAAAACACTCCTTGTGATGTCATGTGGTAATACAGGAAGTGCTCCACTGTTTTTTAAAATGTCATACACTGGAATCATTTGGAACTGAAGATAAAATATTGCTGTTAACTACCACTTCATGACATCACAATGTGGCTTTAGAGCTTTAGAGATGTAGACAGACTAATAAGAGATTGTTCAAAAATGTGTGAATGAAACAAAACACAAGTTCGTAAGGTAACAACATTATAAAGTGCTTAAAGCTCACTTGAATCCATTTTGTGTAATATAGGACTTTTAATGTATATGATTTAACTCGGGGCAATTCAATATTTGACTCTAGCACTTGGAAATATAATAATTATGTATTTTTATTCCATAGGCACTGTACTGGCTCGTGTATTGGTCTTCCCTGTTATTGTGAAGGGTCAAAGAGAAGCAGCCAAACTGAATAATGTCCTGCCAGAGATGACCAAACTCACCAACAGAATGAATGAAGCTAAACAGAGTGGAAACAAATTTGACTGTATGTTTTTTTTTTTTGCTTCTAAAATATCTGTATGAGATCCTTTGCTTTTTATTTGAAAGCATGTTTTTGTTGCAGTTGCCAAAGCCTACTCTGATTTGAACTTATTCCAGAAAAAGCACGATGTCAACCCGCTGCGTGGTTTCTTGATTCCAGTGGTGCAGGTCAGTTTAACTGTAACTTTGACCATGACTGATTCTCATCTATTCTTGAGTTATTAATTTATTTCAATTTTCCATCACAGGCACCAATCTTCATCTCTTTTTTCATTGCACTGAGGAAGATGGCGTATCTCCCAGTACCTAGCATGCAGACTGGGGGAGCACTGTGGTTTCCCGACCTGACTATAGCTGATCCTCTCTATATATTGCCCATTGCTGTCACAGGGACTATGTTCTTTATTCTGGAGGCAAGTTTGTTACTTAATTAATTCATGCAACTTTATGGAGGTTTTTGGAGTTGAATACTGTTAAAAAACCCCAGCAAAGATAATAACATTAATATGAATGTAAATTATAATAAAAGTTATATTATAAAAGTATATAAAATATTTAAATACTGGTAAGTAAATAAATAGCACAGCATTGTAGCAGATAGAGATGTAGTGATATTCAAAGCTCTTGAAAGAGAGAGTCTGGTATAACCTTAAACGTCTTTGGACTTTGCAGCTGGGAGCAGAATCAGGCGTTGACAACCCAAATCTGAAAGCCATGAAGACTGTTTTTAGAATAATGCCCCTGATCATCCTCCCACTCACTATTAACTTTCCTACAGTAAGTTTCTGAAAGACTTTATACACCTGTTTGTAGATTATTGTTACATTAATAACACTCAACACTGATAATTCTCATAATTGTTCTGTTCTTTTTCATTTTAGGCTGTGTTCACTTATTGGATGACCTCCAACTGCTTCTCTTTGGGTCAAGTGGCTCTGCTCCGCCATCCTTTTGTCAGGAAGAAGTTAAACATCCCTGAGAGGATCCAGCACCCACCGTCTGCATTGCCCCAAAATGATGGGTTTATTAAAAGCATGAAGAAAGGTGATTAGAGATGAACAAATAACCATAAATACATAGTGTGTTTGTATTCATCATTTTACCTCTCTGTGTGTACATAGGATGGAAGAATGCTCAGCTGGCCCAGCAGCTTGAAGAAAGGGAGAGGAGGATCAAAAATCACCTTGACCTTGCTGCTAAAGGTATTGTATGCTTGTATGGTTTGTGGGCTTGTATGGTATGCCTTGTTTTTTTATCTGTCTTTTAAAGAGGGAATATTATGCAAAATCAAATTTTTGGAGGTAACATGGTTATCCAAATATGTTATGTGTTAAGTAATTCCCCATAGAAGTATAACACCCTTTTTAACGGGCTGCAAGAGGTAAGATGAGACATGACAAGAATGTACAAACTAACAAAACATAATTCCATTCACCACTGGATGCTTTAACTGACATGAAACAATTTCATGAACTTTTACAGCATTGAAAAACACATCAGGATCCCATGCATAAAATAGACGCATCTATCTCATGACCTCAAAACTATAGAAATGGAGGTGCAGCTAGTTTCAACAAATCTCAGTGAAATCTTATCTTAAAGGTACACTGTGTAATATTTCTAGTGGAGCCACCTGCTTGTCTCCATGGAAATATTATTGCTTTGATAGTTAGACATGTCAAATAAATCAGTGAGCATCTAGTATTAATAAAGATCGGATAAATGACTTTTTTGTCATAATTTAATGTCAGTGATAATCCTGGACCAGTATCACACGCGAAACACATCAAACCCACCACCAGATGGCACCTCTACATGTCACTTTTGGCAAACCAAACAGGATTAGTGGTCAGTTCTATAAATAAGTGATTTCCCTAAAACAACTCCATCCAGATTGTGGAAAACCGGATAAGCAATCCTCAGGGGGACTATTACTATTACAAATACATATGAAAAATTATAATTTGGGAATAAGGTCCCATTCCAATAAAATTCATTCAAATAAGATGATTCCACTTATACAGATTTCACAAATTTTATTTTATTTATTTTTATGAACTTTGTTCCACCTGCCTTTTGTGTATTATCTTTTAGTTCTTTCAGAAAGCTCCTGCTCTTTTTTCTTAACCAGTTATGTTTCTGAGAGATAATTCTGTGGTGTTGTTTAGCACACGTCCTCTACACACAAGCACATGCAAACAATTATACTTTATGTTGTTTGGTACGTTCTATTCAGACTTCTGTCTAATATAAAATTATTGATATGGCATATACATTGATAAAGGGCCTAATGTCTAAGTATCTGGCCATTTGATTAAATAAAAAATAGGAGCAAACAGGACATTCAATGGAAATACTGATTTTGTCACTGACTTTTTGTGTCATACAAAAGTCTCATAGAAATTATGATTAGTCCACAGGAATCTTTACCATATTTATTTTGTTTTTATTTTTACAGGTCCTCTGAGACAGACCTTTACCCACAATCCTCTGCAGCAGAATTCACAAATAGCAGCGACATCGTCCAAAACCAAGACCAGCAGCAAGCCACAGCCATGGAAGGACACTTTGGGTTAAAACGCTAACTCAGCTTTATAGTTTAAGATCTAATATCATGTATATATTTATGGCTCAAAGAGCAAAGGAAGTGGGTTTATTATTGTCTCTGTACTATTATAATAAATTTACAGTTACAACCATCCTGTTTGTTTAGTATTCTTCTTTCTTTGAAGACTGAAATCACAAAAATATACACTGTTAGAGTAATTTATTATAAATATTTTTCAGCAGAAAAGTTATGTAATATTCACAACAATTCTTGTGTGAAAAGTTATTGAGTAATAAAAAATAGCCCTTTGTTCATATTTGAAAATTGCAGTGCCATTAGTACATGAGGTTGTCCATTGTTGTGTTTCTTCAGGTAAAATGAACACATTTCTAAATTTAATTACATAAAATACTACATGTTTGTTGTCAATTAAATAATTTCTACTAATATGTACGCACTGTGACAAAATCATATGTCTTTATAAGTCCAGCTGGCAATGCACTCAGCGTCATTTATGGCCAGGTGAGAAGAGAAAGTCTTTAATGTGCGTTCAGTCCTTGTGTGTCCTATTCCTCTTTGTCCATTTCAGTCAAAACAGAAAAGCACACCTTCTGAATGAGGATGCCAAATTTAGCTGAAAAAGTAAACACAACAGAGTAAATAACACACATAGACAAAAATACACTAGAATTGTAAATATTTTGTCCAAAAAATCTTGCCTATAAATTTTCTAATCCATAGTGGCCTCTTGTGGGCTGGAGTGTAGCAGCAGAGGAAATAAACAGGGACCCCTGACAGAGCAATGGCAATACCAATGAGAGAGTTGATTGTGTCACTGTAAAGTGGCACCACAACCAGGAAGATGGTCAGGAGGCAGAAAATAATGGGATAGACCAGACTGAGCTGAAGGAAAATAAAAACAGGAAGTCAGTGTTCACCAGCAGGTTAATATTGAAGGTCCTATATTACACAGAATTGACCCTTGTGAGCTTTAAGCCATGTTAGAATATTGTACTTCCTCAAAATGCCATGATGCACCTTGTGATGACATGTACTGGTAGCTTTCAAGTTAATAGCCACCTTTCACCTTTTGTACAGGAGAGATTGATCATTCCAGGGCTGAAATTATCCAAAAAGTGTAGCACTTCTTGTATTACCACATGACATCACAAGGTGGAACGAGGTGGAGTTTGACAGAAGAACTCAGTTTAAATATGCAGGGTTTGTGTGTTAAACATGTGAATGAAACAAAGCACAATTCTGGGTATGTTTTTTGATGAGGAAACAATATTATAACATACTAGTTCATCAATAAAGTAAATTAGCTGCTCCTACTTGCATTTTTAAAATGTACATTCATTTGCAAAACACACGCAGCTGTTACCTTTAATGGTCTTTTTCGGTCCGGTTGCTTCCAGCGCAGATACAGCTGCCCCAAAATGGAGAGTCCCACAAAGAACCAGTAGCTGAAGCTGTAGTAGTTAATGAGCCTAAAGACATCTTCCACACACAGGTATATCAGAGCCATGACTCCCTATAAGTACAGAACATAATGAGTTAGAAAACGTGATTGTAAATTTAGAATTTAATTTATTTTTGGGGTTTCTTACATTAAAAAGCAGAGCAGGAATTGGAGTATACCGATGAACATGGATCATACACAAATAGTCTGGTAGATGACCTTCTCTTGAGCCCACAAAAAACAGTCTGTCAAAAAAACATACATCGGTAATTAAAAATCAGTTAATGTTGTTTCCTCATCAAAAACATACCTGTTGTTGTGCTTTGTTTAATTCACACATGTTTAACACACAAACCCTGCATATTTAGGCAGAGTTCTTCTCTCAAACTCAAAACACTCCACATTGTAATGCCATGTGGTAATACGGGAAGTGCTCCACTGTGTTTTTAAACACCATACACTGTCACTAGAATCATTTGGATGATTTCAACCATGGAATTGCCAATCTCTGCTGAACTAAAGGTAAAAGGTAGCTGTTAACATGAAAACTACCACTACATGACATCACAAGGTGGAACAGAGCCTTTTGAACTTTGCAGATGTAGACAGACTAATAATACAGGGTTCCTCAAACATATGTGAATGAAACAAAACATAACTCCGGCTATGTTTTTGATGACGTAACAGCATTATAACATGGCTTAAAGCTCAACGAGTAATATAGGACTGTTAATAATTTTAATAAAAAATGGTGCATACAATCAAAATAAGTTTCTCACCTGGAAGATGCCAAAATTGAAGCGTTGAGTCCACCAAAGCAGGACAGAGCCACAGCTAAAGGAATAGTCCAGTTCATGATGCCAAACACTTTATCTGCAAATGTCTAGGAAATTAAGAAAAAATAAACAATAAACATATTTTTTGTAAGTTCTTCTTTGCATGCAGCCCATAGAAATACCAGAGCTTTTCTTTTCTTTTTTCTTTTCTTTTATCTTATATCTTACCACCGCTACTGCATCACTGTCCAAGATGGCGTTCATGGGGAGTACAGTATAGTAAGCCACATTGGTCAAGATGTAGATCACAGTCACTATGGGCATGGAAATAGCAATGGCCAGAGGTAGATTCCTGTAGTTCAAACACACAGCCAGATGAGCCAATTTAAACAGAGATTCCTCATAAGACTAAAGATCAGAGACTGGCCCCTTTTAGGTGAGCAAAAGTTTGGGTTTAGGATTAAATGGATGTCTATCACTAAATCTCCCTGAGAACAGAGCGGTATGAGAAAATACTGACCTCATTTCATTTTATTTACCATTATGACTATTTTGTATTTTTTTTTATTAAAAGGACAGTGCACATTAAAAGACAAGATAATGCTAAAGATAAAAACATACTTGTAAATATGCAGGATTGTAGCCAATACAGTGGCTAATTTCCATCCTTAGTGCCCTGAATATTTGGAGTTAGTTCATTCTCTCAATTACATTTATTTATTACAATTACAATTAAATTATTTTTTTTATTCAATTACATTTATTACAAGTATTTGGGAAAACTGCTACTCAATTAAGAGAACTTATAGAGTTACTGTTGGAACATAACATCTTACGTATAATTTAAAGTTAATAAAGTTGGAAGGACAAAACATTTAATAATGCACAAAATCTGGTATTTTCAGAGGAAAAACACAAAAATCAGCTAAACTAAATCATGGAGTGGTGCAAGAAACACATTATATTGGCAACACAAAGCTTTTATCACTTGTAGACTTACTCACAGTGGAAAGAGTAGCCAAAACTTTTACTCAAGTAAGAGTACTGTTACCTCAATAAAAATATTACTCAAATAAGAGTTAAAGTATGCTGCTAGATCTTTAAAAAGTTACTCAAGTAAATGTAACTGAGTACTACCAACCTCTGAATTCAAACTTCAGTAATGTGCACTAAACTAGAAATATGTCACTAAAATGTTTTGCATTGTACAATTTCTATGTAAGGGCCGTAATAACATTGATAAAAAAAATGTCACAATAACAATTTTTAAAGTTGCACTATGTAACTTTTTGGTTGGGGGTCCACCCTGTCACCTGCTTATTTCTGTGGATGTCACTGCTCTGCCTGGAATGTTTCACAGTATCAACAGACGTACCTTATATTTATTCAGTTGCCAGTACAGGTGTTTTTATAGCTCAAAAATGCCTAGAAAAACAGGAATTGACTTATGAGTGGAGTCACCTCTCCACAGATCTGACCCGTAACTTGATCCGGTTTGCTCTCAATGAAGATAGAAAGGTTTAATGCCATACTGAGACTGGACCCTCCAACCAAAAAGTTACACAGTGCACCTTTAAGTGTGATGTACTGATGAAGAAAATAGACGATAAACGATAATACTGAAAGTAATTTATGCCGCTGACACAATAACTTTAAAGCAGGATTTCACCCCAAAATATTCTAAATGTACTATATCAGTAAAATAAATAAATAAAATAAAAATAAAAAATAGCATAATAATAATACAATTCTTTTAGACCAAGGTTTGACTGCTCACAAGCACTGAGGGAGTAAATGATATGAAAACAAACTGAACATTGGTCTGAAAAAAGAAACTATTCAAACAAATTATTAATTAAGACCACATGAACGTCACTGCTCCACTTAAATAGTCAGTTTGTATCTACTGTGAGTCAGAACCTGCTCAAATCTTATCATAGTGCAAAAAAAAAGAAATCCCAATGATACACTCCCAAATTATTGTTCCTTCTTTAATCTTATTTAATTTGAATTAGAGTGTATTCATGTTATATTTTTAACAGCTTTTTAGCATTTGGTATTTTAAAGCTTTTTATTTTTTATTTTTTGTATTTTTGATTTACTTTCTTTTCTTGTCTTAAAGGTGCATTGTGTAACTTTTCTGGTGGAGGGTGCGTCAAATGCTTTACTTCATGGAGATGTTATTACTTTGTCTGGAATGTACATTGTCTCAGTATGTTATTAAACCTCAGTATATTATTAAACCTTTCTATCTTTATGGAGACCAAACCCAGCCAAGCTACAGGTCAGAGACTCAGAACGGAATCCAGGAAATACCAGGTATTTTTGAGCTAAAAAAAAAACACCTGTAATTGAATAACTGTACAGTGGAACTGTTGAATGTCATACTGTGACCCTCCACCGGAAAAGTTACACAATGCACCTTTGATTTGTCTGTGTCTGTGATGTATATAATAAAGTGGATTGGATTACTTAATTGAACAATTCACTAGATACAGTATTTATATGACAGACAGTTTACACACCTCTCTGGGTTCTTGATTTCCTCTGTGACAAAGTTAAGTGTGTCCCATCCAGAGTAAGAGAAGAGAGCAGAGTACAAAGCCAGAGCAATTCCCCCGGGGTCCTGGGATGAGCCATCAAAGAGCCCCTCGAAGTTCTGTGTGTGACCTGAAAACATAAAGCATGGCACCATTACATTTAACTTTACACTAACTCATTGCTGTTTTTGTTTCCTAAAAGGTGCACTATGTGACTTTTGTGGTGCAAGGCCAATCACAAGGCCGTATTGAAATAAACTTGTCTCTCTTGCATTCATTATGTTTTTCTCTTGCTCAGTAATAGCTTGAAATGTATTTGTAATGAGAGCAGGTTTGCCTCTCAAGAAGTAATGCCCTTGTCTCCACAGATAAATTTAATGCCATACTGTGGAACATTCCAGACAAAGCAAAGAATTTCCATGTTGACATGCAGGTAGCGAACTAGAAAAGTCCTATATTATGCAAAATTAACTCTTGTGAGCTTTAAGCCAAGAGTTGTGTTTTGTTGAGTTTGAGTAACCCTTTATTATTAGTCTGTCTACATCTCCAAAGCTCAAAATGCTCTGTTCCACCTTGTGATGTCATGAAGCAGTAGTTTTCAAGTTAACAGCTACCCTTTATCTTTTGTTTAGTAGAAATTGTAAATTCAAGGGCTGAAATTATCCAAATGATTCTTCTATAGTATTGGCGTATGGAATTTGAAAATACAGTGGAGCTCTTCCTGGTATTTTGAGAGGAGAACTCAGCCTAAGTATGCAGGGTTTGTCTGTTAAGCATGTTCAAATGAAACAAAACACAACTCCAGGTATGTTTGTGATGAGGAAACAACATTATAGCATTGATCAAAAAATAGCATAATATGGGCCTTTTATAAAATAATACATTTATATAATAATAATAATAATAATAATAATAATAATATAATAATAATAATAATATAATAATACACTATAAATAATGTTAAGTCAAACTGGTACCTTGTCCGATCATGACCAGGCCTGTGATGATGACAGCGATCAGAGCGATAACTTTGGCGTATGTGAAGAAGTCTTGAACTCTAGTGCCCCATTTCACATAGGCACAGTTGACAAAGGTCAGCAAGCCTACAGCACAAAAGAGACACTATATAGATTAATGGAAAGTAAAAAAAAGAAGAAATATTTGTACAGTTTCATTCTCAGCTCTGACATTTGCTGTGTAAAGTGCATGTGTGCCAGTCTGTTTCCGATGGTGATTTAAGGAAGCTCTGATGCTGACTCAAGCAGACTGTTGTTTTCAGAGGAAACAGCTGAACAGTTTTCACACACACTTGACTCTGCAGGTATAATCGAAAACTTGAGACGATTATGAAACTTCTGCAGTGATTTTGTTGATCCCGACTGAGGAATCAACAAAATCAGTGGCCATCAGTAGCTACAAAGATAACTCACTTTCTCTTGACAAACATGCTTAGCTCTAATCAGAGTTTACACAAAGGACTGTAAATGGATATTCATGAGACTGGAGAGTTATTATCATGATATCAAATTTTAGTTTTAAGATTTTGTGAGAAGAAACATCACAGTTTGACGATGATTTTTGATTACTGATTACTGATACTGACTCTACTATTTGGCCAATGTTATAAAATCAAATGGTCTTAATGTAAAAGTATTGTTATGAAAATGGCCACAAGAACAAACATGATATACAGTATTTACGTTTGCACTTTTGGAGTAGAGCTGAATTGAAATGACTTAATTTTGCTTCTCAAATGGTCATGTTTATGATATTGTGACCTGAATAAACAAGTTAAGTATCCTTCACGTAACAACTGAACAGCTTTGTATGAATAAAAGTTCAAACATTATGAGAATTTCTGAGGCTACATCAGTCAGTAAAGAGTCAAACCAGAATATCGGCTGACACTATATCATGGAACTGATACCTAATCCAGCAAATTTTCATGGAAGCAACCAATATTTAGTACCAATATCTGTATCAGTGAATCCTTACATATTATTATATTAGTGACAGTGAACAAATTTTGCACCAGACCTCCACCCAAGTATATTTTTGACTGTACACATTCAACTTTTTGTAGAATAATACGTAACTGACCTGTAACTGATTGCCTGAAGAGGTTTGAGTCCCCATATGACTTTGTAAATACTCACACACAGACCACCTAAACAGCAGCTGGGGCTAAGCCAACACTATCATGTTCTACACTGACAGAGAGACGATCAAAACAACTAAGGAGTCAGTGGGAACTCAGGGAAACAGCATTGGTGGAGGGAGGCAGCCGCACAGAAGCAGGGCCATACTGTGTGGACACTGTAATGTAGATGTTCAAGAGGGGAGAGGATAAAACTAGCTGTGCGGTCACGTTTTGGTTGAAATACAATCGGATTTCAAGATAAACTAAATAAAACGATATAAAGGTGCACTGTGTAACTTTTCTGATGTAGGGTCTGCTGCGTGCTCGTCTCCATAGAAATTATTGTTTTGCTTTGGATGTTAGACAGTAGGGCATCAAACATCTATCCTGCATTTATTGAATTACAGGTGTTTATATTGCTATTTATTGCAGGCCTATCTCTCCACAGATCTGACCTGTAATTTGCTTGATCATGCCACCTGTCTGTCTCCATGGAGTTAGATAAGGTTTAATGTCACACTGTGGACCATTCCAGGCAAAGCAATAACATCTCTATGGAGCAACAGGTGGCAGGTCCTCTAAAGGTATTCTGGTAAAGTGCTATATGTGTTTTGTTTAGCCGGTCTGAACAAGAACAAGAATGTCACTGTGTAGGTAAGGACATCTGACAGGGTTGGAAAAGCACTGATCCAGCTTTTTCAGTACTGATACCGATGCGATACTGGCTGGAAGTATCTGCTGATATTAGCTATTCACTGATACCAGTGTAGGGACAGAAAATTGCCTTTTTTCTGACAAAAAACAGATAACAACTGAAAAGATCTGTATTAGTAAAAGTTCAAACATGAGACTTTCTGGGCAAACATCAATCACTAAAGAGGATTGTAAAGCAGTTCAAATAGATCTCAACAAACTAATAAAGGAGCTCAGAAGTCAATATAAGGAAGTTGTAACTTGCAGAACTCAAGCAAAGAAAGAATGTGGGACTCTATTACGGAAATGACTAATATGGCCATATGATCACACTGGAGCTCCCACTCATGTGTTCAACACACAGAATGAGCTCACACAAGTAACATGTAAAAAACAAATTTGTACCCCAATCTATAATAATAATAATAATAATAATAATAATAATAATAATAATATTAACAACAACACATATATAGCACTTTTCATGACACTCAAAGATGCTTCACACAGTTCAAGACAGATATGGTACTGGTATAGGATAACAATACCGATATTGAAAAATTTGGTGGCTCAGATGTCAGTTCAGCCGATATACCATTTTGGTTTAATTAAATTGGTGAGATGATTTCCTGACCAATGTTGCCCCAAAATGTTTCATAATATTAAACTTGTAGTTTTTAGTGGATCATTCTTTATCTTATGCTGTTTGGAAATATATATGATATTTTCAGTCTCTACCCTTGTATTGACATCGATATCAAAACTGAAAAAACCTGGATCTGTACATCCCTAATAGACAAAACAAAATGAAAGAAAGAAATGAAAAGGAGATGCAGTAATGAAGTCAGTTTTGAACAGGTGAGTTTTCAGGGTTTTTTTGAAGAAAGGGAGAGTGGATGAGTCTCTGAGTTCCAGAGGGTAGGGGCAGCAGCGAAGAAGGTTTTGTCCCTCCAGGTCTTATATTTATTTCCTGGTGGGGGTATTATTATTATTTTGTGTGATGTCTATCTCTATGTTAATGCTGCTGAACCCTGCTCTGAGCAAAATTTCTCAATGAATGGAAAAAATGTCAGAAACCTGAAACTGAAAGACACATTTGGAAATTTTAGCATGACAGTAAAAAGTGAAAGTGAAAGTGGTAAGTCTAATATTGCATAAACTGAAAACAGGTTTATAGCTAATTGGGGTCCTGGAGAGAGCTGTGGTCAGGGCAGTACACAGGGTGGACAAAGGGTCTGTTGTTCCGGGTTCCAGATTTTTTATTTTTTTTGTATTTTTTAGTATTAAACTCAAGATCAACAAGGTTTAATCTTTATTGTCTATAATTTTATTAGCAGTATATCCCACTTCAAAATTAGTTATCATGACAGGCCTTGGTGTAGGGCACTTTGGGTCAAATACATAGACGTACTTAATAAACTTTTTAGTTGACCAAGAATTCTTTTAATTACATATAATTAATTAATTTGTCATTATTTAGCTGTTACTGGGCTGTTAGTTGCTTAGGTCAGAGTCTGCATATTTCTCGGACTTTACCTCAGAGCTATCAGCCCTTCTCCAGTACTTCTTATCTCCATAAATGTTGATGGAAGACTTTCACGTGTGTGTGTGTGTGTGTGTGTGTGTGCGTGTGTGTGGGTGGGTGGATGAATGAGGAATATTTATTGCAAGTGAGTACAAAATACTTTATCTTTATATCAATGTTCTTCTACACACCCCCCAGAAAAATAAAACTAAGCAAGAGCAGTTTGTGGCATCTTAACCCTAAAGGTACACTGTAACATTTCCAGTGGAAGATCAGCCGCCTCCTCGCCTCCACGGAAATGTTATTGTTTTGTCTTGAATGTTCCACAGTACAGATAAGTAAATCTATCATGAGGGAAATAAAACTAAGCTACATTACAGTTCAGATCTGTGGAGAGATGCCCCTATTCACAGAAGGAATTACTGTATTTTTGAGCAATAGAAATACCCGTAATGAATAAATGCTAGATGGAAATATTTAAAGTCTTACCAAGGAACATTCCAAGCAAATCAATAAGATCTCCAAGGAGATAAGTAGGTAGCTGACCCTCCACAAGAAAAGTTGCGCACCCTTGTGTACCCTTAATCTGGTAATACACACTACCAGTTAAAAGTTTGGACTCATCATCTCATTCAGTGTTTTTTATATATATTTACTAGTTTTTACATTTGATATACATGCAGAAGACATTAAATATATGATGTAAGATCTATGGAATTATTAAGAAATAAACGTAAATATTTTTCAACAAAGCGAAGGGTGGTTACTTTGAGGATTTGGTTATAAAATACTTACACTAACGTTTTATTTAATTCTTTTTTTCCTTTAATTTCGCACACCTTCCTTCCTATATTTGATGTCTTCTGTATGTATGGCAAATGTAGAAGTAAACATACAGAAAAAAAAAACAATGAATGAGATGGTGAGTCCAAACTTTTGACTGGGAGTGTCTGGTTGATTGATTTGGTATTTTTGGTAGGTTAGTAATGTCAGTTGTTTATTAACAGAGATTAACAAGCCTTTTCTGGGCAAATAGTTGTAAATCTGCATTGGTAGCAAAATTAAGCCATGAGCAAAATGTATTTGATTATTTTTTCCCTTAGCTGGACTAATTGCAAATAGCCTGGAAGTTTTAAGTTCCTGTTTCGGCTCTTGACTTCAGCTTTGTCACCATATTTCGCTTCTCTAGTCTGAGAAAAGCTCACGTGATAGGTCTTCCAATAGCCCAGTATGACACAACTCTGACTGTTCATAGTACTGAATAAATATGAAAATAGGTCTCTTAAGATAATTACTATATTGACTTATGGTTCAATATACGATTGATGGACCAATATATTTTTGTGTACTCTTTCTTTGCACTATTTTGGGTTCTTTTTTGGCTTTGTGATAAGATTTGAGAGATTAAAGATTGAAATAATAACTTCTATGGGCCATTAAAAATGCAAACTAACTACTAAAGAGTTTAATTCTGCTATTTATTTATTGCAACTCATGTTGTTAAAGATGCACTGCGTGACATTTCTATTGGAGAATCTGCCACCAGCCACCTGCTTGTCTGGAAATGTTATCGCTTTGTTTAGAATGTTCCACAGTATAGATTAAACCTATCTATCACGAGGGAGACGAGCAGGTTACAGCGCTACGCTACATTATAGTTCAGATCTGTGGAGAGGCGCCCCTATTCACAGATGGAATTATTGTATTTTTGACCAATAGAAACATCTGAAATGAATGTCATACCATGAGACATTCCAGGCAAAGCAATAACATCTCTATGGAGACAAACAGGTGGTGGACCTTATACTAGAAAAGTTGCGCAGTGCCCCTTTAACAAGAGTGCACATTTAGTATACCTCTGTGGAGATAATTCTGCTTTAGTGTCATTGTGTGTGTTTCAGTATGAGCGTTTATGGTCTATCTTCACTTCAGCCATGCAGTATATCACACTTCAAAATTTGTTATTGTGACTAGATTAAAATACTTACAGATACAAGCTGCAGCCAGGAGTCGGTTTGCGAGGTAAGGGGCTATACAGGTGGGGAAGATCGGCTGGACCATGTAGTTTGAGAAGGTGATGGCAATGACAGCTTGACTGGTCGGTTCAATGATCAACAGTGAAGTCCACAATCGGATGAAGGCCAGGAAACCCCCAAAAGCCTCGAGTATATAGGCATAGGAAGCACCGGATTTGGTAATGGTGGTCCCCAACTCTGCGTAGCACAAAGCCCCAAATACAGAGAAGATCCCCCCGATAGTCCATACCACCAGAGAGAGGCCATAGGAAGCACTGTGGATCAGGACCCCTTTTGGAGAGACGAAAATGCCTGAGCCAATCATGTTCCCCACGATGAGACACACGCCATTTAACAGGGAAATCTCCTTCTTCAGCTTCATTGACTCGTCTGAACCCTCGGACTTAACTGACGGAGGGCTGCCATTTGAGGTCAAGCTCTCAGATGCCATTGTTCAAATAATTTTAGAACTGTTATATATACAAATATGTCAGTCTTAGATGTTATTCTGAAGTTCTCTTGTGGTTTATCCCAGGTTATCTGCCATTGTGTGTGGGCACCTGTAGAATCAAAAAAGGTCAAGTTAGTGGTAATGTTGTGATACTGTATTGTCATAAGTCATACAATAATATCGTGGGCCATCACAATATTTAAAATTACAAGTCTCTTTGCTTCAATTCAGTGTTTTGGTGCGATAATAGTTAAAAAAACAGGAGGAAGAAATCATTATTAAAGGCCCTATATTATGCAAAATTGACTCGTGTGAACATTTAGCCATGTTATAATGTTGTTTCCTCATCAAAAACATACCCAGATTTATGTTTTGTTTCATTCACACATGTTTCAGTAGCCCTATATTATCAGTCTGTCTACATCTCCAAATCTTATAACGCTCTGTTCCCCCTTAGGGTGTCATGAAGCATTTGTTTTCAAGTTAACTGCAACCTTTTACCTTTTGTTCAGTAGAGATTGGCAATTCCAGAGCTAAGTTTATCCAAATGATTCTAGTGAAAGTGTACAGAGTTTAAAAACAAAGTGGAGCACTTCCTGTATTACAACATGACATCACAAGTCGGAACAGAGTGTTTTCCAACTAAGATAAGAACTCAGCCTAAATATGTAAGATTTGTGCGTTAAGTATGTGCGAATGAAACAAAACACAACTCTAGGTCTATTTGTGATGAGGAAACAACATTATAACATAGATCACAAAATAGAATAATATGGGCCCATTAATCACTTTTAAACCTTAATTCTTTGTATTATGAGAGAACCAAAGACTCGTCAAGACATTTTAAAAGAGACATTGCCCCATATCAGATTGGATAGCCTATCACTACATCCTTACATCCCATTGTCATGACAACGGTTACTGAGCAGAGCAAATAGTTGTGCTGATGCAATCAGACCCAAATCTAATCAAACACAAACACATTTACATGCCCCACTCATGCAAAAAAAAAAAAAAAAAACACAGAGAGCTCACAGAATTTCGTATATTGTGGTGCCATTAAGTTACACAGTGAATGGCCTTTTAAGGCTGAGTGTATTGACAGAGTAAGGCTCAAGAGCAAACACACACCACATGCTTCACAATACTAGCAGATCTTCTTTACTAACCCCTGGGCTAACTATGGAAAAGCTTAGCCACTAAAAAAAATCCACTGACTCACCTATTAGCATGGTTTTTTACATGTCAGCATTGGTGCCTGTCACATGTTATCCAAAGTTCATTATTCGTCAGCTAGTGTGAAGTCTTAGTGAGGCAAGACACAAAAACAGATTAAAAGATACAGGACTATAGTCATATCATACTCCATGTAACTACCCACCTCTTGTGTTTAGCCCAGATATATTTTGTATTATTATATTTAGTAAATAGTAATATTTTGTCATACTATATGTTTCATTTTTACTTGTACATATAAGTTTGTATAATTATGCCTTATTTGTCTCATGTTATTTTTGCTACTTATTTTGAATTCATTATTAGCATGTATGCCTTTGCTCTTTGTTATTATATTACCTTGTGATGACCGAGTTGATATAGGGAATAAGGCAGATACAAACTTTGCTGAATTTAAGTGCGGGATCTGCCACTTGTTTGTCTCCATGGAGATATTATTGCTTTGCTTAGAATGTTGCACAGAATGGCATTAAACTTATTACTTAGTTTGTAACTATGAAGTTATTTATTCAACGCTCACAGCTCAAATCTTATAGTACAGAAATAAATCAAAAAGTTCCTCACTAGTACAAAGAAAAAGTCCAGTGATAAATATCGTGACAGGCCTATGCTGTGGAACATTGTAGGAAAAGTAATAACATCAGAATGCAAACAAGCAGGTGGTTTGAACTTCACCAGAAATGTTTTACAGTTTCTATGGATATGTCATTGCTCTGCCTGGAATGTTCCCCAGTATGACACTAAACAGCTCTGTCTTGCATGCAATCAATTACAGGTGATTTTATAGCTCAAAAATACCTAGAAAAACAGGCATTCTGACTATGAGTGGGGCTGCCTCTCCACAGATCTGACCGATAACTTGGTCTGGTTTGGACTCCATGAAGATAGAAAGGTTTAATACCATACTGTGAAACATTCCAGAAAAAGCAATAACATCTCCATGAGGAAAAGTATTTGATGGACCCTCCAATAGGAAAGTTACACAACGTACCTTTCAATTTGCCTGTAAAAGTCAGTTGTAAAGCAGGTCAAGCATCTCTTACCTTGCTTTGGAGCAGAGGAGTAGTGGCACGTGACGACAGTGACAGTAACAGGCTGTAAAAGAAGAGAGTGTGACTGAGATCCAACCACTGAAAGAGGTGAGGCCCTGAAGACAGAGCAAGGTCCAAAAGCTGAACCTGATAAGTTGTCACCCTTACGTTACACAAGGTCACATAATCTTAGAAGACAGTAAAGGTGAACTTGTCCTGTGAAAGAGCTGTGTTTGTTGATGAATCTAGTTATATACATATATTTAATCTCATATAATTAAGAATAAGAGTACTACTAACATAATTTATCTATCATTTATCTTTAAAGGTGCATTAGGTAACTTTTTTGGTGAAAGATCCATCAAATCCTTTTCTCCATGGAGAATATTTTAACCTTTCTATTTTTCATGGAGATCAAAGTTACAACTCATACCAAGCTACAGGTCAGATCTGTGAAGAGGCAACCCCGCTCACAGTCAGAATGCATGCTTTTCTCTGTACTTTCGAGTTTTAAAACCACTTGTGACAGAATAAATGTAAAGTAGAGCTATTTAATGTAATACTGTGGAACATTCAGAACAATGATATACATCCATAGAAACAAGCAGGTAATGATTTAACGTTTTCACATTTGACATAGTGCCTAATGTATTTTTACACTAAACAGCCATCCATCCATCCATTTTCGTCCGCTTATCCGGGGCCGGGTCGCGGGAGCAGCAGTAAACAAACAAACACACTAAACAATATAGCTAAATTAATTTGAAAGTAATATAAAGTCTTCTATTGATAACTATCTCTGAAAACACCTCTGACAATTTGAATGACATTGGCTAATAACCCACCTAAAAAAGTGACAGTGATTTCAACGTTTTTACTCCGTTAACTTAGGCTAATTATGTTGTGCAACGCTAAAACAATTCCAGAGATTGGTAATAAATAGTTGAACTCTTTTTATGATTTTGTTATGATTATGGTTATGGTTATGATGGCTTGTGAAAGTTAATGGACAACTGTAACATGGCTGTGCTATATGCCGGATTTTTGTTTCTATGTCACAGATTAAAATAACACATATAAACAGCTGTCAGATTGCCTAGTAGTTAGCTTACCCTCTCCAGTTGTAAGTTAGCGTTTTTCAGGAACTAAAAATGTTCAAAACTTCAAACTTGTGTCTTGTCTCTCTGCGTGCGTATGTGCGTCCTCGTGCTTCCTCTGGTCTTGACGTAGCTGCGCGCCTCAGCTGATGGACCTGTGGCTTTTATATGGACTTGCACTTCCCTTTGCTTTAAGTCTCTGCCAAGGAGACGACCCCGGAGCGGAGGGAGGGGCGCGTAATGGCCTTGCATTGTGTTTCCTCAATGGGTTTCATCACCATCACTTTATAACAGGGCTTTTACTGTAATTAAATCATTGAGCACCTAGAACGCAAAACACAGCTTTTAAAAACATAGCTTATAATTATCCCATATTAATACGGCCCTCTCATTAATTATACTGTAGCCAATCTGAATGATTTTATTTTGATTTAGAAAATAGTTCAAAGTGTAAAGGTGCAAATAAAGCTTTTCAACAATTTTAGATAAGCCTATAGACACATTTCTAACCGTTTCTCTCAAACTAATTTACTAAACAAACCAGAAACCAGAATTCCGGATAAAAAATAAATATTTGGTTAGTAATTCCTCTATGACCAAGGCTTACCAAATTGGAAGGTAATAGCGCCCTCTTGTGGATATAGGTGGTTTACTCATAGCCTTTAAACCTTCCTGTATAACATGACAGGATTGTAATTCACATGTATTAAACCTTTACCCTTTATATCTCCCGTGTCGCTACAAAATGCACTTTCCAATAAATATCAAAATGGTGTTTCATTTTCTTTAGATTTCTGCTTAAATGTTGTTTACGCTTAGGTCACGCTTACATTAAAATATAAATCAAGTTAGATTTGATAGCCCAATATTATACTATCCTGTAGAGTTTTATAACAAATGAAGACAATCAAATTTAATTAAAATGTCATAATAATACACAATTTGAATTGAATTGTGTGGATTTAAAAAGCTCACCCAAAATAAATGACACTTGACCTATCACAAATGCAAATACTTGTCCTTTCTGTGATGATTAATGATTGTGTGCAAATATAGATTAAGGTTATGTCTTTTGTGATCAAAGCTTCTCCCACTCACACCTGAAGATTCTTTTTCACCCCATCACCCCTTGGAATAATTAATGTAATTCTAAAATCACTGACTTTTCTATTTCGGATGAAGACACATCTCATTGCATGTGGACCAACTTTTCACACATGGCTCCTTTGTCCCCCATCTCTGCCTTGAGCATTCTTTACTGTGGTTACCAGTTGTCATGGTTATGGGGCAGGGGGGAAAAAACTACAGGGATTAAAGACGGACATTTTGGGGACAGCTGGGCCAGGTTGTTGCCCCCTGTCCTGCTCCCAGTCACTTTGGTGGGGGTGGCATTGTGTATGGATTAGAGCTTCCTGTGTGTCACCTCATTACACGAGCATGGGATGGGGAGAAGGGGATGGGGAGAAGGGTTTGGGGAATGGGGCGGTTAGGGGTGAGGCAAAAGAGTGAGTGAGAGAAATGAAAGAGAAAATAAAAGAGGGTACGTTTGAAAGAGTATGACACAGAGAGGGGAGGGATGGAGGTGGTGGCCTCTACAGCTGCACTCATACAAGCAGTGATTATCCTTTTCACACGCGTATACGCACACACAGTGGAGGAACTGAAACATATTAAAGGACACTAGCTGAAGAAAATGCTGAATTAGGGAGAGCACAGTCAGACAAAAGACCCCCAAATCCAGACACACTAAGCTGGGACAATAAGCAGAAAAAAAACCTGACCAATCCTGAACATGCAATTGGTAAATGGAAGAAGATTTGGTTTACAGTGAATATGAAACAAAGATCAAACAAGCTCTCTAGTCATGTCACCATTGTTTTATTTAACTGTTACACATCGTCATGGGAACATATTTTGTTTTGTGGCTACAAAAAGGGTTTACAAAAGGTAAAGCATACAAATACTATACAGGACTAGGCAGGAATGTGGAATGAGTGCAGAAAACTCTCAAGTGCTCTGAGAGAGGAGCAGAGGGCATAAAAAGGGATTTATAATGGGACACTTCTGGTTCCAGCATGAATCCAAGTCGACACCAGAAAATGTGTCAACCAAGAACTTTTACAATCAATCTGCTGCTATAGAAATATTAATACATAAGCAGTGTTTTCCACAAGTTTATACTGAGACTATGGTGGCACAAGTGATCCATATTTGAATCATTTTATTTAATACAATATTTTGGTGTATAAATGTCACTTATGGCCCCTACTCATCAAAAAGCACTGATTACAGATTAAAAACGGTTACTTCTATATGTTAAATGTGCAATGTGTAACTTTTCTAGTGGAGGGTCCATCAAATGCTTTTCTCCATGGAAATGTTATTACTTTGTCTGGAATGTTTCACAGTATGGTATTAAACCTTTTTATCAGAATAGAGACCAAACCAGACCAAGTTACAGCTCAGATCTGTGGAGAGGCAATCCCGCTCACTGTCAGAATGCATGTTTTTCTCTGTATTCATGAGCTATAAAACCACTTGTAATTGAATATATGTAAAATGGAGCTGTTTAATGTCATACTGTGGAACATTCCAGGTAGAGCAATGACATATAGAAACAAGCAGGTGATGGACCACCAACCAAAAGGTTACATAGTGCACAAGCATAAAGTAAAATTAGTTTTACCAATTTTTTGCTCAGCAAGTTTTTAGACTGTGGGGGTGAAAATTAGAGTATGGGGCCACCATAGTCTCCCCTATTAATGGAATCACTGCATGAGAACTGCTCACAGCATTACTGTAAACACAACCACCACCATCACTTTGTTATCTTAGGGCATTTCTGTTTCAGTCGATATTCTGGTAGCATGTGACAGTGCAACTACAGTGCAACTCAGCACATTAAAAACATGCATTTAGCAGCAACAAAAAGAGAAAGGTCATTAAAATGCAGGACAAATATAAAACTTTGGCCCGTACAAATGTGGCCTCATTTGGTATTGACTTCATTCAAACAACTCTGGATCCTTTTCATCACATCAGCTTATACTTGTTACAGAGTCAAGTGTTGAGAAGGTCTTAGGCAGGGATGTAACGATATCCAAATCTCTCTGTACAATATTTTTACGATATACATGTCATATTTATTGCGATATTTTGTGGAGGCTAACAAAACTGTGAATATGCACCTTTTTCCTCTTAAAATGCCTTGACAAGTCAATCCAAAGAACTAAGATTTAAAAGTGCTTATAATAGTTAGCAAAGGATCATGGTCAATGTAGTTCCCTCTGTTTTTTTTTTTTTTGCTGCATCATAACCATTAATTTAAGCGAAGAGACTTGTAATTCGATATATTGTGATGGTACTTAATATTATTGTGAGACTTTTGACAATACAATATCATGGTATTTCAGTTATTGTTACATCCCTAGTCTTAGGCGACTCTCTGTGAAAAGTGTAAAATAAGGCCTCATTGTGATCTTGAAAATATGGAAATACCTAGAAAAATACTACATTCACTTTTATTCCAATTGAACTAGGATACAAATACTGCAGCTCTATCCAGCTAAACACATTACAAATGAATAAACCTAAAAATGAATATCATTCTAGTGTTTTAACATACATTCCTTTGTCAGGACATTAACAACTCCAGCATTCAACTATGCTTACTTTTTTTTTTACACAGTTCTGTCCATGGGCTCTTCTGTCCCATTTGAGCTCACCGTAGTTGGGACAGAGTTAATGTTGTCACCTTTAGGAGTTTCCACCTCTACATTCTTCTCATCAGGCTGGGTCCCTTGTTTGACTGTGTCTTTGTTGGGCTCCTCTTCAGTTTCAAGTGGCTGAACCTTGGTAGGGGTGCTCAGGGAGACTCCAGGGTGGCTTTTCATGTGTCCCTGTTATTGAAAAAGCAAAATGATTAAAAACTTGATATAACTGTGTTGTTTAAAGTAGTGAGTAAACAAACACTTACCTTTAGCCCGCTCCTGCTAGCATATGCTTTGCCACACTGGGAGCAGCTGTAGGGTTTGTCCTGGCGAGGCGTTTGTGTTAATGGTGGGGGGGCACTGCTACTGCCTTCCTCCACTAGACTGTCCTCTTGTGCTTTTTGATCCTCTGGTTTGGTCCCATTTGAATCTTTCTCTACCTTTTCTTCAGATGCTGGGATGTTACTGGGACTGGCAGGAGGGGTGAGTGATGGATCATTGGCAGGCTCTTTTGCTGAGCTGGGTTCATCATTACTAACTTCTTTTACAAGCTTTTCTCCCTCGACACTAGTTTTGGAAACACACAGGGACAGAGGAGCATCTTCTCCATTGTCAGTGGCTGTATTAGTGCTTTCTGAAGGTGCATTCATTGAATCAGTGCTGTTAGCATCACCATTCACCTCGTCTACAGAGCATGGAGGACTGTTATTAGCTCCATCATCCACTGGGGGGTCCTCGGCTCCTGCTGTGGGGGGGTTCTGGGTCAGAGGTGAGCTAACACTTAAAACTGAACCCTCACATTCCTTCATTGATGTTAGATCAGCAGTCTGTTTAGACCCTGAGGTAACTGGAGATCGTGGCCCTGTAGTTAATGCCAGAGGAAGAACCTGGTCTTTAGATGACATGTCACTCATACCATCAACCAAACCAGCATTCTCTGTTTCTAAGCTATCTTCAAGTGGCACCTCTTCATCAGGTGGGATCTGACCTCCAAGGTGCAGGCGGATGTGGTGCTGAAGGACCAAGGCATTTGTGAACTTCCGCGGGCACAGGGGGCAGGAGTTGAGTGCACGAGCGTTTGGTGGGCGAGCACGGTGAGTGGCGAGGTGAGCTCTCAAGCTGCCCTTGGTGGAGAAAGAGCGACCACAGAGCTTACAGGGAAATGGACGTTCTCCTAAATGCGTGGCTTGATGCAAACGCAAGGCTCTGGGGCAGCTAAGGACACGCAGACAGACTCCACACTGGTTTGGAGTGGTTGCAGTCGGAAGAGATGGGGCATTGCTCATACCTCCCTGACTTGCAGCGTTCACACTTGGGCTAAGACCGAGAGCCGCTAACATCTCTCTCCGATACGCATTTGTAGACAGATCCTGGCCATTTGCATCTCCATTGGCTTCAAGTGTTTGTGAGGAAGTGGAGGGGGAAGATGAAGAGGAGCTCCCTGGTGGTTGCTTCTCTAATTTCTGAACCAATCGTTGCAACTTGGAGGTGTCAGAGGTTTGGTTAGAGGTAGTAGGAGAGCCAGAGGAGGAGGTTGATGGTTTGGGGAAAGGTGGGAATGGAAAGGGCAGTTGGTGGGGGCCAGCAAGATGCCCTGGTGGTCGAAGAAGTGCAAGATGGTGAGGAGAGGTTCCACCGGGGAAGAGGATTTTGGGAAGTTGGGCAAGCTGGGAGTATGGGGACTGCAGGCTGGTGTGTGGAGGGGTGTTTTCATCAAATCTCTGCTGTTTTGCACTCCTTGCTGAAGGCGAAGAAGATGTGGATGAAGAGGACGAAGGCAGAGCAGTGGGGGAAGCACTAGCTGCTACAGAAGCTCGGTTCAGCTGTAAAAGAGAATGCGCTGTGGAGAGCAGTGCCATGTCTACTGAAGGCGGCAATGGGAGGGAGGAAGGAGAGGGTCGTGATGTTCCTCCAGACAGGAACCCCAAAGCCATGTTATCTGTCATCCCAGGAATACTGCCTTTAACTCCATTGAAAGCTTCATCATCTTCAGCCCTCCGCTTCCGTCTCCTATGAACGCCGCCGGGAGCAGACCCACTTGGGGTCTGCTCGGACAATGCCGGCGGCAACAGAGAGAGGGACAATTCCGGATTCTGTTCTCTGTGGCGCAGGAAGTGGGCTTTGAGGTTTCCCCTGGTTGTGAAACGGCTCAGGCAGACTGGGCACTGATAAGGTCTCTCTCCTGTATGCGATCGCAGGTGGATCTGAAGAGAGGAATCACTGCTTAAGACTTTACCACAGAAGCGGCACACGTGTTGGGGGCGCCCGGATGATGAACCAGAGCCCAAAGAGGAGCTGGGTTGGTGTTCCTGGGAATTGCTAGTGGTGGGTACGGGAGCTGGAAAACTTATGCCATTACTGTGGCTGAATGCTAAAGAGTTGGGTGATTTTTCATGAAGGTAGTGAGGTGGCAGGCCTAAAGACAGAGAGAGCGGGTGTAAGGAAGCAACGGAGGAGCTAATAGTGGATGATGAAGAGGTAGAAGATGATGAAGCTCTAGTTCCATTGGCACTGCTTGGCTTGGATGCAGGCGGTTGAGGAAAAAGAGATGATGGAAGCCCAGTTAAAAGAGAGGATGTTGTAGTTACAGGAGTAGCTGTTGAGGGGTGAGTCGGTGATACAGAAGCTTCACTTGTAGATTTCTGGGTACTGTCTGAACCATTAACTTGTGTGCCGTTTTGTTGACCAAAAACAGCCCCACCAAGCCTTAAAACGTGTCTACATATTTCTTCGGTTATCTGCATCTGGTGGATCTGGCGTTGTTGTAAAACTCGCAGCTCCTCCAAAAGCACTGCCAAAGTTGGGGGCACTTGGAGCTGGTCCTGCCCTGGGGAGTCAGATGCTTGTAGTGGTCCAGGACTAGTGCTGTCACGGTGGGATGGCACACAATTAGAGGATAAGGAAGAGGAAGAAGTTGTGGTCATAGCAGAGTTAGCCATTGGTGGAGACGTCATGGATGAATGGGAGTTTCCTTGATTACAACTGGAGGTTTGGCCCAAAGCAGGTGGCGAGTGGGTTTGCGAGGACAGAGAGGGGTGTGGGAAGTCAGGGGAGAGGGAGGAGTGTGTGTTGGGCAAAGATGTGGTGAAGGGGGCAATGTTGTTAGGCCAGTGGGGAGGAGGTGAACTCTCGCTGGGCAAAGATGGCGCGTGGAGCCCACCAGGGGACGGGCGTGGGGCCAGAGGCGGTTGGCAGTCCTGAATGGAGGTAGGAGAAGAGGAAGATGATCCGGATGAGGTTACTTCGGAGCCAAGAGACGTAGAGGGTGACTTCATGCCCAGGTGGTCATCTAAAAATAAAGCATGAGGATAAACTTTTAGTACTTTTAGAAACACAGCAATAGAAACATGTTCCTAAATGTGGTAAAACTGGGTACCCACAATTGCAAATCCACAAAAAACTTTCTACTTCAAGTACAAAATGTTCATTTCAATGCTTCTAGTTATCCTTGAGCATTTTTGTAAGCAAATTTGTGCACATACCAGGAGATCATCTTACACCTTCAAACAAAATCCCTGCTAGGAGCTTGCCCTGAACAAGCAAATAAACAAGTAGAGGAACTGTGCAGAGTCTATGAGGCTTTGTAATGTCTTGTCTCAATCTGTGCTCTCCCAAGCAAAACTCCTCAAACATCTTGCACACACAAAAAGCTCACAGACCACCTTGCTGCTATGGCAACACATTTTAGAGGACAATGGGCATCACCACGACAACCCATAACCCCTCTTAACCCGCCCCCTCCCTACAGCAGTTACGTCTTTCATCTCTCTATTTACCCTTCCCCCCTTACGTCACAGTAGAGGTCAAGGGTCAGGCCATACTAAGGGTCCTGGGCACTGTCCAGACACTCTGATTGGTCAATTTATCTGACCTCTGCAGCTATGGGGTCAAATTCTTTCAAAATCTTGAGCACAGAGTGAGAAAGAGTAAAAAGAAGCAGAAGGGGGAAGGGTAACAACAATGGTGAGACAAACTAACTATTCCCTCCTGGAGAGTTATAGTGATGGAATGAAGACTGTACCTTTGTGCATTAGTTTATAGTTGACTTCTAAGTAAACAAATTTGTGTGTATAAATTAACTTTTTTTGTAGGTACATAGTGAGAAATGTAGCTACACATTTCAGGGTATGCACTTGACGACAAACAAAATGCAAAATAACATCTAAATCCTCACTCAGTCTTTTTTCTCATCCATTGGACTCCCCCCAACTGAGCAGGAGTATACAGTCAATAGAAGTGGGGGTGAAGAAAGGGGTGGGGTGAGAATGGGGAAAGAGTGGAGCATATGAGAGAGAAACGCATGCACAAACAGCAAAAGACAAGCATAATAGAAGGGTGGAAGATTAATCTATATCAAAAACACAACCTACCCTCCCCCCCCAAGCTAGCAACTTTATTGTTAACAAATACGAGACTTCTCCACCCTCATCAAAGAGCTCCAGTAGTCAGTGCAGCGTGGCCTGTTGGTTGCTCTGAGGAGGGGTAGCGCATGAAAATGGCCACAGATGTACACGCTAGTTAATCCTGATCTATTCACCATATAGAGACAGGTTTATGGCCTTAACAAAAGTGGTCAGACCATTAGTGGGGCCCATAGTCAGTAACTAAGCATACCGGTTTTAATTCAGATAATGTAAGCTTAAATTGAGTCAGGTGCACCAATACAAATTATTATCAAAAAGTTAAATTTAGACTATACTGTAACATTTATTGTTTCACTCTCTGATGAAACATGCCGAACAAGCAGGCCTATTCGTAAACAAAACTAAAAAGCACATTTTAGTCAGAAAATGATATGCGTCTCTGTGAACCATTGATAGCCTACCGTGATCAGCCAAGCTACATACACTCACTCAAAAGTTACGTGTAAACTTAACATTTGCAAATAAAAAAACTCAAACCGTGTGCGTAAAAGGTGCCAGTTGCGCGTAAATCCAAGTAGACATCAAACGCATGCATAATTACGAAAAGTTTCTCACCGTGAGCGAGTAGTTTTGGGCCCCCCGGATCCGCGTTAACGAGATGCTGTGGACGCTTCTGTTTCCGGCGTGACATGATTCACGGCGAGTCAGACGGAAAGGGGGGCATCAGATGAGGGACTGGAAACAGGCACGATTAGACGCCCTGGACGAGCCCCTGGGCGCATCCAAAGTTCAACAGTAGCGCATAGAGGCCACAATAAAACTTTGTTGTGAGAAAAAATACTATGCGTTTTGTTTGCTTGAATTTAAGAAGTCTGGAAAAGTCTAGATGTCCTTCCTCAATCCGGCTCCGTGTCATAGGCTATACTGGGAGTGCGTGTGTGGTTGTTTCTAAAGTCTCTTCTCTCACCCCCCCAAAAAACTTGTCCAATTTGCGCCCCTCCTCTCGCGCTGCTGTCCCGCTGCATGCACATACAGAGAACACACACACTCACATGCACAGAACCACTCCTTGTTCTTCTGTGATATTTGCATTTCAATGGCGACGCACACACAGCCTCCCAGATCCCCTTTTTTCTTATTCTACCCAGCTTTATTTGGCCTTACATACTCACTCAGCAGCAATAAATCTCTAATAGAACATATCAAGTGGATGTGATAGACAGTGACTGACAGCAAACCACACCATATGTGCAATTAAAAAAAGAAAAGCAATGTTGATAATTTAAACATTGTGCCTAACAGGTGCCTTTACGACAGAATAACTTGTCAATTTAGATGTCCCACAATTGGCGTTTACAGTAGCCAATTAGCGTATTATTAGCACAACATGTTTTGGGATGCGTAAAAGTCATAAATGGCTAGATTTGGTGCGCTATCACACAGGGCTTTGATTTCCATAGGGCCAATTATGAACAAAAGTGCATTGAGTGGCCGTTGAGGGGCCATGCTCGTATGTAGTATTTCGTGTGTTATCACCGTCCAAAAGCATAATACCCTTCCACCCTTAGCTACCCCCCTTGTCCAAAAAGCATCTTACACTGGAGCTCTATTTAAAAGGTAGAGAATAGATGGGAATCTTTGACAATGGCTTGCTGGACACAGTTGAGTGAGCATCTCCCCTCGCTCACTATGAACCCCCGGATCCACTGCTGCTCGGCACAATGCTCCTCTTTCACCCCCCGCCTTTACTTCTGTACCACGTGGAAAAAAGGATAAAAGAGAAAGACAGAGAGAAAAAAGTGGGAGGTATAGAGGAGGGGGTCATAAGTAGACCTAGCCTAGGTGTCACAGTACACAGTAGGTCTTCACTGTAGGCTGCATGCTGAAAAAAAAATTAAATATAGGCTATTATAGCCTAGGCCTAATCAATGTTAGGCTTCCTGTAAAGAACATAAGCTTACTTATACAAATCATTTAAGACAATATTTCTGATACGGCCTGAACTAAAGCTTATATTTGCAATAATTTGTATGTATTTTTTTTTATTTAATTGTATGGTTAATGACTTACTCAAATTTTTTTTTACAGCTGATAGAAGTACAAAAGTAAAGTGCAACATATGTGTACATGAGTACATATCAGTCATACAATTATTGTTATATAGGAAACAGACAGAAAAGAAATTGGGAAAGAAGCAGTCTGTAGCTGAGGATTACTCCCACCAGAGCGTCCAGTGAGCTCATTAGCGTCACCTGTGAAGCAACAGACGTTAAAACCAGGTGAGTTATAATTTGGCAAAAATATATAAAAACATTTATAAATTTAAATTGTACTAGTAGGAATATCAATGGATTATGACAACATATACAACAGTCGCTGTTGTAAGCTAATAATGGCTAATAAAGAGCCACTTCAAAAATGTGGCCTATCACAGGGTATCAGTTAAAACTATCTAACAGTAGCCTCTGAACAACAATAATAGTATCCAACTTGTAATAACTGACCTGTTAGGTGTATTAAAGACTAATATTAACTATTATTAACTTTGAAATGTGCCCTATGAAACTTTATTAGCAGAGGGTCCACCACCTGCTTTTCATTAAAATGCTAGGCTACATATAGTAATGCGTCATTGCAGTGCCTTTCATGATGAAACGACAGTTAGCCAGGTCTGTTTTGTAGGCCCTACATGATAAATGCGCTGTAGTTAGGTCGATGTTTCAGTGTTGACTCTGATGTGTTGTATTTTTCAGCCATGGCTATGACTCTGTGTTTTGACACACTTCTCTGTAACTTCCCCAAGTGTCGGGCAAAGCTCAGTGGTTTCGCGTGGGTTACTGCCTGCTCTCATGTATTCTGTGACCAGCACGGCTCTGGAGAGTTCAGCCGCTCACCTGTCATCTGCCCTGCCTGCTCCTCTGCTCTGTCTGGAAAACTAGACATAGTCCGTACTGAGCTGTCGCCCTCAGAGGAGTACAAAGCCATGGTCCTGGCAGGTCTGAGGCCGAATATAGTGCTGGACATCAGTGCACGAGCACTCGCTTTCTGGAGCTATCAGGTCAGCCTCATAGACTGAATAAGGAATATATATAGTCTACTGAGATGCACATTGTACAGAAGTACAATGTGCATCTCATTGCATATATATATATATATATATATATATATATATATGTATATATTTTTTTTTTGACAGGTTCACCAGGAACGCATGTATCAGGAATACAGCTTATCACGGGCTGAAGCTCAACTGAAGCAAATGGAGAAGGTTTTGACTCAACAAAATCAGACCAGAGAGTTGGAGCTCACTGCCATGAGAGGAGAAATTGCATCCTTGAAAAAGGTCGCATGTTGATATAGGCATATAGGCAAATAAACCAATTTGAAGTGTTATATTCAATTAAACCAGTCTATAACAAGTGTATAACAAACTGGCATTACATTACTTATATAGTTGCTTTTACTATCCAGGTGATGGAAGAGTACAAGAGAAAGTACAGTGAGGTGTCTGAACGGCTGATGGAGAGAAACAGACAATATCAAAAACTGCAGGGGCTTTACGACTCCCTCAGATTGAAGAACATGGTGGTTGGTTTGGGAGACCGAGAGATGCCTAACCATGAACATCATGACTTTAATGCAGGTAAATGCAGGTGATCTTAAAATGACTGGAGAGATTAGATTATATCATGGCCATACCATCTTGTCAAAGCCTGATCCCGTCAAATCTCAGAAGCCAAACAGGGCTGGGCCTGGTTAGTACTTGAATGGGAGACAGCTGGGAAAATCAGGTGCCACAGTGGAGCACCAATGGCAAAAACTGCTGAGTGTTGGTGGTAGTCGAAGGGGCAGATTGGCAGCCTTGCTTTCGTCAGTTTGCCCCAGGGCATCTGTGTCTACAGTACTACCTTACCACCACCACGTATGAAATGAATGAATAATGCTCTGTAAAGTGTCTTTGGGTGTCAGAAAAAGCACTATATAAAACTGATGCATTTTTCACTATTCACAGTTATACGATAACTGGTGAATCAAGACTTTATTGTAGATTTTAGACTAAGTACAGATTAATTGAGTAGAAGAAGTAGGGACTGTGTGAACCAATCTAAACAACACAGGGGGCGGCTGTAGGTGGTTTGTAGTAAAGAGCTGATCATCAGAAAAAAAAAACTAGAAGTGAAGAGCTAATTGTCAGTGTAAGGGATTTAACAATGAAAGGCATCTATCATGCTCCCATGTGTCTCCAGGGATGGACCGACTCACGCCCCAGAGGAGCCCACAGTTCCTCTCTGTCGGCCATGAGGGGGACGGCAGGTTCTTCTCATGCCTGGAGCAGGAAGGAGCAAAGTCATTCTTTCAGTTCAGCACCCCTGCAAAGCGGGGACAGGAGAACAGGGGCCGCACTCTGGTCAAGAAACACTGAGACGGGCATTAATGGGCCCATATTGGGCCATCTGGTCTATGTTATTATGTTGTATCCTCATCAAAAACATTGGAGTTGTGTTTTGTTTCAGTTGCACATATTTAATGCACAAATCCTACATATTTAGAGTTTTTCTCTAAATATAGGAAGTGCTCCACTGTGTTTTTAAACTCCACGCACCTTCACTAAGATCATTTGGATAATTTCATCCATGGAATTGCCAATCTCTACTGAAGGTAAAAGGTAGTTGATAACTTCAAAAAACTTCTGCTCCATGACTTAACAAGGTAGAACAGAACAGAGCATTTTGAGCTTTGGAGATGTAGACAGACTAATAATGCAGGATTACTCAAACATCTGTGAATGAAACAAAACACAATTCCAGGTGTGTTTTTGATGAGGTAACCACATATTTACATGGCTAAAAACATGACATAGCATAACAGTCTGAGATCAATCTTGCCTAATGGTGTACTATATATGAGTTTTGAAATGTTATTTTAATATAAAGATGTTAAATTATTTGATACACATGTATATGCATTAATACAGTTGGCATATTTACAGATGAATAATAAACTGTTTGTATTGTAGTTTGAAGTGAATTATCAATTTTTTTTGTTTGTTTTGTTATTCACCACCATAAAATACCAACTGACAACTGAAAGTAAAGCAAGTAAAAAATAACATTTAAAAAGGGAAGAAAAATTTGTTACTGGAAATCACTATGTGTCCATTGTAGGCTCTTTCTTTAGCAAAAATGCATCCAGCAACAAAAAGTAGAAAATTTATAAATATAGCAAACTCTCAGACCATCGCAGACAAAGTAAAGTCCTCTATTTACAGTACAACACACAGAACAGGCAATAACATTTAATATTTCCACACACACAATAATTATTCACTCGTGTCCATCTCATGTACCATGCAGAACTCATTCACTCTGGGGCTTGTAGCTGACAGACACAGCTATTTGACTTTGGATGTTTTGCTTCTTTCCGTTTACAATAAGAAGTAGAGGAGAATCCACTCGTATACTTCTGAAATCAAATGACTGTTGGGAAATAAATATAGACATTTCAGACAAAAAACACTCCTTAAAGTATTGGGTTATATGGGATTATGAACTCATACCTTATCTTTATGCGTTATACTGTGGCGTTTGATGTGAGGTTCAGGAATGACAACAGAGTCTCCAATTAGGACTCCCCAGCTGTCAGCAGTGTTGTACACCATCACCACTATGCATGATTCTTCACTGTCCACCATGCCAAATGTACTGCAGAGGAGTTGAAAAAACATGAGCATAGAGGCAAAAGCTAGTATGGAAAATTGAGAGTAATTTGAGCAGGTATTGATACTAAAAAGTCATATTCACAGTACAGGAATGGGCTGTATTAAAACTAGAATAAGACCACATGGACCACTATGGAACCTACCTGGCTGATGGAGGGATTACACAGATATAACATCACATGGTATTATAAAAGTACTACAATTTTATGTTGAAAACCATATTCTGTTATCTAAAGAAAGAGTGTTTTCATTATCATTGTGGTATCAAAATCGGTATTGAATATTGAGTATATTTCTTAGCATCTAGTTTGAAATTTTTGTATGACAACAAAAATAGTGACAGAGTTTCATAATTAAGAACATATAAATGTGAATTACTTACAAAGCCATTCGTCCCTCTGAAGCCAAACTGAACACCACTTTCCCCAGAGCAGCTACTCCATCGTTGTTTCCGTGGGATAGGGCAGACAGGGTTCGTGGCTCCAGGCTCCCGACGCGACCAGTGGGAGAACGGAACTGAGGGGAGGAGCAGGGGCCCAGCGCTGAAGTGTTGAGGTTGGAAAGCATTGTCCGTAAGCGACGCGCTTTCACTTTTCCCTGAGAAGACAGGAGAAAGGTAGGTATCTTTTCAGAGACAAGAACTGTGCTTTGGTTCCATCTTGTGGATAAAATAGTAATAGACAGCCACATACAATTGTCAAATATACAAGTTACATGATCCTTACATTACAGCAAGATAAAGGTGCAGGTAAAACTACTTCTGTGTAAGTCAGACCACACAGGATTGTATTTAAAACAAGATATATTGGGAGTTTTCAGAGTCTATATTGTGATGATAGTATTGTCATACTATCAGATGGGGGCAAGAATCAGATTTCCCTATTGATTACATTGTACATTGCTATGGAATATCCAAAAGGTAAATCCACAAATGATGAATCTGATTATTTCTATCACTGACTATACCCAAGAATGTGCTGTATTACAACAAAGATTGGATTTTTAACAATATTTATTTTACCCGCCGCCCCCCCAGTTCCAGTAAAAGTAAATTATTCTCCCTCCCCTCTTCAACAAAAATCTTACATTATTAGATACAAATGATAAAGATATCCCCGCTGTAGCAAATTGTACACATGATAAATACTGAGCCCCAAAAAATATTGTTCCAGTTTTCATATATTGGATGATAAGTCAATATAGTAATTATTGTGACAGGCCTAAGTATATGTGTTATTCTCTCTTTATGGTAGCAACTATGTTTATAATGAAGTAGCCATAAGTGGATGGTGACAAAAATAGTTATTGTATTACCTTGTTCTGTATGAGCTCAGTCACTTTCTCCAGGTATTCCAGCAGTAGCCTCTCTCTCTCTGGAGGCTCCTCCCAGCTTGGATCGAGGGAGGCCGCGCGACTGTAGCCCCCCAAAGCTGAGCCAAACATCTCCTCGTACTGGAACAATGTGGCTCGATTAAAATGTAGCTCAGGATAACAGGATGCAGCTTTGTCCACTTTTTCCTTTAAATAGAAAAAAAGTTGAACACTTCAGCCATATCAAATCCTTTATCCAGTACAGGATATCTTACTGATTGTGCATAGGAGCTTAAGGCTTGCTGAGACAACTGGGGGTTTTGTCCGCAGGTAAAAAATAGGGAAACATAAGCATTTCCCAAAATATCTGTAAAACAAAAGCACAGAATATGTATTCAAGCTGAGCACATAAAATGTCAAATTTCTGACTGAGAACCTTGTTTTACTCACACCAGGAAGTCCCATCTGTAACATCTAACTGAACTGCTTGCCGAGCCATGTCCACACTCTCCATCACCTGTTTGTTGTGACTATCATTGTTAGTAGCTGGCAGTTGTCTCAGCACCATAGAAAGGTTACGAAGGGACACTTTGTTTTTGCTCTTTACAAAACAATGAAAAATACTAGTTTACACATCCATCCCAAATCAGTATTAGTAATTTATATTAAAAGGCATTATACAACACATCCACCAAATGTTACCTGCTGCAAGGCTCCTGTAAAGCAGTTCTTGGCACCAGTGAGGTCCCCCTTTTTCCAGTATTGCTCTCCTAAAATATTCCAGCCCTCCACCAGTGTAGGTTCTAGTTTAACCGCTCGGGAAAGGCACTCCTCAGCAATGGCACTAAAATCTGGAGATACATTCAGACATCGGCCTTTCTGTAGCAAAAATTCTGCTTTATGCTTATACCGATCTGTGGATAAAGACACATTTTAGGTTATTTACAAGTTCGATCAGCAGTTCTCAACAACCAGTGACCTTTACCTTCATATTCCTGTAGCCTCTTTAGTGTTTTTTCTAACTCTTCAGCAACATCACTTTGTTTCTTCCCAGCATCGTCCACACTGTGAGTTTCAAAATAGCTGTCTCTGAATTTATAAAGTAGATCCACCAGGTCCTGTATCAGAGAAGACAAAGAAGAGACAAGGAAATAAACATATAAAAAATATATATCAATGTTATGTTAACGTGTTACAATATATTTCTATTCTAAAGAGGGGAGTTATTCTGTATACTGTATACTGTCAATTAATATGTACATGTTTTGGTAGATAGTGTAAATTTAAGTCTATGGTAAAGATTATTCAGTCAGCATTATATATTTTTAAAATCTTAGTTATAAATGCAAGCTGCTATTACACTGCAGTAAGCAAATCTCGGGCATGCATAGTGATGTATTCAGATTATAAGAGACATACTAACAATGATGATTTTAGCCACTGCATCTAAATCTAACTGAATAATAAAATTAATTCAGAAATACAGAATTACCTTCACAATTTGCAGATCGCTTTTGTCTCCACTCTTCTCCTCTTCCGCCATCTTTACACACTTAAAAAGAACCCTTATAAGAGATTTGAGAGAGGCGCTTAGAGCTCTGGGCTCCGAAATATCGCCAGACTAGGATAAAGGGGATACAAAATGCCTATGTTCTGTTTTTAAATCATATTGTTTCAGGAATATCAACAGATAAATAAAAGACTTTTAATTTCAGACACACCGGAAGTTGTAAGTCCGTGTCTAAAATAAATCCGACACAACCTTGTGCTTCCACACAAGCTTTGCTCATACAGGGAGCAGAGATATATTGTACATTTAGGATAATTTATTGTATTGTATTTTTCAATTAAAATATAATCACTATTTCAGTTCCATACCTGTAGCCCACAACAATTTGTATAGCGGAACCATGTATTTAAAATCAATGCACGGAGTGTATACTGTGTGGTACCATACATTCATCCTCTGTTATTCTTCTGCACAAGGCAAAGTAAAACTAAGTTCAAGCTACAAGTTTAAAACTGTGATATCTTGTGTCATAAAACATCATGTCGGACACTTGGAGCAATATCCAGGCGCATAAGAAGCAGCTAGACTCTCTGCGGGAAAGACTACAGCGAAGACGGAAAGACCCAGGGCAACTCACCGCGGGTACGGCCAAGTCAAAGCCTAATTCACATACCATTTTCTCTGAATTCAAGCCCTTACCAATCCGCCCTATTTTTCCTAAAACATTTGAGTAAAATGACTCTGAATTTAAACTGAATCTGCTTTTGAACTCTTTGGCGCACAAACAAATGGCTGGACTCTTTGTGTAGCTGATGCTCTGTGGTTTTGGTCTTTGCTGTCTGAGCTGCTCAAATGTTATGTGAGAACAAGCTCTACATGGAGGAAAGTCATATTTCAAGTTCAGCCTGAATTATTTGGGGTAAATATAAGTATAGGTTTAGCTGGTGTCCCAGAGGACAGTCTGATAGACAGTAGATTGAGCATTTGTTGGGTCTTGACAATTTCCATGTCAAAGCTGAAGCATTTCTCACTACGGTGAGATTTTAGGGACTTTAGGGAAGGGCAAAAAAAAAAAGTCCAGGAGGAATGAATATAAAGGTCCTGTTAAACTGTATGAATTTTTGGGTTATTTTTATTTATACGGGGTACAAGCTGGTCCAGATTCTTCTCAGAATGGTTGACTGAAAATAAGTGAGTTACTGTTTTCCATTAATGTTTTAGAGGTCCGTGAGACTGATTGTTTCATTTTATTAGATATGTACTAGATATACTATAATAATACAATGTCCTGGCGTATGCAACCAACTCTTACTACTTTCTTCCTTCCTGGCCGGTTTATACTTACTCCATGACCCACTAAATCTATATATCATTGTAGATGCTACGGGCAGCACAGATGCCTCCACGGCACGCAGTGACAGTCCTGCTCCTCCTGCTACTGTTCCATCTCAAGAGGAGCCCGAAAAGCCCCCAGACCCGGAGTTGGAGAAGAAACTGTTGGCATACCTATCAGATCTCAGCCTGTCTTTGCCTATAGACTCCCTCGCTATAACAAATGACCTGAACACTGTAAGTGATCCATTTTGTTGAAGTGTTGTAGAGCTAATTAGCATTTTAAGTACTACTGACAATTTTTCTTTTGCTTAGTCGGAAGGAGCTGTGAGTCATGGCTGTATCCAAAGTCTGCTGCAAAAATTTGCTGCTCAGGAGCTTATTGAAGTTCGACAGCCATCTTTGTCCTCTGCTATAGTCTCCTCTTCCACAATTGTTGTTGCTGTTGACCATCCAAAGCTTTGGGCTATGATTGGAACAGGGGCTGGTGCCCAAAGGACAGGAGTGAAGAGAAAAGCAGATGACCAAACACACCTTAAAAGAGCATCAGGCTTCTCTCCATCTCAGAGCTCTGCGTCCCCTCCTCACACCTCATATATACCCCCTATATCTTCACTGACCCCAGCATCTTCTATACAAGCAGCAGGACCCTCATCATCTGGTAGTGGGGCTGATAAGAAAGGAAGGAGCAGCAAAAACCAGTCATCTCATGTTGACATGGAAATTGAGAGTCTTTTAAATCAACAATCCACAAAAGAACAGCAGAGTAAGAAGGTAGGAGGCTTCAAATCTGTTTTATCTAGACATTGTGTTGTATAAAACATAACGCAATCTCCATTTAGGTGAGCAGAGAGATCCTTGAGCTTTTGAACGCCAGCACTGCAAAGGAGCAGTCCATAGTGGAGAAGTTTAGATCTCGTGGTCGAGCTCAAGTTCAGGAGTTTTGTGACCATGGGACAAAAGAGGAGTGCATTCGCTCTGGAGATACACCACAACCCTGCACAAAACTCCACTTCCGGTGAGTGTTCTCATTTTGCACAAATATCTTGCATACTTAGTTATTATTATTTTTTATGTAATTAATTCATTAGCTGTTCAGGAAGTATAATGTCTATGTTTGAATCTCTAAAAAAAGACCTTTATTACTTTCCCAGTCGCATCATCAACAAACACACAGATGAGAGCCTTGGTGACTGCTCTTTTCTCAACACGTGTTTTCACATGGACACGTGTAAATATGTCCACTATGAGATAGACAGTCCTCCAGAGGCTGAGGGAGGTCTTATGGGGCCCCAAGGTGGAACTACTGAGCTCAGCCTTCGCACTGGTGATGCCGACAGCAACGTTGGCAAACTCTTCCCATCTCAGGTATGACCAATGGAGTCTAAGCTTGATCACTGAACTACGGAAATAAAGTTGACATTTGTAATAGTGGAACATAATGAAGTAAAAGTAGTTAAGTATACATTTTAGCTATCTGTACTTAAGTTAAGTGGATTTTAAGTGGAGTGTTTAAGTTTAAGTGGACTTTTTACTTTTACTTTAATTTAATACATTTGTGAGGAAGTACCTGTTTTTTTTTGTGTTTTTTTAACAACAACAGGACTGGAAAGTAAATTATTTTTTTATGATTGTTTGAGACCATCTGAAAAGGCTGAGGGTTTATTTTTGAGAATATTAGCACAAAATATATACATAGAAAAACAGCTAGGAAAAAATCTGCACAAATTTTTGTCAAAATCACTACATGTGAATCTTTATTAGATCTTAGATTTTACTCTTTAAGTACATTTTTAAACAGGTACTTTAATACTTGTTCAAGTAGACTTTTTCATGTTGTATTTCATGTGATACTTATACTTGAGTGTTTCTGCTCTGATATCTGGTAACAATATTCAGTACTTCTACCACCATTAGACATTTGACACTGGTTATTTCTCTCTGTTCTAGTGGATTTGCTGTGACATTCGCTACTTGGATGTGTCTATTCTGGGTAAGTTTGCCGTTGTCATGGCCGACCCGCCCTGGGACATCCACATGGAGCTGCCTTATGGCACATTGACGGACGATGAGATGAGAAAACTGAACATCCCCACTCTGCAGGATGATGGTTTCCTCTTTCTCTGGGTCACTGGCAGGTAACTACACACTGATTTAGGGTGATATCGATATTTCTCACATACAAACATTTCAAACTCTTATTTCGTTACTAAGGACTTGATACTCAATACCGATTCGATACCACAATGATAATTAAAAAACACATTTTTTTTCGACAATAGAATGTGATTTCAACATTAAATCAGAGCACTTTCTTATATTACCATGCAGTTTTTTTTTTTTATATCTGTGTAATCCCTCCGTTGTCCACGTAGGTTCCATAGTGGTCCATACTGGGCGTATACTAGTCTATGTCGTTCTATACTTGTTCTGATGCAGCTCAAGATTATTCTAAAGCTATTTAGGAAAGGTTTATTTCTGTCCTGTGAATGTAACTTTTTTAATATCGATAAACTGCTCAAATGGGTTGATTTCATTTCAATACCAGCTTTAAATTCTGTTGATATCAGACTTTCCAATTCTTTTGACAACCCTAATACTGGGACATAAAATCTTTTCTTCAGACACTGACTTCTGATTTGTCTTGTTCTCTTACAGAGCTATGGAGTTAGGCCGGGAGTGTCTGAGTCTCTGGGGGTATGTCCTATTACCCTCCTTTGCTATAGTTTGCTTCACTTTGCCCATGTATCTAAAATGGCTCTGTGCTTGTTTTGTCTCACAGTTATGAGCGAGTAGATGAAATTATCTGGGTGAAAACTAACCAACTTCAGAGAATTATCCGTACAGGAAGGACAGGCCATTGGCTGAATCATGGAAAAGAGCATTGTCTGGTAAAGAATTTACTCAATGAACAGATCATGATTGTGATATACATTATTTAATTTTTAATCAATTAAATAATTAATTAAATATATTGAATGTGAGTATTTTTGTTAATTTGTAGGTGGGTGTAAAAGGAAACACCCAAGGATTTAATCGAGGTTTGGACTGTGACGTCATTGTTGCAGAGGTAGGTGAAATTATATATTTTTCAAACACATTTTCCTCACTTGGGTCCGGTGCATGATACTCTTTGAAAACTTCATAGGTCCGTTCTACCAGTCACAAACCTGACGAGATCTATGGCATGATAGAAAGGCTTTCTCCTGGCACCAGAAAGATTGAATTGTTTGGTCGACCCCACAATGTCCAGCCAAACTGGTGAGTTACTATAATTTTGTATTTTTGTCTCTTGGACCAGATTTATTCACAAATGAACCCATTTTCTTTCAGGGTAACGCTTGGAAACCAGCTCGATGGCATTCATCTGTTGGACCCTGAGGTGGTTGCTCGTTTTAAAAAACGTTATCCAGATGGTGTGATCTCCAAACCCAAAACTATGCCTTGATAGAGGTGCCTATTTTTTATAGCAATGTCATGTCCTTTTTTAAATAAATTGATAACAAGGACTATTGTGGTGGCTCTTTTTTTTTTTTTTTTTAACATGGTTCATAAAATCATACACAGTGTTATAACTTAGTACACAAAATATATAGCATTTAATGAAATTAGAAACATTTAAAAATAGTTAATAATCTGTAATCTTTCTGTGAGTATTTTACAGAAACCAAAAGAAATTTTGCCTTGGAACACCAGTGTCTAAAAAAGGCAGACACATTCTTCCAACATACTCTTTGTTATAATTATATCTTTAGCTTCATGATGTGTAATTTTCTATTTCTATTTCCAAAATATCCAGTTTAAACATACAAAAAAAGCACTTGTGGTTGGTTGTGGTTGGTTATGGTAGGTTATGGTTCTGAACACTGTAAACATGTCTCCTAGCCTTAAATGTCCGTTTCAGTTGAGTGAGTGATCAGTGGCCTCTCTGTCTCATTGTCTGTTGCAGAACTGAACCTTGTATAACTCTCATTCATCGTCCATACGCCATTCTTGCAGTCCATTTATCTCAGTTCAGTAGGTGGCGTCTACAGCATTGATGTTGCTGTCCAGCTGATGCCTGAAGGACAGCCTGGCCTTGGTGGAGAAATATATTTGGGACCCTCTTGACAGACTTCCATCATTGTCACTGCCCCAGGATGTCGTGGAGGATAGACGTGGCTTCATCTCCTCTATGGGAACTGTGGGAGAAATAATTTGATTAATTGACCATTACATCTCTAACTGGTATTTTATGTGCTTTGTTACAATTTTATAACCAATTTTGTAAGTTAATAAAAAATAAATGAATACATGCATGAATAAATAAAGAAATAAAGAAATAATGAAGGTCTATGAAATAAGCAGTTTGTTGCTTATACCTGCCGCTTGGGGGCACTGTCTACTTTTGCACCGCTCCTTGCACCGCCTGTAGAAGGGGAAGCACTGCAACATTTTCACTCCCATGGTTGGAAAGTCTGTTAAAAAAAGAAGAGACAACCTCAGTAAATATTTAATCTTTTTACAATATGTTACAAATTGCCTTTTCCTCCAGGTTGCACTTTAAATTAAGTTATGTTCATACGCATGTGAGTCTATGTAAGCTGATAATGTGGGACAGTGACCTAGTCGGTAACAACAGCTCCATCATCGCCTTGCACTCGTCTAATCTCAGGAGAGGACGTCAATAGGCGGAGGTACAAACCAAACAGATCCCTGTATAATTTGCTCCACTGCCTGAAAGTAACTGCAACGATGATTCAAAAAGGGTCCAAGACTCATAAGTGAAAAGTAAAACCCACAAAGACCTACTAAAAGTGTGCTGATGGGTTAGAAGATCTGAAATGTAGTCTGAAAAAGGCTACCCTACAAGAAACTAGTGATATGTCTTTCTTTGCCTTGCTCTCATTTTGCACTGGGTTTGTGCACTTAAAGATCCTATATTACGCAAACTTGACTCTTGTGAGCTTTAAACCATGGTAGAAAGTTGTTACCACCTCAAAAACATACCTGGAGTTATGTTTGTTTCATTCACATTTGTTTGAGTAATCCTTTATTATTAGTTTGGCAACATATCCAAAGCTTAAAATGCTCTGTTCCATCTTGTGATGTCATGAAGCAGTAGTTTTCGAGTTAACAGCTACCTTTTACCCTGTGTTCAGCAGAGATTCCAGTAGAAATTATCCAATGATTCTAGTGAAAATGTATGGAGTTTAAAACACATTGGAGCACTTCCTCTATTGCCAACGGTGTATTTTGTGTGTGATTATTTATTGAGAAGAGCAGGGTTTATGTGTTAAACATGTGTGAATGAAACAAAACACAACTCCAGGTATGTTTCTGAGGACTAAACAACATTATAATATAGATCAGAAAATAGTGTAATATCAGCCCTTTATCTTCTATTTAACCAGGTTTAAAGTGGGTCAGGTAAAATTAGGGCACAGACTTCCACTCTCCCCTTGCAGGTTTGAACATAACAGCTGCTTATGTAAGGTTATGCAAAGAATTTGGACAATCAAACATCTTGTACAACATTCCATACAAAATTTTAAATGGGTCTTGCAGTTATGTTGCAAGTGCAATTAAATCACTGGTATGTAACAAAGTGGGTTGGATAGTTAACATTGCTATGAATCTGGAGAGCTCATTCCAATCTGCGTCACAAATTGCAATTTTCTCTAAAAATAAAAAGTGCTAATCCGCTAAACTCTATTGTTCATTAATCTCAGGAGGAGAGGGACTCAGGTCTCATAGGAGCTGTGTTTTGGCCCCCTCCCCTCTGTGTGCCTTTCAGTGTTAGAATGCCTGCAGTCTGGTTGGCAGTTTCAGGGGGACGTGACAGTTAACACAGACACAGTCCAGAGTGTATAGAGTTGCAGATGAAAGTCAACACCCCCTTCCCCTATTCAAAACCTATTGTTGTCAGTGACGCTGATGTATAGTGAATAAGGCCGTTTTTTTACCTGAATTGTTTTATTCAAGCCTTAATAATAATAATTATTAAAGCATATAGTAATAGATCATTGTATTCTATATTTTACATAGAGCTTTTGGTGGACCAATGACCCATATTACACATTTTCTGTTCTGTTATTTAGTTATCAGAAACTTTCCTGGAGTTATGTTATGACACATTCACAGAGGTTTAACACACAAATCCTGCATATTTAGGTTGAGTTCTTCTCTTAAACATAAAAACACTCTAACTTCTAACTCCATAAACCTTCATTAGAATCATTTGGATTATTTTAGCATTGGAATTGCCAATCTTTTCAGAACTAATGCTAAAAAAGACCATTTTGTGCTTTGGAGATCTACATAGACTAATAATAAAGGATTACTCAAACATGTTTGAATGAAAAAAAATACAACTCCATGTATGTTTTTGATGAGATAACAACATTCTAACATGGCTTAAAGCTCACAAGAATCCATTTCGCATAATATTGGACCTTTAAAACACTGATGTTGCTAATAGATCATTGTGTCAGGAAGGGCATCTGGTGTAAAATCTTAGCAAATTTTTATGTGCCAATCAGTGCTCTTGAGAAAAAAATATCTATGTAGTAAGAGCTGAAGTTTTCATAATACTGCTGGTGGTAAATAAAGACAGGCTTGGTCAGTGGAGAGGAATTTCAGGCCTTGATGATGTTTGGCTCTGGGGTTTGAGAGGGAGAGAAAAACAACCTCTCATGGACAGACTGGAGCACACTTAAGCCCAAAGCATATGGGGATCTACAGTAGTCACTAGGTCAAGATAATTACTATATCAACTCATTGTTTTATTAATAATAGATGGAATAATAATGTTTGGGGGTCAGTATTTATCATGGGCGTACAGTTTACTCTGTTATAATGTTGTTTCCTTATCAAAAACATTGCTGAAGTTGTGTTTTGTTTCAAACCCTGAATAATTAGGCTGAGTTCTTCTCTCAAACTCTGTCACAGCTTGTTTTTAAACACCATACACCTTCACTAATCATTTAGATAGTTTCAGCCTTAGATTTGCCAGTCTTGATTGAACAAAAGGTAAAAGGTAGCTGTTAACTTGAAAGTTACTGCTTCATGACATCACAAGGTGGAACAGAGCATTTTGAGCTTTGGAGATGTTAACAGACTGACAGACAGATAATAAAGGGTTACTCATACATGTGTGAATGTGAATGTTTTTGATGAGGTAACAGCATTATAACATGGCTTAAAGCTCACAAGAGTCAAATAAATGTGTAAAGGGTATTTATTTAAAGAGTTAGGGTAAGAAAAGTAGGTGCTTTCTAGTTTGGACTTGTGTTTTGCCCTTCGAGGAAAAGTGCAGGTTTAAATAATCCGGTGCAACTTGTTCTGTTAAGTTCAACTGAGGCAATGTCAGGAATTGTAAATACACATAATCATTAAAAACCTGGGCATGGCTCACTATATTATAATATCACGAGTAGGGATGGGACAATACACAATAATATCATTCACAGTGATAAAAAGGGTACACAGTACTAATTTGCAGAACATTTTATGTAATCGTATTTAGTCAATTAAATTTAAATGTTAATATTTCAGTCAATGTCTTTGCATACTGATAATTAGTAAGTGAATAATATGAAATAAATCTGTTTTCCTGCACAAAAAATGCATCCAAATGGTATGTGTATTTCAAGTTGCAGTGCCACATGTTTTCAAACAATATTCCAAAGTATATGCATATTTTGGGCAAATCTAATTTAAATCTTTTCCAGGCTCCTAAAATAATGCCATAATGGAAGCTTATTCGAGCCCATTGAAACTCTGATGCACCCTCAGTCAGTTTGGTCTGCACCCGGGCCTGACTTTGGGCTGTGGCATGAATTGGCTTTGAGTTGTGTTAATATTTTATTTTACTGATTTTACTAACCCTTCCTTTGTTTTATCAATGTAATTTGAATAGGCAGATCCAGGTCAGGCCTCCATATGTTTAAACTATGCCATGATGTACATTTTGACCCTTTAAAACCCTCTGCATAGCTTGGGGCTTATCAGCTATGCAAACAGTGTCACAGGGCAGCAGAGCACATACACTTCACTGAAACATGATAGCTATCTCCAGTGCCAGTCCAGCCTCCTAACTACCCCTTTCCTGTCTCCCAAAGGTGGGCTTCATTCACCAGGCGCTGAGTGGGTGTCCCTGCCTTCCACACAAAGCCCTACACAAGCCTGCCAGCCTGCATGACGCACACACTTGGAGCTTACTGAGAGCCAGAAAGCATTTTGCCACAAGTGAGATCATATTTGCACAGGTTTAGCAGTTTTCCTTGCACTTTCTCTACTCTACTTACTGTAACTCCAAACTCAAAACATTTCTTGTTTGTTAGTTCAGAAGATATGTGTGGTTACTGTTTATTTTGCAAGGCTCTATGTAAGCTTTAACTTTTTGAATTGACATAAGCAGATTTAAACCATAGATGATTATAATTATATGATTTAAATGTTATATTTTAATAGATATTTTTTGGATGTACGCCATACATAGACACATTAAAGAAATAAAATACACTGT